TATTTATAAAAATTTTAATAATTTTTTTGCATCAGCATTTGCATTTTGTGCTTAAGATTAAACCACCTCCATTGGGCGCTTAAACTTGCAAACAAAATTAACTAATTGAGTACTCAAAAACATCTTTCGAGGATTAATTTTAATTTAATCGCTAATCTTTCACCTAAAGATTGGCCCTAAGTAATATTAGTTTTGGAACTAAATACATCGTTATAGATTTTATGTTCAAGGAATTAAAAAAATGGCCATTTGAAAAAATTTAGCAATTCTACTGTACATACCTTTCTATTTTATTTATAATGCAACAAATTAATAGGGTTCTTCAAATAAATAAGTTAAAATATAAAATTATTATTAGATTAATTTGTGGTAAATCATATTTTTGATGTAGGTATAATTATAATAAATGTGTATGACATTTCATGGTTTCTAGCTAAAAAAAAATACGTCACAGTATTGTTTACAATGAATAATTGTGAATATGTACTAAGATGTTTGTTCATGTTATTGCGATAAGAACGACCACGGCTTCATGCAGTAAGTGGTAAACCTCTTCAGTGATTAATAATTCTAATATAGGATATGTTTGTTTAAAAATAATTTAAATAAACCAAATTTAAAGGACTTTATTACAACATAATGTCACTAATATTTAAAAACAAACTTTTGACATAGCAATTTAATTAAAAAATTTATATTTATAACAAGTAAGAAAGTATAGTCGGGCGTGGCCGACCATATGATACCCTACACCAGTTATGAATATTAAATGTGATTTATTTTTCATAATAAAGCATTTATCTTCAATATTCCCTTGTTCCGATACATTTAAGCAATTTATGGATGAAAAACTAATTTTCTGAAAGAGGCTTTATATGGGGGCTAGGGGCAAATATGGACCAAGCCCGATAAAATTTTGTGAATATATTTATATTTACATAATATTTTATTGTGCTGAATTTCATCGCGATATTTGTGTTTATAAGTTAATTTGGGACATTCAAGTAATTTTCTGAAGGGGACTTTGTATGGGAGCTAGGGTCAAATGGGGCCCGATCTTTATGAAATTTGGCAGTGTCATCAAGACTTCTATAAAACTTAGTTGTGCCGTATTTTATCGATATATCTGTATATTTAACATAATTATGAGCTCAGAAGCCCTTTTCGGAGGGTTCTGTTCTATGGGGGCTAGGTGAAATAATGGACCGAATTTAACCTTGCGCACAAGGTTTACATGGACAGCCAGCCAGCCGGCCAGAAGGACGGACGGACGGACATAGCTTAATCGACTCAGAAAACGATTCTAAGCCGATTGGTATACTTTTGTATGTTACAAACATCAGCACAAATCCAATATACCCTCCCCACTAAAGTGGTGTAGGGTATAATTATTTTAAATAGTACTATTAAAAACTATTATACTAAATGATTATTTATGAAACGTTTGTTTATATAAATTATTTTTACGTTACACAAATACGACTTTTTTTTATTGAAATGCACAAAAAACCTTCCAGACAATTTATAAAAAAATACATTTGAAATTTGCACTTAAATGACTTTTCCCAGTGTTATCAGTTAACTTATAAAGTCAATTTTTTATTTATAAATTAACAACGCTTATGTTTTGTTTATATTTATTAAATGTGGTATTTATAATTACTATAGAAAAAAATACTACATTCAATGAATGATTCAATAAATATTTAATAAATATATATGTATTTGTACGTATGTAATGATGTATGGAAATGATAATTATAAAAACAATTTTAATACATACATATGTAAGTTCTATTTATCGGGATTAACATTTACCACGTAAATACATATATACTTATAGTATATATGTATGTGTTGAAATTTTGATAATATTTTATTGTTATATATAAATATTTTATATGAATTTAAGATAAAATTTTGAGGTTAATGCTTTTGTAAACTTTTAATAAAAATGCTTTCAACTTTACTTAAATAATTTATTACATACTTACATAGTGGGAGCAGCAGCAGTAGTTTGTCAATGTATGTTTAAATTTTAAAAACGCAAAATTTTAAAAATACAAACTATTCTTATAGAAACGAAGCCGCCCAAACTACTGTACGTATTTCATTCAATGAATGAAAACAATTCATAAATAGTTTTCATTAAATAGATTTTTATAGTATCTTTTACTCTAACAGCCCGTTTGCAGGTTAACGATTAGCCATAAAATTAATTAATAAAATTAATTTTCGAAAGTTGTTTTTGAGTACACGACTACTTTATTTCTTTTTGCTTTATTGCAAATATTATTAATAATAAGTTATGATGGACTTTAAAGTATCATATTTTTGTTTTTATTTAATTTTTCTTAATTTTTAAATTTATTTTCTCATTACACTCAAAGCAGTCCTCTCTTTTTATAAAACATCAATTGTTTATGATAGCAAATAGTGACATTTGTTGTTGTTTATGGCAATACTACATTTATTTTTAGATTAACTGATCAGATTTTTAATTACTGTTTAATTTGTAAATAAAAAAGTCGCCCTAAGGGATTTCACTTCTCATTCATGTCTCAATTAAGTCTATATTTAAAATATAATTTTATTTGTAAAATATTTTTTACAAAGTAATTTATTTTGTTTAATGTTTCAAGATTTATAAAAAAATCTATTCCATGCGTATTCGTTCACTCTTTAAAGTAAGTATTATCTTACATTATCTTATCAAATGAATATTTCGAGACAAAAAATGGTATTATAATTGTTTACTTTCACTTAAAATACATAAACGAATATTACATCCAGTGAAATTATACTAGAGGTATTTTGAATATAAACATATACATACATAAATAAATAGAATATAGAGATAATACAAAAGAGTTTATTGTTACCTTTGTAAGATTTTTTTAGAATAAATATTATTTATTTAACAAATGTATTTGATATTAAAAATATTAGGTACAATTAAAAAAAATCAATAAATACATACAGTGAATGAATTAAGTAATTTGCCTATGTAAAATTTTATAAATTTTAAGAAAAAACTTTATCTGAGCAATTATTTTTAGCAAAATAAAGCAATTTGTTTGTTGTACTTTTTAAAGAATATCTTATATTTTAATTTTCTACCATAAAAAGTAAAATCGTGATATTAATTAACGAGATTTTTGATAAAATGTGAACGTATTGTTAATTTTTAAGGTCAATAAAGTATTTTGCTTTTTTAGGTTTTTTGTTCATTTTTTTAATATTGCTGCATTATTTTATAAAATTTAATATTTTTATTACTCCTATGTATTAGAATAACATTTTTTAGATATTTTAGTAGTGGAACGTCTAAGTTTGGACATTTCTTAACCGATTTATTATCCTATATACCTATAAGAATTTTTTAATATTTGACTTAACATGAAATCTATCGTTTCTTTGATTTAATTTCGAAAATAATAAGTAATTTTGAATTGGATACATGATATATTAGGAAATCAATGGATTTGGACCTAGAAAAAAATTTTAGTGGGGTATAAATCTATAGATTATAACAAAAATAATCTGGGTTTTTGGTCATTTTGTATTGATAAACAAAAACTACATTACGGAGACCCCATCTATTTGGGGAATACTGTGTGAATTTTATTTAGAATTGTATAATATTGATTCTTATTCAATAAAGCTAACACTAAGTACCATCCTAGCCACTCTAAGTATGGGGATATCACCGTATACCACTATAGAACTATTACATGCTAGAATCTTGATATTCTACATCATATTTTGAATGCATTATTTCATGAATAAAATACAGTAGGCGTAGTTGGATTTGGATAGTTATTCTTGATTTGGGTTCTAACTATATATAAGTGTATGTATTAGCTGAAAAATATTGCTTTTGTGGATCTTAGATGATGAGAACCGCCTCTATTTGTAAATATCTAAATTAAGTATTTTTCCCGTACCACACGATAGTTCACTTTATATTGTTTCCAAGCAACCTAAGGTCTGTTTAGAGGTCCAAATTTAAACATAGTGTTCTTTTAAGTTCGTATATGGACTTTGGAGAAGAAAAATGAGGACTTCTATGGCTTTTGCTTGGATACACGTCGCTCTCCTTTGGCAGTTAAAGATTTTGAAAGACAACTCAGTGCGTTTTTTTTTAATAATTCTTTGTGTTATTTCATCAATTTCTATATTTAATATTTTTTAATGATTGATTAAACATCTCATAATTGAATTTCATTGATTTATACTTGTTCTAAAAATCTAAACTAATTTTTTATATTGGAATTGCCTCATTATTTCCCTTTAAACATTTTTGATGCAAATAACTACACAGTTTCACACAATAAGGATATGATTTTTGAAAATTACAATTGAAAAATACTTAACACGTGTCCTTTTAACAATAAAACAATAAATTCCAAAAAGCAATTAAAATATAATTTGAAAAACCCAACGAAATTAACTGGAAATTTCAATATACTTTATTGACGTGCAAATTCTGATGAAAAATAATAAAATGCAACAACAAATGAACCAAAATTTTTTTCCTGGTTTTCCCATTCTACATAATATCTATTTTCAATTGGAAAACATAAATTTACTTTTTACCTGTTTTTTTTTTAATTTTATTTATGAACAAAAAACAAAATTCTCTTAAAAAAAGGTAGGCAATAAACTTAGTTGATTCACTGTATGTTATATACATATTGTTAAATAATTGACTGGCAGCTTTTAAGCGTAATTGTAACAGGTTTTATTGAACAAATAATCTTTGCGTCAGCTATGTTTATTGTTTAAATACTTTTTTTTGTAAAATTTGCAATGCATTATTCATAATTTAATTTCCAAAATAACTTTAAAATTGTATTAAAAAATGTTTTAAAATCTAAAATATAATAACCCATCATAATATTGTTATATCAACAGAACCTAAATATCTTACACAACAAGTATTTTATGAAAATCATGAATAATAATTTATATGTTATTTTTTTTTTATTTTATTTTAGATTATGATCCAAAAGTGGTGGAACAAAAAGAGCAGGCCCAACCGGCTTGTCTACCGTTGAGCTATGTCTTACGATTTATATCGGACGATGCACGTAAAGAGAGTCCCTTTCTTACAGCAAATGCAGCGGGCGTTGAACTTAAACGCAAGCTTGCGATTAAACATCACAGCTATAGCATGTCTTCATCAAATCGCAGTAATACGCCTACCGGTGAGCTATTGTCAAAATCAAATTACAATTTAATATTAATAATATCAAGTGTTTTAAAATGAAACACTATATATTATCTAACCATTATACTCATATATTAACAATGTATTTTTTCTTTTTTTTTAATTCTTTAAAACTTGTAGGCAGTGAAATGGATGAAGATGAAATGGTTGTTTCTGAATCAGAGGATAGCAATGATTCGTGGACAACCGAAGAATTTAGTTCTGAATTCATAATGCGCTATGGCAGCAGGTGGGATTGGCTCTCTGCCATCTTTTATTTAAATGCTCAATGCTTTTTATTTAAAAAAATTATTTGTAATTATTTTTTATGTAATTTTTGCGTATTGTCTTGGGGCATATAAAGGCATTCCGGATCCGGCAGCAATGGCACTCCCGGCAATGAAAAACCATTTGCATGTCCTGTTCCGGGGTGTAAAAAACGCTATAAAAATGTGAATGGCATTAAATATCATTCGAAGAATGGCCATAAAAAGGACGGCAAGTAAGTGCTAACGAATAGAATAGATAATATGTAAAATACAAAATTTCATTAATTTGCTAATCATTTATTGTACAATCAACAATTCATTTTGTCTAGAGTACGCAAAGGCTATAAATGTCATTGTGGCAAAAGTTATAAGACTGCCCAAGGTTTGAAAAGCCATGCTTTGGTGGCACACAATTCCTCGCCCGAGAATGTGTTGGCAACGCAAAATTTGGGTAGCGTGCTCACCACCACTAGCGGCGGTATACTCCTGCAACGCAGTAGCTCTCCGTCGCAGTCGTTGGGTTCTTTGAGTCCGTCTAGTATTAGCAACATGTCTAGCGGTGCAAGTAGTTGCCATGGCAGCGGTGGACATTTCTCAAATAGCAACAGCTCTACTGTTGGTTCTACAGCTTGTGTAGGCCAAGCTATTAATGGAACAACTCTAAACATACAACCTCAACAGCAGCAGCAACAATACACAACAACTGCCAATAATCATCAGCAACAAGTTGTTACTGCTGGAGGAGTTTCAAGCGGCGTTGCAGTACAATCGTCACTGACGGGTTCAATAGCGGCGGCTGCTGCAGCCTCAGTAACACACAATACAACAGCAACAGGTAACAGCAACAATTTATTGCGCAACACCATTAATTTGGTGTCATTGAAAACCCATAACAGTGGCAACATCAACCACAACGGTAATAATGGTAGTAATGGTAATGGTATTAACAACATTACCACCGCCTCGTTGGCTACTACGAAAACAGCAGCGGCCACAAATCTATTGGCGGCTAATGCTGCTGCTAGTAAAATTTTAAAATTAGCCACTAATGTTGCTGCCGCTGCTGCAAATAATAATGCCACCACCAGTGCTACTAGTGGTGTAACATCGATGGTGGTCGATCAACAGCAGTTTTTAAGTAAACAGCAAACGGTAACAGCGACAGCAACAGCTACTAAAATAACTTTACCAAATTTGGTAAATTTAGGTATTTTAACGCCGGCAACATCGCCAACAAAAACTACACAATCGTTAACATTTACGCAACAACAGCATCACCATCACCAGCAGCAGCAGCAACAACAGACGCTTAGCAATGCTCTGAATAGTTTAACAACAGCAACGCATATAATGCAACAACAGCAGCAAAAAACGATGCAAACAAATTCTAATAATTCTTCTAATACTAACAACAACAACAACAATAACCATCTAACAACTACAAATAAAAATAATATATTGCTTGTTGAACAACATCAACAACAGCAACAACAACTCCAAACACAATCTCAATCATCAACATCATCATCACAACATCAACAACATCTTCCATTAACTCCCATTAGTCCAAATAGTGTAAGTTTACAACAACAGAAACAAAATGCTGTTGCTGTAGCAAATGTTTTAAATGCCACCATACAACAACATAAAAACAAACAACAGCAGCAGCAACACCAGCAACAACAAATTGTTGGTAGCATACATTTAACACAAATTACCAGCAATGGCAATGCTAGTGTTAATGCTAATAAACAACAAACAACACAACATATAACAACAGCTGGCTCCTCCACCTCGCCACCACCATCAAACATTAATTCACCTAATAGTTCTAATGGTGGTGGTAGTGGTGGTGGCGGCAGCAGCGGTAGTAGTAGTATTGTTTGTTCACCCACTTCACACAGTTCGTCCTCAGACGTTATGTCTTTAACTGTTGCCGTTGCTGATGCTGGTGTTGGTTCTATTAGCGAGGAAACGTAGCCTATACTAAAGAAACTTTTAATGCGTCGTAAATTTAAGTAGATTTCTTTTATTCTCTTTATACATAGATATGTAGTATATCTTTTGTTCATTGGTGAATTGTTATTTGACATTTTTTCTGCATTATTTGACCCATATCCCTCATTATAGATTATTAACGGATAAATATACCACTTAATTTTGTTCATTAAATTCCTTACATAGAGTAATTCGTTATGTTTCAACACTTACTACAATAAAAATTTTACCAATTTTAGATAGAATACTCAGCAAAAGATATGTATGCAGCCTAGAACAACAATTTAGTAACATTTTCTTAAGTTTTAGCTAACTTCTAAACTGAAAATAGATTTACATTTTGCTTATTTTATACCATTTAAAAGATTCTAAGGATTAAAAACAAATTGAAACTTCTAAAACCAGTTTTTCTTAAAATTAACATTATTTTTTCATACAATTTTATAGCAATCTTATTCTCAAGGTGGTAATTTATTTAAATTTAAATCTATTATAGGGGACTATAAAATATGCAAAAAAGAATAAAATAAGAAATTGGCTCTTTGGTAGTTAAATTAACAACAAACTAACATATAAATTCCCTATTAATAAAGTTAAAGTTGCATTTAAAAGCTTTAGTATACGATTTGTAAACAAGCTTAAATAATCTCAAATAACAAAATTTAATTAAAACAAAATTAACACTACATACATTACATTAAAATGTAAAAAGATACTACTGTAGTAGACTGCTAGTTTAGATTTATTTTCTATTATCATTAGTTTTAGAATTATTATTATTATTTTTGTGCAATATCTTATTATTATTATTTTTTTAATTTTTCAACACACACTTATGTATTATAAATGAAAAGAAAAAAAAAAAACTACTGATCTCGTATATTTTTAAAATATATGCAAAAATATATAAATATTTCTACTAAATTCGTGATTTCAAAATTTGTATACATTCTTACTAATTTTTAAATTTTGAACAAAAAGAAAAAAGTACTCTCCTCAAGTATTATTTATTAAACACGTATTAACAAATATAAAAGAATTTATTAAATTTAGTTAAACTATATTTATATAAAAATGTATATCATTAAAATTTTATTTTTTTTTTCTTATCTAATTCTATTTTAGTTCGAAATTTAGTAAATTTAGTGTTTCTTAACACAGTTGATAACTTGGTTATTATTTTTTTTTAAGATTATTAAATTGACATTAAAACAGTATTTTGGAATTTATGGAATTTAAATTTATTAATTTCAAAAATTTTTTCTACATAAAGAATTTTTAAGTTTTAGAGATAACTCTGTATATGTACATATACGTGTTCTTAACTTTGTATCCAAATAAAATTTTATTTATTGTGACTTTATTCTATATTAAAATTTTAACAATATTTTAGGCTACAAACAAATTATACTTTGGAATATTAATAAACGCTTAATGCTATTTTTCTTCAAACATACATATACATATATGTATATGTGAATTTTCATAACAACAATGCATATCATTTATAACTATTGCTGCAAATGTCTTTTCAATAATCTACAAAAACTTGCAAATTTCTCCACAAATGTATACAAAGATTTCTTTTATATATGAGAATTTACCAAAATTTGTATTAATTTATAAATTAACAATAATTGCCTTATTCATAACAATTTTTCAAACTAATTTTGTATGACAATTTGCCTTATAAAACTTTGATAAATTTTTATGAATAAAGCTCTTAAACTTTAACAATTGACTTTCTTTAGGATACTTCAAAGCTGGTTAACAAAAAACTAAAATAATTTATTTATTATCATTCTAAAATGTCAAAAGAAAGACAAAATTTTAATTGTTCAAAGTTTCATTACTTAGAAACCTAGTTTCGCCTTTAATTTATTGTCTTATATTCTCAAAAAAAAAACAACTTTATTTAAATTTATATTTATTTATTTATTAAATTTTTACGTTAATTTTTGTTGGCTTTTATAGTTCTCTTTTTTTCTCTTTCATTATTACAGAGTCCTCCTCCTCTCCTTTTAGTGGACAATTGTTAGCCACAGCTATACAACAGCGTAGTCTTGCAACCGCTACTGGTGGCGGTGGTTTTAGTGGTAGTGGTGCTGGAGGTGGTGGCAGTGTTATAAACAATAATGCAAATTGCTTTTATGCTGCTACAGCTCCTGTAACACCAACAGCTAACTTACCACTCAATGCAAATGTCACTGCTACAGCTACATTATCACAATTACCACCTGCCGCCATATCACCGACATTTATTGAACACAAATATTCGGCAAATACATTTAAAGAGAAATTTTTTGCCAATTTGCGACAACAAAATTTAAATAAAATAAAAACTTTGAAAACCAGCAACAGTATTAAGAAATCCGAATATGATAATGATGATAACAATGAAACGACAAACTCTTTAAGAAGTCTAGATATTGTAGCCAGTAATGAAACTGGCATCGTTTGTGGTAATGTTAATAATAATAATAACAATAATGATGTTGATGGTGGTAGAGGTGGTGGTGGTATCGAAAACGAAGCTGGTGTTGGTGGTGAAGGTGAAGGTGTAAATAGCAGTAATAACAATATAAATAATCATCAAACGGATATGTGTTCGACGATACAAAAACAATTAACGGAAAATGTTAAACATAATTTATATAAAAAAACCATTAATTAATAATGTCTTCTATTTTGTTTGTTACACATTCAATAACAAAATCTCATCCTACACCCCTTACCAAGAAACCCCAAAACCCCCTCCCCCCAAACTGATACATGGCTGTGATGTGTGGAATAAAAACAAAATAAAAATAAATAAAATAATATTAATATTAGAGAATAAAAGGCTTTAGAAATTTAATGACACGAAATAAAAAAAAAAGAAAGAAAATGTAATCAACCATTTAATGACTGGAGAGTGAGGAAAAGAGAACCTGAAATAATTCTGTGAAGTGCGAAGTGAGAAGAGAGGATTATAAAAGCTGTTTGAATTCTTAGTGGAGAAAATGCAAGTTTATTTTAAACTATTTTGTTTTTGTTTTATGATTTTTCTTGATTATTTTTATTGCTTCTGTTATTTTTTAATTATATCCTATGTTGTTGAATAATTTATAAAATTATAAAGGGTCATTTAAAAATCACACCATTATTAAAACAATCTTTCATATAGTATGAAAATAGTTTTTTTTTTTTTTTTTAATTAAATAAACCTCAATACGCTTATTTCTTAAAAGTAATAATATTTATATATATAAATGAAATGGATTAATCAAAATTTAAGTTTAAGATTTTTAATTTGTTCTATGTTTGTGTTAGAAGGATTAATATATTAATTTGGTAACATGCCAATAGCCAAACATAATGGAATTTGATTACATTTTTCCTATAATACCAATTGTGTTTAAGAATTTTAAATGTTACACAGTTTTAGCAAGAGCTGAATTGTAAATTAAAATTTTAACTTAAAAAATGATTGGTCCATTTTTACATACATTTATGTTTTTAATAAAAAAAAAAATAATTAAAATATTCAAAATTTTAAAATAAACAAAATACAATATAGTTTGGGTTGTGAAAATCTTTTTTCAATAAATGTTATTAACCTAACACCACCCAATCTTTTTTTAATTTACCATTGAAAATAATAAAATTCCTAACTTTGAAGAAGAGAAAAAAATAACAACCAAGTCCTATTAAAATTGTTTTAATAAAATATTAAAAAAAAAAAGGAAAACAAATTTCGAAATGACGAAAAATCATAAAACTCGCCGTAAAGCATGTTTATCCTAAATTATCGAAAATATAAAATATGAATTCTAATACTTTTTATTCAACTAGGCTTAAACCTTCTCAAATAAAAATTAAAACCTAAATAAAATTAGTTACTAACGCTTAAACAAAAAAACGGAATATAAATCATTGTCCACATTAATATTTATATATTGTAAGATTTTTTTTTAGCAAAATATAGTAATATTTGTAAAACCTTATATTAAAAAAAAAAAAGAAAAACAAACAAAAAATCCTATAAAACATAAAAATGTTAAAAAAACAACTCTAGTTAAAATTATTTATATGCTATTTCTTTAGCGCAATGTAATAAAAAATATAAAAATATTTATATAAACATTTTTGAAGATTTATTTTCTTCGCCTAGTCACTATCGTATACATATGTAGTTAAATTAATTTTTTGTAATTATATTATACATATAAATATGGAAATAAAAATATATATATATAAACTATATATAAAAATTATAAAAAAAACATATAACACTTTTTTATTGTTTAATGAGATTGGTTTTAAAAAAATACGTTGTTTTAAGAATTGGTTTTAAAAGTATGGTATTTTTCATTTTGAGAAAGTTACGTTTATATAAAAAAATATCCTAAAAAATAAATGTAAAGGGTAGACTACTTGTTGGGTAAAAATTTAGGTTATTATCTTATAAAGTGAAAAGTTTTGAAAACTAAAAAAACCCAAGGCTTTGGAAAAGACTACTATTACTAGAAGATTTGTAAAAACTTTTGAAATTAACTCAATTTCATTTATTTTTAGGTCCTGAAACCGAACCTGATATCGGTTTTTCTACATAAACCACAATTTTCTCGTAATATGGTATTGAATATTTGTTCATATATTAGGGGCATTCTATATAATTATAAATATATATTTACGTTTAAGGGTTAATTTTGATTCTTTTTAATGTCATTATCAATTCTTATATGATGTTTTCTATTATCTGGGCTTTTATATTCTGAAAAGGTTTTATATAAAATACCTAACAGTAAAGAATTAACGCTAATTTCCCAAAATTTTACCTAAAAATTGTTTCAACCATATTCTCAAAATTTAAATCTGTGCGAGATATAGACCTATTTATTTACTATTTTATTTCCTTATGTATTGTCCATAAATCATATGGAGATTTTTTTTAAATTTGCTAATATATATATTAGCTGTTATATATTCTTCCTTCTTCGAGATAGCTCGAGATATCCATAAATTCAAAATTAACCCACGATATCCTAATAAATACAACATATTTTAAAACGTATTTTATGAAAAAATTTATGACGAATTGTAACATATAAATTTATTGTAAAATAAAGTAGAAATGTAGTGCAAAATTCAGTTTTAGTAAGTGTATGGTTGTCTCAAGCTTTAGTTTAAGATATCTTGAAGAAGGAAGCAAATATAACAGAAGTTAAACCTTTATTTCAAAGTCGACAGATTGAACTTTTAGATTTTATAAACAAATATAGCCAAAATATGTTTTTTTTTAAATTTATGACACAGTGGTTCAAAAACTTTTAGAATAGTATAAACTGGGTTAAAAATTTATTGGCATGTGGTGTTATCCTGCAGGCAAGAAATATAGATCATAATAAAATTCATAATATGGGGGGTGTGATGTACTTCGCATGAAATCAAAACGCGCGAAGTTGTCACGTGGTTGTTGTTTATATGCTGTGGTAAATTTTCGCGAATTTCGTTAAATTTTATCAGAGATCCTGTTTCTAAAATGTTTTAATTTAATATTATTGATATATAAAAATATTTTTTAATAAGATTTAATAATACCTAACCCCAAACTTATTTTTTTTGGTAAGGGTAGTGTTTTCAAAAACGGTACATGTGCAGTTAAATACAATAGACATTTTGTGCAGTGCTGTCAAGTTAACAAAAAACAGCACAATACTTAATGTAGGTTTATTATTTGTTTATGAGTGTGACAATTTTATTAATGGTTTTTAAAGCAATTTTAACTATTGTATGTATTAAAACCAAAATAAGAATTTTTTATGAATACAAGCGTAATAGTTTTGTGGTTTTATATTATAATGGTTTTGGTTGTTTGTATTCGAATATTAATATCTACTTCTTACTGACTTATGCAAAAACCTTTTTTTTAATGGAAAAAGTGTATAGTAAACTATTGTTAACTTTAATAATCGTTTTAGCATAATGCAGTTATTAATCTATAAATACCATAATAAATAATTCCAATTCTTAAAATTAAAAAAAAAAAAAAATTGTGTATACATTTTGGTTATATTTAGTGTTGCTTAAGTGTGTGTGTGTGTGTTCGATATTAAAACATTGTAATTGTTATTGCAAATATTAACCTGATTATAACTGTTTATACAATAAATAATAAACAGTTAAATATTTTAATCTAGTATTAAGTAGGAAACTTTAATAAAATTTAATTTCATTTAAAACACTCTCAACATTTCATTTCATTCATTAAGGGCCAATCTTTAGGTGAAAGATTAGCGATTAAATTAAAATTAGTCCTCGAAAGATGTTTTTGAGTACTCAATTAGTTAATTTTGTTTGCAAGTTTAAGCGCCCAATGGAGGTGGTTTAATCTTAAGCACGAAATGTAAAAGTGTAAACAGCTGATGCAAAAAAATTAATAAATTTTTTATAAATATAAACATTAAAATGTTCTATTTATTGATTAGTATAAATTATGGACACTTCAAAAAACATTTTTTTGTTTTTAATTTAAGTTTTCATTAATTTTCATATTAAATTTACAATTGTCTTCTTCTTTTTTATAAAATATGCATTGTTTTGATAACAAACAGTGAAGTTTTCTGTTGTTTTGTATGGCAACACTGCGAAGTTTAATCTTGTACTCAAAAACATCAAAGGGGATTAACATAAGATTAAATTTATTTTTAGATTAACTAATCTGATTATTTGTAGTGCCCTAACAAATGTTCATATAAATAACTTTTTTTTTTATTTATAACATTTATGAATTCAATTTAAATATTAATAAAAATAAATTCTTAAAGCAAATACAAAATGATATAACAAATATATTTCATCTTATATAAGACTGCTGTTTTGTGCGTAATTATTATTTATTATACAAATAAATATAATAATGTAATTTATTGTAAACAAATTAATAAATTTAATAAAAAAAAAACTGTTGTAGAAATAATAATCAAACTAAAATATAAAAATTATAGTTTATAATCATATACTACATAAATTGAGAGCCACTACTACTTTTACACATTCACATAACCATTGAAATAATAAAAATATAAACCTACCCGAAGGGCAATGGCCGTGTTAACTTCGTGTTTTTTTATTATTAAGCGACAATTAATAAGAAAAATAGTTAATATACACTATTACTACTGCTATATTTGCTGTACAATGATAACTCAGAGTCAGATTATTAAATTTTTAGGGTAATAGACCACTCATCGCAAGCTAACGTTTTAAAATGCGTTTATGTAAAAAATGGGTCTTAAATATTAAAAAAAGTTAATCGTAAAAGTAGTAAAATCGTAATGTATTCAAAATAACCTTTTTAAAAAGATAAAAAACACAAATATTTTTAAAACTTCCTCGTTTGGCCACTTTATTACATACAACTTATACAGTAATTTCTTTCTAAAATTATCTTAATTTTAAAAGTCTTTTCTATTACATTTTTTAATTGCTATTGCCTGCAGTTAAATTGTTAAAACATGGTGAATTATTGCGAAAAAGTTCATTAATCTGGAAAAGATTTAAATATGTCGAAAAAAATGTAGCCAATATACCAAACAGTAAAACGGCCATGGAACAAGATAAATCGCATTGCAAACGATTGAACGTGTAAATAGTACGCAACCAACAAACTTCCAAAAGTGCTGGCAAAGTGATACGAGAGTTCTGTGCCAATTGTGGTGGTGGTCCATCTAAGGGTTCATAATTTAAATCTAAGGGTAAACTACCATAGGCAGCTTCAGTGGCAATACGTTGATGATAACGCTCCAGTTGAACCATACGTCTATACAGCAAAGGTGGTAAAATGAAAACCAATGGACCCGTTATGGTACCACCCACAATATCCATTAAAGCATCAAAACTTGGCAAAAACTCAGAAATCATTACCTGTAAAGCCACCACTGTGGATCGTATGAAGACACGTTTTAGGGAGAAAACTAAAAAAATGTTTTAATTAAAAGCTATTTTAAATTGGGAAACAGAGTTTTATTTTGTACCTTCCGATATTTTGAGATAGTTTTCAATTTGCAAAAACAAAGCCGAACTTCCCACTGTGACAGAAAAGCACAGTTGTATTGTGATTAATATCAGCAGTATATATAACGGTAGACTGCGAGGCAAAGTTTCTAATACGTTTTCCGCTATCATGGTACCAAATTTATAGGCTGCTATAATCGAACCTAAAATCGCCATAGTCGATGTGGCTGGAAGAAAGTTACTTAATCAATGATTTTTTTCAGAATAAGATAAAACCGGTATGAGGTGATAACTGAACAAATAAATTAATCTTTCCTTTGAATAACTATATATAGTCGGATATATGGAAGTCAAATCAGATCACGGTCACAGGAATTAGTTGTTTAACTTACCGCGTTTGAGGTAATGTTAAATTAAACTTGTAGAAACCAAATAATACTTTTGATTTATAATTTGTTTGGGGCTCTTATATGAAGGTATGAGTCGATTGGATGGTTCTCTCTGAACCAATTTGGGATAACCTGACAATATGAGTTTTTTTAATACTATCTACAAACTTTGAGATTAAAAAAATATGTGCATAGATCTCAAAATAAGACCCTTTTTCAAATTAAACGTGTTTTAACGAAATTATAAGCGATTTTAATTTGACTATTATCAGTCTTATAACGAAGAACTATCTAAAAGAGTCGAAGTGCAGAAAAAAATAAATTTTTGTCGACAAATAGGACTTTCAGCTTTAATAACAGGTTTTACAAACAAAGACGCTATAAAAACGTCTCAAATATGGCTAAAACGGTGTTTTTTTAACTTTAGGACTCGATATCTCGAAAACCTGACGTGGTGGAAAAATGTTGATTCATATTTAGCAGAAAAGTTTCGAACCGAAAACAAGTTCAAACAAAAGATTTAATCCAAAATAAATTCAAGTTATTATTATTCACTTACTGGCAATACCACAAAAAGAAGCCCATCCAACTTTATTTTTTTGGCGCATATCAATTTGCAAAGTCAACAACATGGGATGAATATCAAATTGAAAAGCTAAAATGCTGTAGCCACTTAAAATAGTTAAAAATGGCGGCAGATCTAGAAAATAAAACATTAAATGTTAAATTAACGAAAGGAAAACATTTAACAAAAACCCACCAAAACTAACACCTTCAAAGGGTTTACCAATTGAAGAAGCCGTAAATAGACAAAACCACAATAGAATGACTATTACTATCATTACAACAGCCGAGAAAATGGCCAAACCTCTAAAAGTAAATGTTTTAAAAATTAAACCTTTATATGCATAAAAAACCAATAAAATACCCACCTCATATTTTTTGGACTACCCAACCAGGCCATGGGACACAAAAATATACCCACTATAATGGCCCAATAGCAAAAAGAAAATATAAATTCTCCATTAGTCATGCGATCTCCTACTAACTCCAAGTTTTGTGAAGCCATAACAATATTTGGTATGCCATTGGCAAATATGCTAACATTCAAGAGAATGGTAACCAAAAAACTCGCATAGGGACCATAGGCCAAATTAGCTATAGCGGCATAAGGATATCTGTCAAAGAACCACAAAATCATTTAACTTTGCAATGTTCTAGAGGTCGCCTTAGCTCACCTGCTTTTATTGCTTATAGACGAATCCAATGACTGGGCCATGGTCCAACATTCGCTTAATAAAAATGAAGTATAAATTTGTAAAACCACAACTGATATGACCAAAGGTATGCCAAAAAACCCCAATTCAACGAGTAGAGCCGGAAGTGTCACGAACGGAAATACACCAAACATATCGATTACATATAAAATCGCTATAAATAGTGTTAGATTTGCATCTTGTTCATTTGTGGCTGTGGCATGAAAATGTGGTAAAGCACTAAATCGTGACCGCGATAAAAATGGCAATTGATCATTTGGTTGCGGTGTCTGATGTTGTTGACGTTGCTGTTGTTTTTGCTTGATAGGATTTGGCCATCCTACGCGTTTATTAAAAAACATTGTTTTAATTTTGTTTTTAAATTAAAAATTTTTTTAAATTTAAATTAAAAGAAATTTTCATAAATTACGCAAACAACATTGCACTTTGAATAGAATTTATAAACTGAAGCCATTTATGTTGTTGCAACAAAAGTGAAGTGTTATATATTCTATTCTATTAGCTTGTGCTTTTTTTCTATTGCACATTCATACATACATATGTATGTATGTTTTCCAGCTCTTTTATTTGCTAAATTTTAAAGTAAGGGAAAGAATTCTAACCAATATTTATTACCAGTAATAAGTGACTAGTTTGTCATTCCCTCTTGAGAGTAGAAATACAAACCTGCGGATGCGGTTGCGTTTTCTGGTTCCCAGAGAAAATGTAAATTAAATGGAGTGCGGCTAAGGTTGCGGATTTTGTAGCCATTTTATTGTATTTTGTATTTGTATTTCATAGTTTATTTCGACTTTTCGATTTTTTCGACTTTTTGACTATTTTCGACTTCTTTCTACTTTTTTCCGACTATTTTTTGACTTTTTTCGAGTTTTTCCGACTATTTTAGAGTTTTTGACTTTTTTTCCACTTTTTTAAAATTTTTGACTTGTTTCTACAATTTTCGATTTTTTCCGACTTTTCGACTTTTTTCGACTTTATTCGACTTATCGACTTTTTTCGGCTTTATTCGACTTTATTCGACTTTTTTCGACTTATCGACTTTTTTCGACTTTTCGACTTTCAGACTTTTCGGCTTTTTTCGACTTTTATTCACAAAGTCGACTTTTTTCACAGACGATAGTCGAGTTATCGACTTTTTTGGAACAAAATAGTCGACTTCGACTTTTCGACTTTTTTCGACAAAAAGTCGATTGTTCGATTATTCGAAAGTCGATTTATAGAACCCTACTCTGAGATATCATAGCATTTATTTGAAACGTCAAATTGTTATCGTTTCTTGCGCATAAATCGAACTGAATTTGAACGATTGTATGTATGGGTTTTGTTGGCTTTAAGGCTGTTGTGGTTTTGATTTATTTACATAGTGCCGGTCCACACACCGAAACTTTAGTTGAGAAACTTTTTCTTAATTCTCTTTTAAAGTTTTCTTAATGTCTACACATAGACCTGGTCCACAATTCTCTTTAGAAGTTTCCTAGAAACTTTTGTTTCAGAAACTACGTGTTAATTGCTTTGATTTGTTTTTGTACAAATGAGAAGAATAAGAAAACGAGTTTCCGAGTACGAGAAACTTCGTACCGCGAGAGAGTTGAATGATATTTCTTTCTCTCTCAAGCAAAATCAAAAGTTTCCCAAAAATAGTTTCCTAGTGTGGACCGGCAGATAGACTTGCAATATAAAAACTCCAAGGAAAGTCTAACAAGGTCAAATTTCACAATCTCCACCATGCGAGATGGCATTGCCATGCCACAAGAATGACTTATTTTTGAATAGAAGAATTAAATACAAATAATTTTAAAAATCTTAAAAATAACATGGGACTCCTTCCCCTTTAAATTTCAATATAAATTACTCTTCATTCTCTAAATATTCTTAACGACAAATTTGTCTGAATAATATTCAATATTAAATTTAATTCATAACGAATACAATTGTAGTTATTATTGTCGACTAACATTGATTTCTATTAATCGTAAATATTTGCCTCTGCTCTCTGGTTTTATTGTATTAACAATTTATATTTGTGCTGCATGAAATAGTTTCAGTTTGATTTTGTGGTCAATATAAAATGCAACAATTGTTGTAAGTAATTTAAAACGTAGTACATACTAGGGTGATCGACTCGATTTTTCAACCGGTTTTAAAACCGGTTTTTTCTGCTTTACCAGTGTCGGTTTTTTCTTAATGTTGATTTTTCGAATATCGAATAACCCGGTTTTTTCACTTTTAAAAACCCGGTTTCGAATACTTTTATTTGCTTTGTATTCAAAGATTATTTAAATGAAATTTTTAAGTAAATAATAATACAGCCCGTCTAAATTTTAAAAATATTCGAGTCGAGGAACTAGCGTATATTTTTCTACAGCTCATTTGGTTAAACTTTTTTGATTTTCCTAATTAATTAAAAAAATTTATTTGTAAAATTGATAACAGTTTGATAAAATTTTATCAATCTTAAGAATATATTCCAATTACAATAATTAATTTACAGCTGAAATTTTATGGAAGTTTTGGAATGCCTATGCAAATTTCATAAACAGGGCTTTTAAAATAAGCTAGGATTACATAGTACCATATGTTTACCAGAAGTGTCCCACTTTTTTCCTAAATATTTTTATATTAAAGAAATAATGTAAATCAGACGACTAGATCTAAAGTTATAGTCTTTTAAACTTTTAAACATTTCGGGCCATGTTTTATTAATCAAATTTAAACATAAACATTAAGTTTTTCAAATTAAAATATATTTTTCTATTTATAATGAAAAACCGGTTAACCGGTTTTTTCTGAAATCGAAAAATATCAATCGGTTTTTTTTAAATGTCAACTATTCGAACTATTCGAAAACCGGTTTTTGGAAAATGTCGAATAATCGATCACCCTAGTACATACTAAGACAGATGAATATGTACTATTGCAGGGGAAAGCATAAATACACTGTTTACTAAATGAAAAACTAAAAATATACAGACAACTTTTCTAACTCTAATCAAATTATAATTATGAATTAATATTGCGCTTCAACGTCATTTTCAGTACAATAATTTTCTTAAGTTTTAATTTTAAATTAAATTTTCTTTGAATGATTACAATTTTAATTGTAATCAGTTCGAAAGTGGGGTTAAATTGAAGAACGCATTATGAATTAATAGTTTATGAGCAATGGCATCTGTAAACGCAAATAAAGCTAAAAAGAAAAGACGAAGAATTTGGAAATGGTTTAATAGTTTAAAACTACAGGCAACGATAGAAGCCCTTGATTTACCTACACAACTATGAAAAGAATGCTGTTTGTTCAACTTTAAAGTCTCTCGTTCACAATAAACCCACAATGTCAATAAACTTTATAAACTTTAAACAATTTCACTTAAATATTTGTGTAGAAGACAGAGGAACATAAATAACCTAACAAGTAACAGTAATCGTAACTACCATTCACCATAGTATATTTAAAGATTTGAACCCTGAAGATGCCGGAGGTCTTCAGAAAATTGATTTCAACATACATACCTATGTATATGAAAATTATTTATAATGGAAATTAGATATGCATTTTTGTGAATTAGAAAAAAAGGACATCAAACAAATTACAATGTTCGAATATTGCTACATAAACATCAGACATTTTGTCTGTTTTCCTAAATGTCAGTTACAGTTGCGATAGCACTCATTACACAAAAAAACAAGTAAACGTTGTATATTCGGATGTGCCGAATCTTATATGTATATCCTTCAATATAGTATGTTTAAAATAACAGTTAATACATATTTTATTACAAAAAATCGAAAAAATACCAGTTGGAAAACGAAAAAGTACCAGAAAGTTCACCTTTACAGATTTTCTTTCAATCAGGAAGCTGATAATTCCATGTTTCTAGGTTTAATATTAAAAAAGATTCAAAAAAATGAATAAAAATGTGACACAAAGTTTAGTCTTATAAATGCTCATTCCATCAGGATTCTATATGTATGATTTTATGTTTCTATGTTCAATAATTCCGAATCCATTTGAATGTCGAAAAAGTACTAGAAACCAAACAAGTAAGAGTGTTATATTCGACTATACCGAATCTGATATACCCACCATCAAACCGTATGCCGTAAATGGAATACTCCCCTATAAACATTAGGTTGATATTTGAAATAGGGCTTGAGCCAATTATGTCAAATTTCAGCGCTATACTCGTATTTTTAAGCCAGTAGTGAGCATTGAAGTCATTTTGTGAATCGATCCACATAGAATTTGATAGAGTAATTTTAACTCGTAAGAAACTTGCTTACGCCGAATTTAATCGCTTTGCTCTTATTATTAAGGCTGTAATGATCGTTAAAGTCATTTTCTGAAGGGGACCTTATATGGGTGGTAGGGTAAATTATTAACCGATCCTCATAAAATTTGGTAGAGGGAATTTGGCTCATATGAAACTTATTTATGTCGAATTTCATCGCTATACTCGCATGTTTAAAACAGTTATGACAACAGTTAAAGCTATTTTTTGGGGAGGAACTTGTATGGGGGCTATGCGGAAACGTTGATTGATATTGCCCATACCAAACAAACCTTACCTATAAGAAATATTTGTGGAAAATTTAAACTCTCTAGCTCTTTCCGTTTGGACTCTATCGTGCTTTCAACAGACAGACAGACGGACGTACAGACATGGCTAGATCGTCTTAGAATTAAATATGGACCCAGAATATATATAATTTTACATATATTCGATATTTCGATTTGTTACAAACGGAATGTCAAAATCAATATATTCCAATTCTTTTTTGATGGTGGGTATAAAAAACAAAAAGTACCGACTGTAGAATGAAAAAGTACCAAAAATCGTTTACTGTAGATTTTCATTCCCTAAAGCTTAATATTATAGAAAACTCAAAAAGTACCAATTATAATAAGAAAAGCTCATAAATACCATGTTTTGGGTTTTTGGAAATATGTAATACTTAAATATTAACTTAAGTCAAACAGTTCATAGTACGTACTATGTAGGAACTTTTTTCTGTGTACATACTTAAAAACATATATCAAAACTTTTACTTCAATAAGTATACATAATTTTATTTAAACAATTATTGATAATCATATTACACTTAATAATTCATAAATAGTAGTAATAGTATGCCTTTGTAAAACACTTTAAAGTGCATAAATAAGTTTAAATAAATGTATATGTAAATTAGTATGTTTAATTCACAATCACAATAAATAGTAAAATAGATATTGGAATTGTTTATTGTAGCCATTACTTAACAGTCCTTTTGTTTAAGCCGCACTTAAGACATCTTTGGAATTCATTAGATTACTTTGTTAATGAGATTTAAACATGATCTGCCATTTTAAGTTTTTTGGATTTCATCTATCATAAATAATGTATTAGTTAATTAAAAAAAGTAAGATAAAGTACAGCTACGTACGTAGATAACTTACCTCATTATCATCCAATACAACTTCTGTAATACCACATTCATTGGTTATCACTTGCACCGCTTGTCCCGGTCCTGTGGTCGATTTCTTATTTTTATTATTATTAACATTATGACCCAACAATTTACCAATTACACCGGCACCTGATTTATCACCACAACAAAATACATTGGCTGCTGTCATTGTTGTTTTACGATTATCTAAATTGTTGCTATTATTTAATATATTTTTAACTAATGAAAAATCTGTTTCATCCATATGCTCTTCATCATCATTGTTGTCAACATCTTCATCATCTGATGGTGTTGTCTCAATTGATGATGTTTGCATGTTAACATTTTGTTGTTGATTAATGTAAGCAATATTAAAAAGTTTATCCTGTTTAGAAGTTCGGTTTAATAATGTTATATACTTACTAAAGTTCCCAAAAAAAGCGTAAGCAATAGTGAACGAGAGAGATATATAAATACTTTATCATAGGGTTTTAAGTTATAAAAGGTTGAATGAAATGTAGTGGAGAATTGTATATACTTTTGAAAGTTCGAGTTTTATTAGTTGTGGAGAAAGTGGAAAAAGTAATTATGTGAAAGAGGTTTAAAGATGCATTGTTCGTTAGACAATACATCGTTCAAACGACTGAACTACATTTAAAATAAAAAAATGCATACTTAAAATAACTTGTTTCCTTATTAAGTTAAAGGTTTTATGTTAGGATATTATTCTCAAGTTTAATAAAATATATTAAAAAAAAACTCTAGTTTTAAGCGTGTTTCCGATGAGTTTACACAATGGCTCGATTTTGTGTTGAATTGTTTTTATAGCGTTAGGAATTTCGTTTCAAAAGAAAATAAAATGGCCACAATTTAATCAACAAATTAAAAGTTTTTAACCTTAACTTGTAGCCATAGTTTAAACAAATTTTATACCTTAAAGGCTGCCATTTTAACTCAATTTTACAAATGCCATCTATAAAATGAATTTTCAAAATTTAATGTGGGAGCTAGGTCCTATAATGTACCAATTCTTATAGATTGGAGTGAAGTGTTTAATATTGTTATTAATTAAACAGAGTTATTGATTAAGTAAAAATATGGGCCTGTTGAGAAGTGCAACACCGCACTGCATCAGCGTTTTTGGTTTTTTTTAGCATCATAATTTCTGGAACAGGCCAGTAAAAAATAAATTGAAAACAACACAAAAACTATTAAAAATTTGTTTTTATGAGATAGTTCGACTTTTTGCAATTTATCAAAAGTCGACTTTCTACAATTTTAAAACTTGTCGACTTTCCAAATTTTCCTAATTCCGACTTCGTTAACTTTTTTAAAGTCGATTTACAGAACCATAAAATAAATGTGAAAACTAATAATACAGCATATTTTAAGGCGCAGAATAAAACTAAAAAATAAACAGCTGTTAATTGGAAATTACCAATCAAAAAGTACACTGAACAAAATAAAGAAAAAATAAAATCTTACATTTTTTCAATAATGAAAATATAATTGAAACTAAAAATTAAATTAAAATATCACAATAAAATTAAATTAACAATTTGTTTGATCTTGTTTGGTTTTGATTTTTACAAATTTTTCTAATAACACTCACACTCCATATATAACTTCCAGGTAACGTGTGCTAAATTATTGTGTTCTGGTGCTATTACAGAAGAAGAGTTGTTGGGAGATTTTGAAGACAATAATTGTATATCGATGTTTAAATTTTGATTTTTATTATCAGAGTTTATTGTAAGACTTCTACTATTAGTAGCTAGATTAGCAGTAGTAGTAATTGTTGTTGTGGTGGTTTTGGTGTTGCTACCAGTTGTGATGGCAGTAGTTGAAGTGCATTTTAAGGTGTTAGAGGAAGGAGGAGGTCAGCTAGATTTGCTTTAGTGTTTTTTTAAAATAAAATTTTATATATTGTAAATAAATGAGAAAAAAGCAGACAAAAATATAAGCACACATAAAAAACAATAGAGATTATTTTAATCTTAGAATGAATTATTACAACAACAAACTAATGAGAGTTAAACAGTAAAGATTTGGTTCTGTTTTTTTAATTTGATAAAATGTTCAGTGTACGTAAGTTGGATTTGTTAAAAAAATGATAAATGTACAAGTGAAATGAAAAGATGTCTATGACTAACTGATTGAATGCAATGTGGTTTGTTTGAGGGGATGTAATGATTGTTATAGAAAAAATATTAATAGAAAAAGTGTCCACTTACGTGTTCGATTGGTATAAACCAAATTGTTTTATATATTCCAAAACCATATCATCTATAAGATATTTACAAGATTGACCACGTCCCAGCAATCGACGTATCATAGTTGAACTGACTTCATTCGATACCCAATTGGTGACCAAAGTTATATTACGCTAAATTATTTAAAAGGAATTATTAAATAGGTATCTGTTTTGATAATTTTATAGTACTTACTTGATATTTCGTTAAAGTGTCTGAATCAAATACAAATTTCTCAGGATTTGAACCACTGCGTGATATAACAACTAAACCATGATTGGAAATAATATCTTCAATCTAAATGACATATGTATTTCAATTTACCTAGTAAAACCAGTATTTTATTAAAACTTACATCTTCTTCCGCCCATAAACCAGGTACAGCAAACGATTCTAACAAATCAGCGCCACATAAAAGTTTCAATTGTACTGGATCACGACGTTCCCTTAGACTTGGTGGCAACCAGCTAGGTATTTGATGATCTCCACTATTCATATTATCCAAATCAGGTGAATTTATATAATTATTCATGAAATTTTGATGATACTGCAGAACCGCCTGAGTGCGTGACCAGCCATCTTGTTGCGTTTCCCATTCCGACAGACGTATCCAGGTGGAGGATTGCAAAGCCAATTTTACCATGGAGCAACGATGTTTACCCGGTGCCAAGCCTTTTTTACCATATGCATCATGAGTGGGTGAGACAATGCCGCCTATAACCTTGTGGGTACCCTGCATTTCAAAGTGATCTTTGGCAATCTCTATTTTACAAAAAGAGATATTGATAAATTATTCATGAAAATCTTTATTACTACTTACCAAACATACGAAAGTGCATAGGTGTTGGTGGACTGAATGATCCACATGCGATTAGCACAATTCTAGGTAATAATCGATTCGAGGTTTCTTCTATAAAAGCTGACATTTTATTTGTTCCTTTTTCGATTTATGACAATTTTTTTAGTTTCTTTACACTTTATAAATAAGTTTAATTATTTTATAATAAATTTTTGTAATTTTTGTTCCTGCGGCTTCTGATGAAATTCCGTCAGTGTGTAAAAAAGAAAATATTGTTGTTTATTATTTAGCAAGGTCGTCAGAAACCGTTGCCAAGCAGTTGTAAACTGGATGAACGTAGCCGCCGGTTGGTTTTGAATGATGACGCCGCTAAAATGGAGTCGGCTGAAAATCATAAAAATCAGTAGTTATTAATATAACTGTACAGTTACAACTATAAGTTTTTCAAACAAACAGTTTGACAAATTTTCATTTTAGCAATTTTACTTTACAAAATGTCATTAATTGTTTAAATTGGTTAAATTCTTAAAGTCGACTGTTCATAAATTGCAAAAAGCTATTTATGAAAAGCGCACGATTGTAAAGTTTTTGACAACAGTAAGTTTTAAGTCTGTATACATTTCTATGTATAAAAACTTGTAAACAATAAAGGGCCTTCTACACGATCACACTTTACGTACGTAAAGTGAAATAAAATTTCATTCGTATGACAAAAAAGAGAATTAAAATCGTATGATTTATATTTTTTGTGTTTACACCATGGCGAAACTAATAAGGTGAAGTCATTTCAACAGCTGATTGTTTTTTTGTCCATGGAAATTTAGCCCGAAGTTGTCAAACTCAATATAAAAAAAATTCTCTTTCAAACCCGACGCTGTCAAACTACATATATAAAAAATTTCATGAATTCGCTGCAAAATGAAATGACTTCACCTATTCGCCTTGGTTTACACGATTGGTATTGGATGTATTTTACATATAACAGCTGTTTTGTTTATGTTTGTCATACGAAAATAGAGCACGCTCTAATCGAAAAAATTACATATGTATTTCCATTAAGGCTGTTTTACTTTTTTTGTATATCTTTAAAATACATCCCAGATCTAATGTGACTTGCTTGTTTTTTTAATCATTTCAAAAAATGAAGAGAGCCATACGACTGTCAATTTTTTTTTTTTACACAAAATTTTGACAGATCATATTGCATGTGTACTCGTGTAAAGGGGGCTTAATAAGTTGGGCTAATGATGTCACCTTGTATTGAATACATCCTAGTGGCTACATAATACTACTGAGTTCACACAGTCATGCTTTATAAATGAGTTTAAACTCAACCGTTCACATATTAAAAAATAAAGAAATTTAATTAATTTACATTGAATTGAAGATTTAAACGAAATTATTTCTTAACTCAGAACATTTTAAACTATTAAACAACAAAATAATTTTTTTTTTGTAATTTAACTTTTTGTTTTTGATATTACTTTTTGTTCTAGAACTATACTAGATTAAAATTTTCCATCCGTATTTTCCGTAAATTTATATGTATGTACAGTTTATCTACACTATACTTCTTTATTTTATTTGAATTTTTGATATGAGACTTTTGTTGTGTATTATTAAAATGGTATATTTTTATCATCCATATTAAATATTATTTACATTATTAAATAATATTTAGCCCGAAGAAAAACTTTAACGGTGTAGAAAGCAGCAAAAAATATACTTGCCAGATTTTTAATTATTGCCAATAATAACAAACAAAACCTTGCCACTCTTATCATATTCCTACTAATTTGACAGATTTTGTTTCATAAATATGGCGTCGTGTTAAATGTCTTTCTACGACCAGTACGTGTGTGTGTGTGTGTTTGTGAAAAAGGAAAAATTACGATATTTTCTTTTGTTAGAAGTTAAACAAGAAAAAAACATATTTGCAATAGAATTTTTGTAAATTTATATTAAAAAAATAAAGCATTATCAATGAAATTAATAACACGTAGTTAATGTATTTTTCTGCTAAAAAACGAAAAGAAAATGAATTTGTGCAACAAATGTAAAAGTTGAAGACGGCCAGTGAGTGAAAAAATCTGTGCAAAAAAAGAAAAAAATATTAAGGAAACGAAGACAAGAAAATAAGTGTATGTAAAAGGCAGTTGCTGAGGCAAACAACAGTTGTAGGAAACGACAGAAAAAATAAAAAAATACAGGGGCGACGACAACTTCAAGAAAATAATACTGTCGTTACAAGACGACAAAACATCATAAATAATAAAAATACATCCAAACAACACCACGGACAAAGGATTTCTAAATAAAATGGCACTAGTGACAGTACAACGCTCGCCAAGTGTCACTGGTTCACCACAATGTTCCAATTCGGTAAGACCGACCTTTAAAAATACAAAAAGTGAACCTTTCTTGTTTGCAATTAAGACTTTGGAATCTTAAATGTCATGGTAAAGACAAAAAAAAAAAAAAAAACAAAAAATATAATATAACTTTAAGATCCACTTGTAAAAATTGGTTAAAGTGTTTATATAGCAGGTTTTTTTAAGAAAAATTTATAAGTGAAAAAAAGTCATACATATATTTATAAAAAGGGTGTATTATTCATTCATATTTCTTTGCTTAAACAAACAATGTAACTTTTATAGAACTGAAACTAAAAAAGTCAGCTTATATATATGTACGTCTTGGTATGAATTTCTTCTTTATTGTATTTTTTATGTGCACAAATAAGGCAAAAAGTGCGAGTTGCGCAAATACCCACAAAAAAATTACTCATTTCTTGCATTTCTTTTTTATGTTATGGCTTTATTTTCATTTTTGTTTTGCTTTTTTGCTGTTGGTAATTTTATTTGTTTTCTTATTAAGTGGTCTGACAGTTTAAGAAAATATTTTGGAATATTGTCATCTTTGTAATGTTACAAATTAATAGTTAATTATGTATACATAACTAATTATTAATTTGTAACATATTATGTATGCACATATATTATTTATTTATTCTTGTTTGTCAAACATATGTATGTAAATATGTAATAAAAAATTTTCTTGTCGGTTTATAATAATTTGTTTTTTTTTCTTTCATGAAAATAAGAACACTGTCAAAATGTATACATACATATGTATACATAAAAGTTAATTTTATCGCTTTTTCTGATTTCCTGTTGTCAGGTATCGAGTTTGTGACAAAACTTCCTTTAGATACCGTTAGTTATTTAAATATTATCAGAGATCAATACTTAAGTTGTCAATTTTTTTTATTTTGTTCGATTGAGCTTTTATTTTGTTGTCATTTGATTATGTAGGCCCATTATTACAACTTACTAATAACTAAGTGCCGGTTTCTATAAATGCGAAAGAACATTTTAATTTTTATAAATAGGTATATTTTTATGTTACTAATTATTGAGCCATACAAATAAGTAGAAAATGTTGTTTCGACATTTTGAAACAGGCACTAAATATGGGATTTTATTATGGCCCTTAATAACGTCTGATAATTATTTTATATAATAATATATGTTACGTGCCTACGTGGGTTAGTTGAAAATGATCTAGTACCTACATACATAAATATGTCAGTACGGAGGTCGTGCTTTCGATTCCCATTACAAATTCTAGTAAGGAGCGCAGGCCAGACCTGAGAGCGCCATAGGTGTATTTCTACGTATCTTATATCATACATAATCTCTTCAAAGTAACTTATATTTGCATATGTAGTAGCTAATTAAGAGCATCATCGAAAAATATTATAATATATCAAAATACAATAGGTATAACCACAAATTTCATATAGGCAATCGTAATTGTTGTAAGTACAATACCACGATAAGGAAGTTCATAAACTTATAGCAATAACAAAGATTAATGCCAATAATTTAATCGAATTGAAATAATATTTAGTATCACAAAAGGATAATATCAAAAAACGACTTGACAAGTGTTCATCATCTGTGTAGTTAAGACCGATTTTTTAAGCTATTTGCGTGTATAAGGAAGACAACTATTGTTTATTAATGAGCTAAAGCAGATCGTCATTTAAAATTTATTAAAGATTTTATTATTTATATTATTAGGTACATATGTATTATATTATATATTATTTGTTGTACAATAGATTAGATGCTATGCCTATTTTTTGCTACGTATTTTTATTTTCTTAATACCTTTAAATAGATTTATGCATAATTCTAATTTTTATTTCATTAACCTTTTATAGTCATATATACAAAACGTTTTGAATAAACAAACCAGCCGCTCTTTTTTGTTTTATTCTCTTAAAAGATTTATTTTGCAAAATTTTCTTTGCTCTTTGATGATTGTCAAAATTCTGTTGACCTTGCCTCCACTAATAATTTTTGTAGGTCTTTTATTTTAAATTTTATAAATATTTTGTGTGTGTATTGCCTTGAATGTTATTTTGTAAACATTTACGTTTTATTTGACGATTATATTTTGCGTTTTTTTCCTTTTTGTCTATTTAAAAATAAATTCGTCATATTAATATTAAATTTGTTTTATTGATAAGATTTCAATGTTTTCATTTGAAATCTATTTAAGTTTTTTTGTTTAATATTTTTGCCATATTAATAAACAACTAATATTAATACAATTGATTTGATTTTTGTGTGTATAATGATTTGAAACAAATTAATGACCATCATTGTTTTCGTAGTTTTATTTTTATTTCAATGCAGCTTTCTTCCTCTTCTATTATTTCATTTGACATTTCTAGTATTTTGTAATCTAATATATCATAACAGTGTCAGTGGGTGATGATGATGACGTTGATGATTCACTACTATCAACTCCCCCTATTTAACTAGTAGTTATTGTCATTGCTATATGTTTTTATATTATTATTGTTTTGTTTTGTCAATATTTTATTTAATTCTAGCTAGACTATATCTCATCATTATTGATGTTGTGGCATATTTATTCCGTTTTTTAAATTTTGTTTATTTTTTGTTTCTTTCCTACTTGTAGTAGTTAATACTTGAGGTGTATAAAAAGTAAACATTTATTTAATTCCCTTGATTATTATCAATAATAAATATTTATTATTGTCGTGTATGTTTATCGTTTGTTAATTTTTGCTAAAAAAAAACAACCGCAATTTTATATTGTTAATTTATATTTTTCTGTTCTAAGTTAAAATTAATATAGTTTTTTGTTATAAATTAAACTACACGTGTATTTACATTAAAAAAAGTTAAAGACATCCACATACATATAAATATCCAACTAGATTTTGTAGGGATTTCCCATTAAACAAGGCAATTTTCTTAAGAATTTTTTCCCTTATTATTACTCATTTTTTCAATATTTATTTAATAGGTGTGATAAATGATTGGCTCATTAAAGGTACAACTAGTTGTTTATATGATTTATTTGGTATATTAGCTATTATTTTAATACAAATTTGCAAATATATTCTCATTATTATAGAAATGCTTCACATTCAAGAAAAAACATTAACAATTTAAAGTCAAACATAATATCGAACAATCAATTTAAGTTCAGATTTTTTTTTGCGATTTTGCATCTTTAGCATTAACATTAAAATAAGATTTAAAATTTTTAATAAAATCAAAATTTTTTAGAAATTAATTTTATCATTAATTAATCATTTATAGGATAGCGAAGCTGACGAAGATGAGGGTAGCAAAAATGAAAAGAGCGAATGTTTCTTTGCTGGCAAAGGTACCGCATTAGTATTAGCGCTCAAAGATATTCCACAACATGCCGAACGTCGATTGAGCACCGACTCAATAAGATCAACAAATAGCACACAAAGTAACAATTCCGATATACAACAACATTTGCAATCTATGTTTTATTTGATTAGACATGAGGAAACATTGAAAATGGTAAGAAAATCGATTTAATCACAAAGTACTTATGTTCTATATAGAGTTAAATTATTCTATGTGTGATTCTTTTTTATTATTTAAGGCTGTTAAACTGGAATCACAACGTGCTAATCGCACACGTTATTTAGTAATTGCATCTCGTTGTTGTTATCGTTCTACAACCACCGAAAGGCGTAGTAAAATTATGCGTCATAATTCAGCTAGAGTTGCGTCATCATCTTCATCATCAACAATGTCATCAGCTGCTGCTGGTGTGGGCAATAATGCTGTCCCACCAACAATGGGCACAGCACGTCAGTTATCGGTTGATAGTAATCGACCATCTTCGCAGCATTTGCAACAGCTTCAGCAGCAACTTCAACAAATCGATGATAATTGGGTGGAATTACGAGAGAAAAGGTTTTCATCAAATTCCTCCTCTGCCTCGAATCGTCAAAGTCTTAAATGTGATGCATCAGATAAAACTAGTGCTTCGGGAGATAGTAGCAAAAATAGCACCGCCACAATAACACAAACAACTGCCAATTCTTACACTATGACTGGATCCTCTACTACTACTTCTACTACTAACTCAAACACGGCCGCCAATGCTAGTAGTCAAGATTGTGTGGGCGTTGAGGAGTCTTGTCTGCTCGGTATTGATTGTAATGAACGCACAACAATTGGTTTGGTTGTGCCAATATTAGCTGATACTACCATACATTTGGATGGTGATGGGTGAGAAAACTTATCCCAAATTTAAAGAATATTTTTTTAATTTACAATTTCTATTCTTGTACAGAGGTTTTAGTGTGTCAGTTTATGGCAAGACTCATATTTTTAAGCCAGTTTCTGTACAAGCAATGTGGTAAGTGAATAGGGAAACTTTGTCCACATTACTTAGTTTCGATATTGATTTTGTTTACTTTTTTATTGCGGATAAAAGGTCTGCATTGCAAACTCTACATAAAGTATCTCAAAAGGCTCGTGAGAATAATTTCTATCCGGGCGGTCCCTCACATGATTGGCTGTCATATTATGAAAGTCGCATAGAATCAGAGCAATCATGCCTCAATGAATGGAATGCCATGGATTCAATAGAAAGTCGCCGACCACCTTCACCAGATGCCATACGTAATAAGTAAATTGGATGAACATTTGTTGTAAATAACACGATTAATTTCTATTCATATTTGTTTTTAATTCAGACCTACTGCTAAAGAAGAAACCGAAAGTGTGATTAAAATGAAACTGAAAGAAATTATGATGTCAGTTGATTTGGATGAGGTCACTTCAAAATACATACGCAGTCGTTTGGAAGAACATTTAGATATGGATTTGGGTGAATACAAATCGTTTATTGATGAAGAAATGTTAATGATATTAGGTCAAATGGATGCACCCACCGAAATATTTGATCATGTTTATTTAGGCTCAGAATGGAATGCTAGCAATTTGGAGGAGTTACAAAAAAATGGGTGAGTCTTTGTCTGGTTCAACACTTCTATATTTTATTAACTGTTTTCAAAATTTTAGTGTACGCCATATTTTAAATGTAACCCGCGAAATTGATAATTTCTTTCCGGGCATGTTTGACTATTTAAATGTGCGTGTTTATGACGATGAAAAGACCAATTTACTTAAACATTGGGACAACACATATCGGTATATAACAAGAGCTAAAGCCGAAGGTTCTAAAGTATTGGTCCATTGTAAGATGGGTGTAAGTCGCTCGGCCTCTGTGGTTATAGCGTATGCCATGAAAGCCTACAATTGGGAATTCCAAAAGGCTTTACAGCACGTCAAGCAACGGCGTAACTGCATTAAGCCCAATAAGAATTTTCTCAATCAACTGGAAACGTATCGGGGAATGTTAGATGCCATGAAAAATAAAGAAAAACTGCAGCGCAGTAAAAGTGAGACAAATTTAAAGAGCACAAAAGATGCCCGCCTATTGCCGGGAAGCGAACCCACGCCTTTAATACAGGCTCTAAATCAATCGAAATCAAAATCGGGCGGAGACAGCACCGATGTTGTATCCGTGGTTAGTGCGGCATCGATTGATGTGCCGGATGTGGGAACGTTGTCTCGGCCAACAGCACGTAGTGATCATAAGCATAGACGATATGGAAGAAGATCGAGCAGTACCTCGCCGCGTACCATACAGTCACCGATGGCCACTACAATCGTGATGAAGCAGCAGTCACAAAGTTTAGAGAATTTAACACCCGACCGTAGCATAGCAGATGAACCAAAAAATATGCGTTTTCCCGGTAGTAATGGCGAGAACTATAGTGTTACACAAAATCAAGTTCTACATATACAGAAACATACTCCACCTTTAAATACTTCAATGTTTCTGGCGTCATTGGCCCGCAGAGATGAGCAAAAAATGCAAACGTCTCCTTCAGCGACCACATCAGTTCGTACAATAGTGTATGATTTGGAAAATCATCAAACACAAGACGCGACCCGTAAAGTTGTAGAGGACCGTAAGACGATAAATTTGCCATTTGAAAAAACTGCCGAGGAAGAAGAGGATGTTGCTGTTGATAACAGTGTAAACAATTCGGGAGCAGACATTGGTGGTGGAAGAGAAAAAGTGGGTAGTCCTGTGTGGACTTCGTCGGCCAAGCTGATTACACAAACATCAAATATTGTAGCTACAAGTATACCGCCGTTTAATCGAGAAGAGGCCATACAAAAACGTCAACATAATCGCAAGACCCAATCATGGGCTGCTACTAGTGGAGGCATTATAATGGATGCCAGTTGCCGGGGTTCGAATAGCAGTATTGATTCCATTTCAACTCAGGCATCAGCACCCACCTCGGTAGCATCCTATGAAGGTATAGTGCGTACACGTTCCCGCCAAAGAGAATTGCCCTCTCGTCATGCCTCCTGGGGTTCTGGGGACACTCGTTGTGGCATGCCCATGCGCAACAGCTCCTGGGGAGCTTTCGACACCAACCGCAATAGTTGCCAGTATAATTTTAGCCAGCATACAAATGCTAATGCCATTTTTGAAGGTCAAATTCATGAACTTAACACGAGTAATAAGACTGCTTCAACCACTCATTCTCAACACCACCAACATCACTTCGGTACAGTTAAACGGACCAAACAGAAACTCGAAGAGTGTACGGCTCTCAAAAAACTCTGCCAAGAAAACGGTAGTGAAGGGGAGGACACAAATACAGAGCAGTCGTCGACGACGACAGGAGATGAAAATTTGGAAAGTCATCACAACACCAAACGAGGAACCAATTTGTTTCGTTCAGCATCAGCTGCTTCTGGAACACGAACACGTTTTGCTCAAAGATGTAACAGTGAGGAAATTGTACCCAGTGGTGGGGCTCAATTAGGCGCTGGCCGACGTAGTGATGGTAGTCGTCCCATAAATACAGATATATTTTCAGCTTCGGCTCCGGAACCTTATACCATGTCCGATATTGAGAACAAAAACACCCTAATGGGTAGTGACGAGGAAAATGTTGTTCTAAGGCCATCTGTAACTGGGCAACACATTTCATGTGCCGACGATCAACGCATATCGGGTAATGTGCAAATTTTAAAGAAAAGCTTCGAGGCCAAAGCTGGCAGTGTGGGAGCCGTTGCACAGGGCCAAGTACAAACTACAAGCACTACGGCCCTGGTAAATACTATACCATGCAATAAACCGGTCAAGGGACATCATTCGTTGCCATCATCGCCAGTTGCTCAGCATGTAGAACATCAGACAACACAACAAGCGACTAAACCCTTTTTAGAACAAACTACTAACACAACTCTAATGACTACATCGGCCTCTGAAAGTGATCGTAATGTTAAGGGTTTAGTTCACAAATATCAGACATCAGCGTCATCAACTCCCACAACGCTTACGACGGCGGCTGTTGCAAAAAACTCAAATCCTACACCTCCCGTCGCAGCAACAAACCCCTCCACGTCCTCCTCTACAAACGCAGTTACTACCATGGCGACATTTAAACCCCGACCCAGATCGAGCTATGAACCACAAAGGTCTTTATCAGGGAAACCACATGAATTTAATGAAAGTCGACCACCACCCGCACCTCAGAAGTCAGCGACTGCCGGCCATCATCATCACCAGCATCACATAAACGAGGGTATTCTAACGCAACAGCAGCACCAACAGCCTCCGCAGCAAAGGCGTTTGCAACAACATGGAAAAACTCATCCACTCGCTAGGCTAAGTTTACCAAAGCAAAGCTTCAATACAGCCGCTTATAATACCATGTAATCATCATCTAATATATGCAAACATACATACATAAATACATACATATATTTCTATATATATATATGCATAGAACATATTCAACTATACATACAACAAAATTCTAATCTAAATCAAATCTTTAAGAAAACTCAATGCATATTATTTTCACCATACACAAGAATAAAAACAAACAACATTATTAATTTACGCTACACCCAACAACCATCAACACAAACAAAACAAATCATCACCAATTTATTATTATTACTATTATAATTACTATTATCTACAAAGCAACCACTACTATAAATATTATTGCCACCACCCGAACCCTCCAAATGCATCCATCTTCACTACTCTCTTTCTCTCTCTTACTAATTCATCAATATTATAAATGTTTTGTGTGTTTCACCATTAAACACCTGACCACCCACCATTTATTATTTACTCATTAAATACAACCGTTATGTGTTATTATTTATAAATTGTCCTCGCGTTTATGATGCACCCCCCCTATTCCCGCCCTTGTCTTTCTTATTACATTAAATCTCTAATATTTTTTTTATTCATTTGTGTCCCATTTTTATACGCTTTTTTTATTTTTTTACGCCTTTTACTTTTTTTTTTGTACGAAATAATCCTTTTTTAAATTGTATTTATTTTAATTGTTATTACTATTGTTGTTGTTGTTCTTAATATAAATGTTCAACTATTGTGATTATATATTTTTAAATGGGATTTTAACTCAATTTATTCTCTTACCGAGAAATTTATATATTTTTATTGCAAGTTTTTATATATATTTTTTGTCAAATTAAAATTTTAAAATATGTTCTTGGTTTTAAATTCAAAATTTCCAAAATATTTTTTAAATTAAATTTTGGTAGATTTTATTACTTACCATACTTTATTAGACAAAATCTAGAGACAAACTACATCGCAAGTTTTACAAAGAAAATATTTAAAATAACATTTTAGGAAAGTACTAAAAGTTAAAATTGTCTCTTTGAAAATGGTGAAATGCAATTATATTCTGCTTTTGTATTGAACCGTAGCCATTTAGTAGTCGATTTGTTAGACGAAAAACAAATTTAAAGATTTTTGTTTGAAATTACAGTTTTTAACTTGTCTGTATAAATTACGATTTCCCGCCATTTCTTTAATACAAATGTTGCACTTTTAATAATAACAAATTAACGAAAAATGTGATCATTGATTTAAAGTTAAATCCAAGTAGAATTTTTTTAATGCAAAAAAGTTTCAGCAAACGCTGACTATTTCATTTTAAATCTGAAATAAAAGTGTTTTTGAAACTCTTATGAAATATTTGTAAAAATGTTTGAAATTACATTTGATAGCAATTACAAAATTTTGATTTTGTGTGTTCGCTGGCATATTAGCTGCAGGCTTACGTTTTAATTAAAAATATTTTTTATATTTAATATATTAAAGAATTGTATTTATAAAACATAGTCCTGCTAAACCAGACTTTTAATGATAATGACATACTAACCAAGTAAACTGGGATACATTCTGTTATACGATTCGAAAATAAAAATTTTATTTCAAAAGTTTTTCGAATCAAATTGCGGAACATATCTCTGTTTTTATGACAATTTTTTCATATAAAAATGTTTCGAAACTATTTTGTCGTGTTGATTATAAAGTCTATCTAAAGAGCAGGACTTGTTATAAAATTGTATTTAAATTTATATACCTTTATTAGTATTAGTAATTCTTAAGTGATTCATAATTGTATAAATTCTAACTAAATGAGTTCATATTCATAACATAGATTTGAAATTGTATTTAAATAAATTCCTAATTATTGTTTAAGAGTTAAATTGAGTTAAAATTTTATTTAAATGCTCCGGAAGTGTTATTGTAAATTCTTGTTCTGTCAAAGTGGTGTTTGTTTAATTTTGTTATGTTAAAGTTTTCTTAATACAATACAAATTCTGCCTTATTGTTCTAGGCGTTATTTGTTTCTCCTTCTTATTTCAAATAAGAAAATGGAAATAATGGCTTTTATAAACATATAACTTTTTCTATCACACTATATTACTGTTCTCGTTTTAAAACCAATAAGAAAACCAAAAAGCATTTCGTTTTCATTAACATCTTTTTTCGTAAGATAAATATTCTCTATTTATATATGCCTTTTAAAAAAAAACAACAAATATTCCAAATATTTCTTACAGATTTTTTCGCATGTTACGCTCGGTCAAGTATACTATTGATTACAACAACATCATATGCTATTACAACAACAACAATAACACCCAATAATTTTTAATACATATTTTAATTATTTAAATTGCTTACACCAAAAAAAAAAAAAACAAAAAAGAAAATATCAAATATATATTACTTTATTTTTTTTTTAATTTTTTAACTACAATTACTGCAACACCTTCCCACCACCCACTCAACACTTTTTTCTTAATCTTTTTGTTTTGTGTTTTATGTAATCTATAATAATCAATCTATCATTTAAATACTGCTTTAATTTTAAAATATTTCTTTATTCTATTTAAAAAAAAGAAAATATATTTTAATTTTTTAAAACATTTATAAAAAATTTCAATAATATTCACAACAACAATATTTGAACTAAAACATCCAAATAGTTAGAGGCATTTGAAAAAATCTTAAAATGTTACTTTCCTAAGAGAATAGAATTACCATACTTAATTCGTAAATTTTAATTTTATTCATTTTAAATCAAAATGTGTAACAATTATACTTTTAAATTACCTAAACGTAATTGTAATCTGTGACTTGCCTGAATATTGAAATTTGAAAATGAGTAGTAATTAAATGGAAGTATCTTTAAAAACATAGCCTAAACAAAAACACCACAAAACACAAACTACTTATATATATTTTTAGCGTTGGAAAAAACAAGAACATTTTAAAATATTTTCCTTAGAATGTTGAGTAAAGATTACATACAAATATATACAATTAATTACATTTTAATTTATTCGAATGCAAATGGAATCCACATAAACAACAACTACAACAAAACAAGTACTCTATTTTAGCTCTAAATAATTAAAAATACAAACAATTTTTTTGTGTAAATATTGTAAGATTTTTTTCTATTTTTATGTTTGTATGAAAACCAATGGTTTAAAAAATTAATAAATTATATAAAATTCAAATTTTTAATTAAAAAATGCATTACTAAAGAAGTGTGGCATACTTTTTTTAAAACAAAAAAAGAATTGCTAAATTGATAAAACTTAATTTTAACATCTTTTAATAGTTGAAGTATTGAGCCAGGCGATTTTGAGAAATATTTTTCTGAATTTTAAAATTTTTGTTAAATATTATCAAGTATAAATAATATATTATTGCAAGAAGTAAGTATGAATATATACTATATATAGAACTATACTAAAATAAATATTTTACAAAACTGATGATAAATTTTGGCAACCAGGGATTGTAAAGATTTGTTATTAAAAAAATACATTTTAATGATTATTTTCTAAGTTTTATTTTTCGATCAGAAATGTCGTAGTCTCATTAAGTCCGTCCAGATCACGTCTCTTTAAGAATATTTTTTTCGTTAAAATTTTACCAATAATGCGATCCCTGAACTAAATAAGTAATATACAATAAAAAATCAGGACTTGATACAATAAGGTTTGCATTAGATCAATGACCCACCCATTTTTAAGGTCCAATCATATACAGTACTTTCGTAGAACTGCGACTGACAGTTCGATTTTAATGTATCTCAGCAAAATAAGTGAGGACAATGATGTAGAATTTTCACTACAAATAGCAAACTTGGAAGTACAAATTTAGGTGAAAAATCAATGAATTTTACATTAGCTTTTCATTGGAGGTATGTTATTAACCCTTTCAGGGTCAAAAATAATTTATGTCTAGAAAAAAACTTGAAAACTTATATTTAAGATAATTTGAGTATGCTGAATCCGGGAAAAATTAAATGTCGAATATATTCAAAGTTAAATGTCGAATATATTCGACATTCGAAAAACAGTCTCCAAAAAGTACCACCAATATTTTTTATGAATTTTTTTTTTTTGTAAAATGTCTTCTTAAACTTCTTTCAATACAATACAATTTCAACCTGCATAGTCCGATCTCCAAAATACAATTTTTTGGCCATTAAATGAAGCTGTTTTTTAAACGTTGTTAAAAAGCACTTTTTAAAAAGTAGTCATAAGTGACAATTTCTTAAAATCTGATTTTTAAAAACTTTTAAAATACAGAAGATCTTTCAAAATCTCAATTATAAATATAATAAAGTCTTCATTTTCATCTAAAAGAAAAAAATTAAAACTAAAGTTAAATATTATACCCAAAAAATGCTTAAATACAGAGTCTATTGTAATGTCGAATATATTCGACAAAACCACGGAAAGGGTTAATTTTTGACAACTTTAAAATAGGGAACTGTTCGGAAATACATCTGATGCGCAGTACGTTCGGAAATAAATCACAGAAATAATGATGCACAGAAAAACGACAAAACTCGCATCATAGAAGTGGCTGATTGGATAAATGAGTAAGTATTTAAATTATAATTTGTTTCAGGAAGTTCATTTCGCGTTGTTAAACGAAAATAAAACTCGAATGTATAAAATGCGCATCACTTTATTTGTATTTCATCACTGCATTTGCGAACAGGTCCTAGATCTAATCTTATTTTTAGAAGCAGTAAAACCACGATATTTTGGATGCTAAAAATAAATCACATTCTTCCTATAACACGCTTATTTAAATATAGTTAGTTTATCACCAGTTACTTTTCTACATTTTTTTATCCGCAGGCTGAACTGAATAAACTGTAACATACTGGATTTTAATTTATGTATATGGAATAAATAAAATATGTAATAGCATATTTTTACCATTTACCGTCAAATCGTGTTAGAAAGAGTCAGATTTAATCAATAACTGGAAATTTTGTAATTTACCAATTACCAAATAAATACAAAATTCTAATAAATTGGAAATATAAGTAAATTACATCACTTTAGAACTAGACAGAATAGGCCATGGATCAGATTACAGATTAGCCCATAGACCAGATATAGAGTAGCCTATAAAATACCTTATAGAATATAGTCCAGACTATAGATTAGACTAAAATCTCGACTATAAACTACACTAGACTTTTTAAACTAAATAAAAAAGTTTGTATCTTTTAAATTAAAACGGCTATTTTTTCTACTCTAATTTACATGTCATTACTTTTCATACCTAAAATATCAACTCTGGCTTTATTTTTTATCCGAAAAAAAAACATTAATCTGGCAATGTCATTTTTCCCAGATATGATTCAAAAACGAAAAAAGTAGTGCCCAGCGAATAAAATACCAATACTCTCCCCTAAATTAAAGATAACATTTTCTAAAGCATAAAAAATCTTATAGGGAAAAAGTCATGTTAGACTAATTAATACACAATTGGCTAATCTATGGCCATTGATTAGAAATTAATTGATAATATATCATAATTTTTTAAAGTTTCTAATAATTTAACAAAATGAGAGCTAGAAAAACTGTGCTCTCCCAGTTAGAGATTAAATTGACATTATTCAATTCACTTGTCAAAATTTTTTAAGGCATAGAAAGATTTTCACAGCAAAAAAATTGTAAGAAAAAAATACGGAAAATTTTTCACAGCTTTTGTTATAATAAGAAACAAAAAATTTTATGAAAACAATTGTTAAATATCCAAATCAAATGGTAGTAATTGAAGCATATTTGTGAATAATAAATACGTAAAAATTAAGTTGAAGAAAAGATGAACAAATTATTAATGACTTTGTAAAGTAAAGAAAAAATCCCAATTGGAGAGTGAGAGTTGTGTGAAATAGAAAAAAGTGACATACTCTAGTAGTGGAAGTAAAACACAAAAAAAAAATTGCAATTTTTTACTGACTGGTTGATTTTTATTTTTTTACTACTCGTGTATGGAACGCAAATTAGTAGTACGTGGCGTTAAAATATAAAATTTGTGTTTTTCGTTTTAATTTCTTTATTTTTTCTTAATTTGTTTGTATTTAATTTGGTTGAACGAGAAAAATTCTAAAAAAAAGTAAATCTTCGAATTGCTGTCTCAAAAATTTGGCTGACCAGAAAAGAAAAAATTATTTATTGTTTTTACTTCGAGGAGGAGAAAGTAAAGAGAATATCAATCAACCAAAACTCATCTGTATAAAAATATAATAATTCAAGTGAATAAATTTGTCCAAAAAGCAGAAATTATTACGAAAAGTAAAACAATTAAAAAAGGAATATAAATAAACGTAAACACGAGACGAGAGTATAATAATTGAGTGCTGAGCTGGTGGAGTGATAATGACAGATGTTTCCGTAGCTACTAAAGTGACACCCGGCAACGACAACGAAAATGACAATGACCCGGAGATGAAAGGTTGGCTTCTCAAGTGGACCAATTACTTGAAAGGCTATCAAAAACGCTGGTTCGTATTATCCAAGGGTGTTCTCAGTTACTATCGCAATCAGGCCGAAATGAATCATACATGTCGCGGTACCATCTCTTTACACGGTGCTCTTATTCACACCGTTGACTCGTGTACTTTTGTTGTCTCAAACGGAGGCACTCAAACATTTCACATCAAGACTGCCAACGAGGTAGAACGTCAATCATGGGTCACTGCTCTGGAGCTGGCCAAAGTAAAGGCCATTCGGGCTATGGAAAGTGAGGAGGAAGAAGAGAAGGAAACCTATCAAGTGGTGCCCAGTCAAGAGATCACAACTGTAGTGCGCGACCTAACCGATCGTTTAGAGAGTCTACGCACCTGCTACGATTTGATTAATAAACACGGAGTCGCTCTTCAGGGTGCTCTCAACGAAATGAAATCAATAAATTTGGCTGCTAGCGATGAAGAGACCGTCAACAGTCGCATTAAAATTGTCAATGAGCGTGCTACACTATTTCGCATAACGGCAAAAGCAATGATTAACGCATGCAATGATTATTTACGTTCGGCCGAATCGCAGGGTCACAAGTGGTCGAAAGCCCTACAGCATGAACGCGAGGCGCGTCAACGTCTAGAAGAGATCGTCGAACAGTTGGCTAAGCAACATACCCAACTGGAACAAGCCGCCAGTTTGGTGCAACACAATAAGGTAGTTCCAAATCCTCCGCCAGCTGTTCCCCAAATATGTGATGCAGACATGCAGCAGAACTGCAATTTTGCCTCCGATGATGAAACAGAATTTTTCGATGCCGAAGGCTCGGCCACCAACAATGAAAATGAGGAGGACTCGCCACAGAATGGCTCCGATAGTGGTACATTCATTTTGAAAATGCCTAATTCCATCACCAATAAGCAACAGCAAACTGAGGTCTATAGTAGCAGCAGTTCTTCAGAAGCCGATATGACAGTCTTGCGTTCGTTACCGCAGCAGGTCTGCGTCTTGGAGGAGAGAAAATCAATGGATTCACCCGATGTGGCTGCACCGGCAGGTGGGGATCCACGCAAGGTTTCTACAACAGGTAATAACACCTCCACTGGTGGTCAAGGTGATGGTTCCGCATCATCTAATCATCCTAATAATCCTCATAATCCAGGTGAGGGCTTTGGGGGTGCTGCTGGTAGTGGTTTCGGAGGTGACGGTGGTGGAGGTGGAAGGGACCCCAATAGACCCGGCGGCAGTCCCAAAGCTTCTGAAGATGCCAGCTCATCAAAAGTCGTGCGTCAACGACGCACTCGTGTCCCCGACAAACCCCATTATCCTCTCAATCTATGGTCTATAATGAAGAATTGTATTGGCAAAGAATTGTCCAAAATACCCATGCCCGTCAATTTCAACGAACCCTTGTCCATGTTGCAACGCCTCACCGAGGACTATGAATACTCGGAAATTTTGGATGCTGCTGCCCGTTGCACAGACGAATGTGAACAATTAGCCTACTTGGCTGCGTTCACGGTAACAGCCTACGCCACAACGACCAATCGTACGGGCAAACCCTTTAATCCTCTCTTGGGTGAGACCTACGAATGTGATCGTATGGATGATTTAGGTTGGCGTTGCATTGCCGAACAAGTTTCTCATCATCCACCCATGGCGGCCATACATTGTGAGGGTCGTAAATGGAAATGTTGGCAGGAATTCACAATGACTAGTAAATTTCGTGGAAAGTATTTGCAGGTAAGTAAACCAGCTCCGAATTTAATTATAGCAAATATATTTCAATTTTCTTTGTAAAAATAAACTCTATGTACGATTGTAAGTGTGTGAAAAAGGTCTCTGATGCCCAAAGTTAATGTACTCCAAGAGAAATGTTTCATAACTATATATTAAACCTTAAATTTAACAAACAAACGTTTGTTTGCACAAATGTTATTTCAGAAAAGGGAATTTAAAATATTTTACAACTTTTTATTTCATTATAATCTATGAAGACTCTGTTCTGTTTGCATTAACGGGTATTAAGATAATGTATTTTTGTCGTAGAAAGTTTATGACACTTTGTTTCTTATTAGAACAGAATGTAATTGATTGATTTCTTCTTTATCAAAATTTATATTTCAAGTTTTTTAACAGTTTTAATATAATCATATAACTTTGTAAAATAAATATATTTATTTTAATTAGAAAAAAATCATCATTATATCCACCCTTAAATTTTATATTTATTTTTATTGTTTGTAGTTTGTAGCACCTATAAATAAAATAACTGAAGTACATCAATATATGAATGTATATGTACATACATATGTATTTATAGGTTTATTAAGAATATAATGCAATTTTCTGATTTCTTTCAGATAATTATTCATGTCATATAGGCATTAATTTTTAAAATATTTCTAACCAAGCACTTCGATAGTTAAACTTTTTTGTTTAAATAATTCTTTAGAAGTTCTGCTTTATGTAGTATTACTGCGATATATACTCCCATTTCTTTTGTTATAAATTTTTATTTGAAATTATGTGATTCACCTTCTTTCGCAATTTGTAGTATTATATATTTTTTTGTATTGTGCAAATATATGTACAAACTAGAATATATAGATTGTACATATGTATGTACATATATTTGTTGTTATATGTTTGTCTATAATAGATTTTTTCATAATCTAAATATTCTGTTTTGTTCAAGTTTTTCTTTTTCTTTATATTTTTTTCGGTCGTTGATAACAAATAAACAAATCTGACAAATTTGCTACAATTATTACTATTAGTATTGTAGTTTTTTCTCTTATAATACATATGTGAAGAGTAAGAGAGGGTGAGGTCTTATAAGTTATATGCACCCTTACATATGAATCTTTATATACTAACGTGAATAAGTTATGTATAACTTTAATATTTATTTGATATCAGTTGTAGTAAATAATGACGTTATTAAGCCATTGGGATATTTTTTAATTGGTCTTATATGTTCTTTGATAACATGTTAATTTTATTAAATATATTTTGAAGGGTTTTTTTTATGTAAATAACTACAAATATTTAAATGCTAATATTTATTTATTTTATATTAATAAAATTTAAAATTTCGTTCATTTTAATTTCAATATCGAACAAAATAAAATGTTTAAAAATCACCTAGTATTTGTTCGTTGTACTATTTCTGGAGTTTATAGGCTACATAAACATTCCACTTTACGTTATTAATATTTATTGGTAATAGTAACATCCGGAGATATAAAAACGTTAACAAACCTTTTTTAGAAGCAATAAAATTAATCACAAATAATTTTATAAAACTCATTAGGAATGCTTCATAATGACAAGTAACCAACATTATTGTATGTGAAAAATTTCAGCAAAATGATATAGATTATTTTTTGGAGGGATCCAAACAAAATTCTACTTTTAAAAGCAAATCTGATTAAGAGTGTTATATGTTTGTTGGAAACGATATCTCGAATCCCAGATGTGATGGAAAAATTCTGAGGCCAGATTTGGAACATTCCTTTAGAGTATGTAGTATACTTTGGTCTATGGGCTAAGAGCATATTTATTATTAAATACTTCGCTATTCTAGTAGATGTCTAATAAATTTATTTGACAGCTATTCTATTTCAATAGGGAAGCAACAAATTTAGTTATGGATCAGGTATCTTTGAAATATTAATTGATAAAGTGGTGTTCAGTGGTGGTGGTGGTGTTGTTGTTGTTGATCAGTTCTAAATACATAATAAATAAAGCTATAAAAAAGTTTTTTTCAAGAATATAAAAGGGATTTTATTTAATCGTTCTAAAGCTTTGCAATCTGTGTACATATTTAAAATTTTCCATTGAATTTGTCAAGATTTTATTTGCACAACACTAATAAACATGTGTATGCATTTGATTGTATATTTAAGCCATAGCTGTAAAATAATGATTAATAATCGTAATCACTATTAATTAGATTATTTTTATTAAAAAGGTAAAATTAATGATTAATTAACGATTATTTTCAATTTTTTTAATTAATTATTGATTACGATTAAAAATAATCTAAAAATAATCAGGGATTAATTGGAATTAATGAAAATAATCAAAAAAATCAAAATTAATCAAAAAATTAATTGATTATTTTCAAGGATTAATTTTGATTATTTTCCACACAGAAAAAACTGAAAAACGATTTCAATTACCAAAACCTCGTTTTCAATTATTTTATTTTTTGAAGTTCAACCTATAACAAAAATTGTATATTCAATTACTACTTATAATTGATTTCGTACACAAAATTTTTATTTTTTTCTATTTTTGTTGTTGTTAAATACGTATTTGATTATACATTTTTATGAATCAAATACAAAATGAATTGAAGCCTTTTAAAATTTTTGATTAATCGTTTAATTGAAAATTTTTTAAAAATAATTTTTTCTGTGCATATATTTGGTATAATTTCCTCCAAAAAAAAAAACTTTAAGAAAAATTTAATTATTTTTCCGGTAATCTGCTAAAAATTACGGATTTTTTAAGACCCATTTCGAAAAGATTGCAGTAATTTTTTCTAATATGTTGTATTGAGATTAAGATTTTCAATCGAAATAAACTTGAACAAATATATTGTTTTCAATAAAACAGTCATATAATCGAATATAGTGTAACTTGAAGAACAGTTTTCCATTACACGTAATGTAAAAAGATAGAGAATTGTATTAAGTATATTGAAATTAATCAAAAATAATCAAAATTAATCCTTCAAAATTAATCAAATTAATTATTTGATTAATTCTGATTATTTTTGATTATTTTCATTAATATGAATTAATCCTGATTATTTTTAGATTAATTTTAATCGTAATCAATTAATAATCATAAATTTTATACCAGAGAATTAATTAATCATTACGATTATTTTTGAAAAATAATTTAATTGATTATTAATCGTAATCGAAATTTTACAGCTATGATTTAAACTGACAAGTTTTAACTAAGTTTTCTCTTTTAAGTAATACAGTAGCCAATTGTGCAAGTCGGCTAAAGGGTTTCATGAATCCCCTTAATATATTAGTGGTGAAGTCATTATTGTGCACTTAATATTGAATTGATTTAATATTTTAATTTACAATAACCCCTTTATAAGCTTGTCATTGGACGCATGTTGTTCGTTTTGACTGTTAACTAGACCTAATCTTACAAAACACATCCTTCCAATGACACGTTTAAGTAAATTTCCATCAATCCTCCAATATTTGAAGCATTTCGGATATTATGTTATTTGAAGTGATTACATATGTACATTAGGGACATGACTATTGGCATCACGCGCCAAATGTCAGTTCGTTTGTTTATTAAAATCAGTCTTCGGAATCCAAAATCCTAGATTTTTCTATTAGATATGCTTTTAAAAATTTACCTATTTGGAATCAGTAAAATCGGTCTATAAGTATCGGAGGTATGATCTAAACAAATATGATAAAAATTGGTACTCGTTTGATGCTGGAATATTGTGTTTTTATTATCTTTTATGGACTTTTTTGTGGGGACCAATCGAACTGAATAGTCCTGAGATATAGACAGTAAATAGTGAGTGACGTGATGTGACAAAAGGGCACTTTTCGATGGAAATGCCCATATGTATTTAATATAAAAAAATTTGAACAAAAAATTGGTTTATATAACAAATTGGTGGTGCGTGATGTTTTTGATTTCAAATGACCTAAAAAATATTTTGATTACTTATACAATATTGGCCATCACGTGGCGGTATGCCAAAAATAGTTATATCCCTAATGTACATGTACATATCGCACATTTACTGCAAGACTGGCATAATAAAAAATTCCACTTTTCACTTAAATTTAATCATTAAAACTTTACTTTAAATTCAAATGAGAAACATTAACGCCTACTTTATATAAGAGGTTTTATTTTGAAATCCTGCGATCTATTTGACAGAACATTTAATGCTGTTTTACTCAAAATTAAGCTTTTTTATTTATAACGTTCTTGTAGTAAATGAAAATAATTTGTGAATGAGGATTGGACTAAATTGGACTGGAATTGCTGATCGCAATAAAATAACAAAATGTGTTAATTTATTAAATTTGATATAATCAAAATATTTGATCATCATACTCTGCTTATTATAATGGAAGTTCACCAACAAACAAGTGAGTGACCCTTTCGCATATTCGAATTGGGGAAAAATATTGAATTAATTGAAAAGATTTGATAGTTTTCCATGGTAAAAATTTATTTTTGAACAAACAAAAATAAATATTTTCGTTTAATAAATATGTGAAATTGTCGGTACATTGTATGCAAATTTTATAATTATTTTAAATTGGTAATAAAAAAGCAAAATTTATTTTTTTTTTCCAAAGAAACGATTTTTTTCTAATCGCAACCTTTAGGCATTTTCTGTATATCGGGCATAAAAACAGTATGACATTTAGTAATTCATACAAAATATTAAATTCGTTTCCCATATACCTATGTATATATAAGAATATTGCTTTAAAGTGCTTCGAAATATCTTCCTTTTACAAATAAAAATATATCGAGATAGTAAATACGGAATTGAAACTATTCTATTTTGTTTAAATTTTTTGAGAAATATTCAAATTAATACAAAGTACCACATATTTCTGTTTTTCCTAATTAGTATTATAAATTTTATGTTATACTTTAAATAAGCATGTATGTATACCACACAGTAAGTTCTACATATATATTTATATAATAACTAAATAAATAACGATTTTTTGGTCAATGTTCAGAAAATATCATTAATGGCACGCAATAATTGACAAACCATATTTTGTGTGTTGTTTTCATACTCTTTCGTACGCTGCTGCCATAACTTCGAATGAACACAAAAAATATGTTGGGTCTGGGTCAAACCTATAATTAAATTGTAAAGCTTTGATTGCAAAAAAGTAGCCTTTGATACAATTTTCTAAATTTCTGGAATGTACAAACATACATACATATATATGTATGTACACTTTACATCTTTGTATGTATGTAAGTATACTTGAAATACATATTTCCATACAGAATCATGTGTATGCGAGTAGAAAATATATCGTTATATGAAATCCAAAAAACCCAAAGTTACATTGAGCAAATTTTTCAGGAGAAGCTAAAAACCTTTTAAAATGATAAATAATCCAAAAATTTTCAACATTTTTGTTAAGTTAAGCTTATTTTTTATTGACAAATTAGTATTTGAAGAAAAATTTTTCTCTTTTTGTTTTAATTGCGGAGATATGAAACTTATGCCCTTGATAATTTGTTTTTTCTGCCCAAAAGGGCGTAAGTTACATTAAAAAATATAAAGTTTCAACATTTTTATCTAAATTAAAATCGGTCTTTATTGGTCAAATTGGACGAAACATTGAAAGCATAAGGCTTCTTTGTTTTCATAAAGATTTTCGGAAATTGGATTTTTTTTTGAAAAAATTCTAAATTTCGAAGTTAAAAACTCAAAAGAATTTTAAAATTTTCATGAATTTTAAGGTATTTTTAGAACATAATCTTTTAGAATTTAGCAGGAACATGTATTTTAATACGGTGCATCATAATCAATCAAAAAGTCGATTTTGATTTTTTTGTAACTTAGGGCCTTTTGGATTTCATATGACGATATGTATGTAGATTGCCATAATTTCCATAGCAAATAGTAGTAGCAGTCATTACGTACATTAGATGTGTGTCGATGATGGTGATGATGTTAAATAATAATAAATAAAGTCAATAAAAGAATTAGTGTATTGAAAGATTCAAAGAATGTATTCATTTATAATATAAGAAATACATTTTATATAGATAATTTTTGCTTGTTTCTTATTTAAAGTTCTCTTTAAAATTTGCTATTTTTAATTTAATTTTCTAATTTTTTGCACAACTACAATTTTTTTTGTATGTATTTTATCATGATTTTTTATCGAAATAGCAAAAGAATACGTAATTTTAGAATTAAATATAAAATTTTTCAAAAAATAAACCAATGTATTTTTTGTAAAAAATAGTAAGGTTTGATTTCAAAAAAATTTATTTTTCAAAATATTTAAAATTTTGAATTCTTTTGAACTTTTTTTTACATCAATTTTTACTTGTAATCTTAATCACACTATTTCCAATTTTTCTAATTATCTTTGTTTGAATATCTAATTATAGATTATACCATTGGGTAGTGCGTATTGTCAGTTTCCGGCAACCGATCACAAATATACATGGCGCAAAGTAACAACAACTGTAAATAATATAATCGTGGGTAAACTATGGGTCGATCAACATGGTGAAATGGAAATAACGGGCTTAAATGCCGCCGCAGGTCTAAAGTGTATGCTTAAGTATATACCCTACTCCTATTTTTCACGTGAAACCCAAAGACGTGTTAAAGGTGTGGTCATGGATCGCAATAACGAAGTCAAATGGGTTATACGTGGTGCTTGGGATAGTAAAATAGAAATTGCCCCGGCTCTGTCGACTTCCGGACCACCGGATAGTCCTGTCTATGAGACGGGTGCGTATAAGACAGTTTGGCAAAGACGCATGCCAGCGCCAGATAGTGAGAAATATTATAATTTCACACTATTAGCGGCTCAACTTAATGAAATGGAGGAGGGTATAGCACCTACAGATTCACGTTTACGACCTGATCAACGTTTGATGGAAGACGGCCAGTGGGACGAAAGTAATCGTGAAAAATTGCGCCTCGAAGAAAAACAACGAGCTAAAAGAAAACAACGGGAAGCAGAAGCCGAGGCAGCTGCTCGCCGCGGTCAACCCTTCCCGCCCTATACACCCGTCTGGTTTTCACAAGAACGTGAAGAGGGAACCGACAATATTGTGCACGTACATACGGGTAACTATTGGGAGCACAAGAATAAACAAGATTGGTCAAAATGTCCAGATATTTTCTAAGCAAATATTCAATATTATTAAATTAACTATTACAAAAAAAAATTAAAACAAAACTTAAAAAATCCAAAAAATCATTTAAATTTAAAAATGCAAAAGAAACGTATATTAATTAATAATAAAAAGTTATAAAAAATAAATAAAAACATTTGTAGTTAAATTAGGCCTTAAAATAATGAAATAAACCAATAAAATGCATAGAATTATTATACAAAACTAAATTACAAATAACATCCCATACAAATGGAATACGCATCAAGCATGCATAATCATGTTTCATTTGTTAAACGTATTCTAATCATTAATTGAGAATTATAAACAAAACACTTAGAAAAAACATAAAAAACATCTCTCACTATTGTGTTACATTTTTCCTAATCTTCTTCCACAAGCCCTCCACAAACATATAATCCATGTCTTTGCTCCTCTTGGACGACTACTACACGCCTAAAAGCTTTTGTAATGAAATAAACAAACAATGACAACCGAAAATCAGTAATTTCAAATGTTACAAATTAAAAATTACTACTATAATTTTAGAAAAGCTATTACACACACACATTTTAAGTATATTAAAGCCATATTAGGTAAAAAAGCAGATTAATTATACTATTTATGTATGTGTAAAACACCAATATTATATTTAATAAAAAAAGAAGAAAAAAAGAAAAGAAATAAATCACAGCATAAAAACATTTAAAAAATAAATATGATTCTATGTTAAAAAGAAAAATATAAAATTAAAAATTACTTAGTATGAATATTGCAAAATTTAAATTATTCAACAGTGTTATAAAGAGATAATAAATAAAGTACTAAAAAACATTCAAAATTATAAATTTCGGAAATGATTAGCTGCTTAATCTGGAATTTCCTTAAAAAAGCTTAACTTATAGCAAAAAATTAAAAAAAAAAAAAATTAAATAATAATATGGATATAATAAAATTAGTGGTACTTTTATTTTTTGAAATGAGCGGCAGACACGTAATCAATTTGTTAATTCGTTCGAACATATTACAAAAATATTCAAACTCGGACATATTTTGTAATTTGATAAGAAAATTATAGTTTGCAAACTTTTAAATTTAATTTTTATTTGATAATATTCTGTAACCTAGCAATATAGGCAGGATATTAGCCATAAATCCCTTTTGATTATTTTTATTTTAATATCCCTAAATGTTGGAGATATTTTTACAGCAAAGCCATTTATTGAAGGAGAACTTTTAATTACAAAATTTTAGAAAATATAGAAATTGTTTAATATACGAAAACGCGAGACTAAAGGTGCGTTCACTTATCAAATGTAATGTAAGCCCAACCAATTTGGTGGTGTTTGGCAACGAGTTCGACGTGAATGGGAGAGTATTCCAAGTAAGGTATTGAAGAATTGGTAGAAAGTAGTTATGCTAAAACGAACAATAGTAATTTATTTGATATCCGACTTTGGGAAAAATATATTTCGTGACGAGCAAAACTGAGTACATGCGATTTATTTTAGTTTTGTTTTTTTTTTTTGTTTAGTATATACATATGTATATTCTGGGCCCTCGTACGATTCTAAGACGATCTAGCTATATCCGTCCGTCTGTCTGTTATTGGCAGGATAGCGTCCACAAAAATAAAAAAAGGTGACATTTTGCCAAAATACACTTTATTGATCAGAAAATTTTGGTATTGGAAATAAGCAAAATCGGTCCACGTTTTTACATAGCTCCCATTCAAATATGCCACCGAAATATTATATAAAAAGGTTTAAACATTCTTAAATTAGCCGCCAGATTTTAAATTATTATATTCCCTTTTAAAAATCAAATACTACCCTGATGTTCACATTATATTATAATGGTCATTTTTGGCTTGAAAATAACTGTACATTATAATTCGACACGGACAAGGTCCCCAGTAGGAATGACTTTAACGCTCATTACTGGCTTTAAATACAAGTACAGAGATGAAATTCTACATAAACAAGTTTTGTACGAGCCGAAATCTTACTACCAAATTTTATGAGGATCAGTCTATAATTGACTTACCCCAAATAAAGACCCCTTCAGAACCAAAATTGTTCTAACAATGTTATGAGGATCGGGTCATAATTTATGGTTATAATACTTTAACAATATTTTTAATTCGAAAGAGCACTGTCTATAGTAACACCCTCGTTAAAGGGCCTCTTTCGAATGTTCATATTAATATCAATATATGATAATAAATTCATTAATATCAAAGTCTATTTATAAGGAAGCATTCCTTTTACGTTAGTGATTCGATGGTGGGTATAGCACTCTTCGGGATAGCACTCTTGCTTGTTATTTTTAATATTTAGAGTAGAAAAGATTTTGGGCCCATTGATAGATATCGAATATTTGCCGAGTTTCAGAGCAAAGTGTAATGTGTTTTTAGTTAAATATTAGAGAATGTTTAGTTGAGTTGTTGGTAAAAAGTAAAAAATATTTTTAATGGTTTTAGTTAAGTAAATTATTAGGTAATTTTTTTTAGCAATATTTTGGAGTAGCACTCGAAGAGTGCTAATATTTCCATTATTATATAAAAAATTCTCAAAAGCAATTGATGAGGTTTTTTATTTGAAATTTGAATAAAATGTGAGGCTGGATGGTTTGGATGATCAGCGTCTTGATACCTTTTTCTTTTTTAATATATTGGCTTTAATGTGTATTTTAATATGACATTGGCAACATACTTAGTTAAGATGTAGCAAGAAAATTAAAAACATTTAAAATATATTTGTAACAGAAAATGTAACCATCTAAACTAGTATTTACAAAGTAAACTTTATTTAGTCGTTAATCTTTAAGAAATTAAACTGATCATACTGAGACTCAATTAAACGATTCCAGCAAAATTAACCTTTAATGCAAATATTAAATAATAAAAGCTGTTTAACAACATTTCTTATTATTTCTTTTTTAACGTATGCAATTAAAACTTATTTTAGCAAGTTGTATGTTTAAATAAAAAAAATATTAATAATAAATAGATCTGTTTGTTGGTTACGTGATTTCTGAATTATGTTCACAGATATAAATATTTACGAAAATATATTAATGTATGTCCAATAATTTTTAAGCTATAGCCATTAATTATAAAAATAATAAATACTTAAAAAAATACATATGTACATATGTATTAATTAAAGCATTATATGTATGTATGTAAAACCCAAAAAATAATGAAAAATTTAGGGACTTTTTCCATAACACTTTGTAACTATGTATTTTAATGAGATGTTTTTTTTATCAATTGAAAACAAGAAAACTCTTATAAAAATATATATGGCAAATATTTTTAGAAAAATAAAAAAAAATGATTTCATTGGAAAAAGAACATGGTAGAATTATTTGAACAAGGGTGTCAATGTAAAAGGCAAACATAAAGTTTTGGCTTTACATAATATTGTGGATTGAACTTGGAAAAAATATATTTTAATTTTATGGATTTTGGTTTTGATTTCTTCTATATGGTTTCAACATATAAAGACACACTATCAAATAATTCGACTTTTTGTTCTACCAAGTCAAAGCTTATGTTTGAAAAAAAAAAAATATATAATAACATAATAAGAATTATTAAATAAAAAGTTATAAAAAACAAACAAGAATAAGTTTATTAAAAAATTTGCTTTTATGATAAGCTTTTAAATATTGTATAATTTTTTAACTATTTCAGCTTTTGTTTAATTTAAGAACAAACCAAGAAAATTCAAACAAATTTTCTTTTTTCCAATTTTGCTTTAAAAATTTATATCTGGCAATTTGATTTAACTTTTGAAATTTTCAAAGCAGATGTCTACATAATATGCTGAATTTCACATATGTATTTAAGCTACAGGAAGTGGTTTTAAGTTCAGTTAAAATTTTCAATAACATAATATAACATTGCATTGTCATCAGGTGACTTTATATGTGCCAAATTTCAACCAATTCGGGAACTGTTCGAAAATTTAGTTACAAAATTTGTGCCATATTACAAATTAAGAAACTAACAAAGAAAGTTAAATAATATCTTGCAAAAAAGCAAGATTTATTTAAAATAATATAAATAATTTATTTATAACAACAAAACGTATAGAAAAAGTTGTACATTTTCCATGAACAACTTTAACTTGCACAAATCTCTTAGAATGATGCATATTAAAATCACATTATTCATTTTAAGTATTTTCTAAATATAATTCATACATTTTTATTCAATTTTATTTTGAAGATGACAATTTCAAATTGATAACACTTCATTTCATCAGTACAGATTTTATTTTCATATCTTGTTAAATTTAAAAATATACCTTCACTACAACAAAATTTTTTTATATAACCTATTAAGGTTGTATTTTATAAATATTAACTTAAAAATCATTACAATTCACCGGATGTTTGTGTCTCACGGTATATATCCAATGAACGCAGTAGTGCTTCTACTGAGGGATCACGACCACGGAAACGACGGAAAACTTCAGCAGTAGGTATAGTGCCACCTGATGACAGGAAAGTGTCTTTGAAACGTTTTCCAGTTTCGGAATAATCTTGTGGATTTTGTTGAAAAGCGGCAGAAATATCAGCGGCAATAATTTTTGAATAGAGATGTGAAAAGTGTGCTGCACCCCAATCGCCCGAAAAGATTTCCGTTAATGAACAAGGATGCGAATCCTTCTTCTCCAATGGCATGCAACGATACACTGGCCAAAGTTTACGTACAATCTCTAACCAAAAGTTATCGGATTGATGTAGTTCAATATCCAAATCAGAAAGATATAGTTCTTGACATAGATTGTAGCCACCCAGATGTGTCTTCAGTAGACGTACATTTTTAGCCAAATCATCGGGTAAAGGATCATCACTATCAACATGGCCTGATATTGATTTCAAAATAGTGGGATTGTCCAAAAAGTTTGACATTACATAGCCTGATACTTGCGAAGCATCCCATTCTATATTAGAAAGACCTGCTAAATCGGTGAATCGTGCTTTTGTCAATAGATGTTGCATGGCAGAACCAAAAGTCTTGAATACCATTTTCAAATCATCTACATTTAAAAGGTATGGTTTGTCATTGATGGGTGCATTGAAATTAAAAATTAACGCGCACAATGGTGACGATTTTGCGGCCTCATTGCGATTACGTATACTAACCATCCAGCCATTATTTTTTCCAAATTTATTTTCCTTCGAATAACAATCAACATAAAATCCACCGACAGGATGGCTGCCGCCATCGGAATCACAATCGAAAACATCAAAATATTTAACCGCCGGCTGCCATACTTGTGCATCTTTTCTCTCGACGATTTTAATGTTGAACAATTTTTCCGACAATGAAAATAGTCCTGAGAATACCCTAGGCAATGGGAAATATACTCTTAAAGCTTCTTCATCAAGTTTGTGTTCGGCCAACAAATATTTTCTTTGCCAATATGTGACATCGTACAAATCCAGTTTATGCTCGAAGCCGCTACTGGCGGCGAATTGTTGCAAACTTTCGATTTCCACTGACTGAGCGGGTCCAGCGAATTGCAAGAGCTTAGCAAATGTTTGTTTTAGTTCCGAAACATCTTTAACCATTTTCGTTTGCATTGACATGGTTGCAAAATTGGGATAACCCAAAGCATTAGCTTGGCGTTTACGTAAACTGCGTATCTTTTCCAAATGTGTACTGTTCTCTAAACTTTTGTCCATATGATTTGAGCATTTGCGTACATTTGCTTGCCAAATATTCCAACGATGAGTGCGATCTGGACAATACTTTAGGAAACCTTCGACAATTTGTGGTTGTAGTGTAAATTTCCAAGGTCCTTGTGTCGTAGGTCTGTGTTGGTCGATAGCCGTTGCTTCCAAAAGAGTAGCAGGGAAATCACGTACCAATTGGTAGTCATGTACAACATGGGCAAAACTATGTACAGAAACATTGACTTTATTTTTGAAATTAGCTCTTTCCTTTCCCAATTGCATAAGCACTTCTTTAAGACCGTTTCGACTTTCGTTGCTTAAAGATAAACCGTTTAGATTGCCTTCCAATAAGTACTTCTGTAAAAGTCTCTTTTCTTCGCCATCTGTTAGCTCATCAGCATTTTGTTCCAGCAAGGCTTCATAAACAATTTTATTGCAGAAACGTGAAGCTCTAGCATTTCTGGCTCTCTCGTGAATATTCATATATGATTTTGTAGGTATAAGGTTGCTGTTGCCCAAATACAAAGCCTTGGCTATACCCCATGTAGTATCCAAAGGTCCCGTAGCTTCATCCAGTTCTCTAAAAACCTGACCCAAATCCAATTTTTCATTTTCTTTCATTTCATGTACATCGCTTTCGATTCTCTTCACCAGTTTTTCAACAGCACCCGCCTGACTTCCTATTGCACCCAAACAGTTCTCTATAGTGATTTCATTGAAGGCTGGCAAACCATCCGGCTTCACAACAACGTCTCCAGCCTGACCATCCTCTCCAATTTCCGGTACTCTATAATAAGGAATAATATTAACCATTTCTTTGGTTATCAGACGACCTCATGCCGGGCACAAGACTGTCAAAATAAATCCATTTTTTACTTACAATACTATGTAACCATTTTGTTTGGCAGTAGTGTGTAAATATCTCTTTGCTGCTTGGGTTTTAGATAGTTGTTTTAATGCTGTTAACATATTTTCTTATTTTTTTATTTAATAAAATTGAAATAAATATAATTTTTCCAATTTTTTCACTAAATGCACGAATAAAATGTTTTACACAATCAGAAGTCAGCTGGAAAAGGATGATGTTATTTTTCACAGCTGTTTAATAGTGTTGGATAATGAAAATTTTTCTAGCCTTAATATATTATATAAAATAATAATCGGATAAAAGAATAAAACTTAATTTAATTTTCATTTTATCAAATCCAGTAGCAGATGTAAAAACAAATTTTTTTAATAAATTTCGCAAACAAATGAACATTCTCTCAAATAGTATTTTAAAACAATTTAAAAGTTAAACTGAAATATTTGTTTCATAATTTAATGAATACAGTGTCTCACATTAGTAGAGTCCGACCGAACTCAAACCTGAACCTTGTTCGGTTTTCAAAGATCGGTGCACAAGAACTTTTTGATATTAAATGATAAATGGATTTATAATTAAAAAGTAACAATTTGTAACATTTAAAATCAAAATAAGAACAACAGGCAAATTTTAAGTACGTACCTTTATTAATTCAAATTATAAAGATTATGACAGAATTTCTTGGAAAGATGTGGATAATTTCTACAATAAAACCAAATCGGCGTGGTTTAAACTTTCACAATATTAATATTGTACTTAAAATACATACCGCTTTGCAAAATGGACAGACACCAAAAGCAACATCAAGAAACGTTTTTCCGTCAGCCAAAGTACTAAACCACTCTTTAAGACAAACAGCATGAAATATTAAACTACAATGGTTGTTATCACACGAAACAATAGGAATTTCGCCATTTTCGAGTTTATAACAGTAGCAAATATTACAAAACTGTGATGCTGTTTAATAAATTTCGCAAACAAATGAACATTCTCTCAAATAGTATTTTAAAACAATTTAAAAGTTAAACTGAAATATTTGTTTCATAATTTAATGAATACAGTGTCTCACATTAGTAGAGTCCGACCGAACTCAAACCTGAACCTTGTTCGGTTTTCAAAGATCGGTGCACAAGAACTTTTTGATATTAAATGATAAATGGATTTATAATTAAAAAGTAACAATTTGTAACATTTAAAATCAAAATAAGAACAACAGGTAGATTTTTTGAGAGGGCCTTTAATGGGGACTTGTGTCAATTATGGACTAATTTCGAATTTCTTAATAAAAAAAAACACCACATGTTTGTGTTTGTTGGGTAACTAGAATTAGGAAATAAGTGTTGGAAAATTAAAATTTTCTGGTTTAAAGAAATATGCATGAAATGTTAAATAAACTTCATATGTTAATTTAACATTACATATTACTGTTAAATCCGAAAACAGAAAACAGCTGTGTGGAAAACTTTATCTCACCGGTAGATCACCATCTAGTTCAAGCCACAGTAAACATGAATTTCGTAATAAAATTTACAAAATATGCAGGATCAAAGCAAAACGTACGGACTTTTTCCACCACCCGCTTTAACTACACCAACAGAAGACGTGTGGTAGTGACTGGAATGGGAGCGATAACGCCTTTGGGTGGAAATGTTCAGGAATCCTGGCAAAAGTTATTGAAATGTGAAGCGGCCATAACAACATTAGGAGACCAGTACAAAGGATTGCCGTGCCAAGTAGCGGCACAAATAAACAAGGAAAAGTTACCCATAAATGATTTATTAAGTAAAAGTGACATTAAACTGATGAGTCCTGCTACCCAGTTATCAGTGTTAGCCACTGAAGAAGCATTGTCAGCGGCACAAATTACACCGAAAAACCTTAGTAGTGAGGAGTTGGAACGTTTTGGCGTTTGTGTTGGCATGGGAATGTTTGATTTGACTGAAGTCTATGGAGCTTGGCAACAGCTGCAAAGAGGTTATAATCGTGTAAGTCCATTCTTTGTGCCACGCCTCTTGCCAAGCATGGCTTGTGGTCACATAAGTATGAGGCATGGTTTGAGGGGACCCAATCATTCAGTATCGACTGCTTGTGCCACTGGAGCCCATGCTATTGGAGATGCCATGCGTTTCATACGCAATGGTGACGCCGACATAATGTTAGCCGGCAGTGGAGAATCTTGCATAGATCCTCTATCAATAGCTGGCTTTTGCCGTCTAAGAGCTTTAAGTACTGCCTTCAATGATATGCCGGAGAAAGCTTCTCGGCCATTCGATAAGAAACGTGATGGTTTTGTTATGGGTGAAGGAGCAGCCATATTGGTTTTGGAAGAACTAGAACATGCTCTTAAACGTAATGCTCCCATATTGGCTGAAATACTTGGTTATGGTCTATCCGGTGATGCATATCACATAACTTCACCAAGTGAAGACGGAACGGGAGCCACATTGGCTATGCAAAGAGCCATAAAGGATGCCCAAATCCTACCAGAGGAGATAAGTTATGTTAATGCACATGCGACCTCTACTCCTACCGGAGATCGCATAGAAGCACATGCTATTAAACGTGTATTTGGTGAGCACGCCTCAAATATAAGGGTCTCATCAACTAAAGGTGCTCATGGCCATTTATTGGGTTCGTCGGGTAATTTGGAAGCTACTTTTCTAATACAGGGCTGCTGCGAAAACAAATTACCACCTTCTATCAATGTTGATGAGTTGGATGAGAAGATTGGAGTACGCGTTGTTACTACACCCGAGGTCTGGAGTGAAGACGCAAATAAAAGACGTATTGCCCTAAAGAATTCTTTCGGTTTCGGTGGTACCAATGCTTCACTATGCATTGCCAGCTATGTTCGTTAAAATACCATCTCTTGCATTTCTTGTGACTTTCTTACAAGTAAATTATTGTTAAGTTTGTAAAAATCGTAATTTTTTGTTAATTAGTACATAATAAATTGGATATACGTGGTATGTTTATTAATTTTTAACTTGTACTAATTTTTTACTGGGTATATTGAGAACAAAGATAAATTTCGCATCTTCTTTAATCAGTTAATTAAAAAAGCAAATTTTAAGTACGTACCTTTATTAATTCAAATTATAAAGATTATGACAGAATTTCTTGGAAAGATGTGGATAATTTCTGCAATAAAACCAAATCGGCGTGGTTTAAACTTTCACAATATTAATATTGTACTTAAAATACATACCGCTTTGCAAAATGGACAGGCACCAAAAGCAACATCAAGAAACGTTTTTCCGTCAGCCAAAGTACTAAACCACTCTTTAAGGCAAACAGCATGAAATATTAAACTACAGTGGTTGTTATCACACGAAACAATAGGAATTTCGCCATTTTCGAGTTTATAACAGTAGCAAATATTACAAAACTGTGATGCTGTTTGAGAACCTTCTGCCGGAGTCATTGGAAAAAAGCACAAATCAAATATACGTAAAAGATTTTTGTGGACATCCAAGTCCCCATCCCAATCACGTAATCCCTCGCTATAGATCCGTCTTAAGTGAGTAACTTCTTGCGTTGGGCCGATAATGTGAACCGACATGGAGCTTAGTGGCGAGAAAGGGTCAGCAAACTGAAGCTTTAGATAAACTTTGTCTTTTAGAACAAATAAACGCCAATTCGCTTTAGTGGTGGGCAATGGTGGCTGGACCACATAGCACAATTCATCAATATCAGTAAAACTCTCATAAAAAGGTCTTAAGTCATCCAGAAAATTAATGTATTGTTGCAAGAGCATTGTTAGAGAGGAGGCTTTACCCAACAGTTCATGCCAATCAATACATGAAGGTAAACTATGATCCAATAATTGTAAACTTGGCAAGGCCACTTCTAGAAAATGCTGTTCATTTTGTGAAAAACGCTTAAAACGAACCAGCGAACAACTGTCATTAAGAAGAATCTCATATTCTGAGGGTGCATACAGTTTGGCTATTTCAGCATAAATATTTGTTTGGGAATCTTCTTTAGCATTGGTTAAAATTTGATTTGCAGATTTTGAAGCTTGTATTAATGTTGGTAAATTTTCTATCAATTCATCAACTGCCCAATTTGTGGGTATATCGAGATTTGCACTTGTATAGGTTTTTATATTAAAACTGTGTTGCACTTGCAATTGGAAGTTATGAATATGTGGGAAGTTGGGGCAAATTATTTTAATATTTAACCAAATGTTCTGAAAAATATTGCGTTGTTCATTATATCGAAAAAACATCTGCAAGAAATTGACCAAATAATGTAGAATTAGTTTACCTTGACTTTTATTGTTCCCTGTAATATAGTATTCTTATTTCTTGATTGTGACATCTCGAGTCCGGGATGTTTTAATAAAATTATGTCTTCGACTGTTAAATCATCTTTGTGTTCATTCATTATTCCTTTCGTACTTATTATTATTTAATCACCCTACACTTTTTACTGATGTACTCATTTTGGCTTTATGGTAAATAAAAAATTTGGCGCTTTTCTGAATGGAGTAGCTGTTGTTTTGTGTTTACAATGTTATGTTTTTTAACAGAATTCTATTTATTAACAGAGTGTAAGGACCTGTAAAAAAATTTGTTAAAAATTAACTGTTAGAAACATCTTCTTTACAGCTGTCAGTTAAGATTCTATTCAATTTTCTAATCAATTTTCGAGCAATCGATTTTGTTCGGAAAATGGACTATTTGTTTAAAAAATGTCCGTAAATCTATTTTGAAGGAAAAAGAATATTTTGAAAAAAAGTAAAAAAATTTAATATGAAGAAAAGTCGATATTAAAAAGTTTTTTAAACCATGATATTTTACTACAGATCAGGCATGGAAAACAGAAATTTTGAAATAGTACTAAGTTATAACAAAAATAGTTCTCTTTACGTTTCCACTATATTATAGACAAGACTAAAGGCTATACTATTGACTATATACTAAACTATATAGTGGACTATAAACGAGACAATAAACTAGACCATTGACTAGACTAGTCTATAGACTAGACTACACTATAGACTAGACTACATTATAGACTAGACTATAGACTGGTTTATTGTCTAGTATGTTGACTACTTATCAAAAGTTTATAAGTCAGAAGAATTTCCGAAAATGTCGTGGGGGTACCGCGGTATTTCTCGATATCAAAATCTACTGAAAAAGGTACTAAAGTACTGAATTTTCCATGCTTGATATAGATGTACAATGTTATTGTAACAAACATAAATAATAAGAAAATCAGTGGAAGGATACTATGGGTTTATGCTTATGTTTGTAACGCAAAGAAAAATTGGTAAAAGTACCCCAATAATATTCTAAATCGATAGATTGCAATTTAAATTTTTCGATTTTGTAATAATCGGTTCTTATATACATATTCCAAAGTCCACCTCAGAAATTGTCTTGAATGTTCATAATTCCATTATATACCCTGGTATTAAAATGGCATTCATAACTTTTATATATATACATATATCGTTCTACTAAATTTTATTAGGATCGGACCCTATTTTACTTTACCTCCCATTTAAAGCCAAAGGACATAAATGCTTCATATAAAATAAACATGATTTATTTTATTCTATATTCTTTCATAACTGTTGTGGGTATGGGCCATGTCCCGCATTCATGATTGTAACTGATGATAATAATTTCTTTTTTAATTCAATAAATTTAATTAACATTAAAATAAAACAACATAAATATTTTTACATTTAAAAGTATTATTTTTTATTAATTTTAAGATGGTAATGCTATGCTAGAGTTTTTATTTTAGGTTTCATTTTTTCTTAAACGCCTTAAACACATGGCTTTTTTATTTTATTAATCCTTTTATTATTTTCTCGTTCTATTAACTTAATCAAAAGTGAAATATTTTCTTTTCTTTTTTGTTTTGTTATTTATTTAATAATTACTTTAAAAAGTAAAGGTATTTAATTATAATTATATTGTAAAATATATTAATGTATATATTTTTGTTGTTGTTGTTTTTCTTTTTCTTTTTTTAAATATAATTATTTTATATTTTGAATGTTTTGTTTAATGCTATAATATTAAGTTACAAGTTACAACTATTAAATGTATATAAATATTATTTGTTTTATTATATTTATATAAATGAATTAGATTAATTTGGTTTTTATATAAATAAAAAAATATATATGATATAAAAGAAAAGGAATTAAAAAAACAAATTAAAGTCTAATTTTGTTTTACATAAATTTATATACATACACGATAAATGTTTTTTTTTATATCTAATAAAAAAACTTTAAAATAATTATCAAGAGTTTTTATTTTAATTATGAATATATTTAAGACGACTTTGTCCTAAAAAATACGTATTTTCGGTAACTGAAAAAATTGTTTTTTTGTAAAAAAAAAAAAATATAACCAAAAATATTAGGAAGACAATAATTGAATAAATAAAATAAATGTAATTAAAATTTGTTTTTGCAGTTAAGTTTTGAATAGTTATTAGTTTATAAAATAAGCAACAAAGATAAAAAACGTTTAAACCATAAACAGTAGAAACCCCAAAAATGTTAAAAAGAATTTAATAATAATAGAAATAAAAACATTTCACAGCATTAGTAATTTTGTAAACATTTTACAGAAAAATATGTAAGTTATGCATGTGAAATTTCATGTTTAACATTAATTGTGAAATTTAAGCTTTTAAAATTAAATTTAATCCTAACTTGTCAAATTCTGTCTGAAAGATTTTATATTGTTCATAGAAATTTAAGAATTTTTTAGTTTTATTTAATTTTCTGTTACAAAATCTTTAGAAAAAATGTTGAACAAATGTCAGCTATTTACGGATTAATTTGCCTTTTTTTTGTATTGGAATTATTAACTATTTTTATTATATTTGATGATGTTTTTATTTTGAAATATACGTATTTTTGTTGTTACTTTTTATTAAAATTCGAATTATTTTTTCTTGTCTTTAATGTAAAAAATGGTGTGTGGGAGGTTTTAAGTATAAAAATAATTTATATTTTTTTGTTTTATAAACATTTTATGTCATGCTACATATATCTTTACTATTTTTTTATATGTAATAATTTCATTTAATTTTATGTTTGTATTTATTAAAAAAAAAAACCAATAAAATAAACGAATTCGATTGATTTCATTGGGGGGTATGAAGTAGTATAGTCTTTAATTGACATGTTATTATTAAGTCAAATTAGAAATGAAATAAATTATTTATTTTATAATTTCAACCAACACATTGGGAAATTGAGCCGTAGAAGCAACTGAAAACAAACTAGTTGTAAAGATTTCTTGATAAATATTTTCAATAGGTATTTACAAAAATTTGTAAAGTAGTTTATAAACCTAATAGACAAAATCAATTTGCTGTATTTATAAAAAAAAACTCTAGTATGTGAAAACTGTTACGTTAATAGGAAATCTATACGCGACAAATATTTATTACAAGAAACTTCAAAAATTGGTGAATGAATTGGTGTTATTGCACAACTAAGAAATATTTTAGAGCTTTGAGTCCTACACTTAACTATTTTTATTAAACGTTATTTAAATTCAAAACTAAGCTTTTTATACTTATAAAAATTTGTATTATAAATATGTACTCTAGCGACATTTTATGTCGCTTTGTAATAAATACTTGTCAGGCAAAAACTTCTTTTAAATGTGTATATCAATAGAATTCTTTTATAAATACTGCCACTTATCTACCTACATATTATCTATTAGTTATTTAAACAAACACTGAACACAAGCTGTAAAAAACTAAATAGCATTAATGAAATATATGTATAGTAGTATTTTCATATTATAAAACCTGGCCAGAATCAAGGAAAATTATGTATTTATGCTAAAACCTTAGAATTATAAAAATAATAAAAAATATTATATAACAATAAATTTATAATTTAAACAAAATATTTATTCCCTCTCCCGTTGTCATTATTTCCTGGATTAAACTTTGTTTTAGGCGTTGTTTTAAATAAGGGAGGAGGTTGAGAACTTTTTTCAGCTTAAAGAATATTCATGTTTGTTTTAAGGCTTAAGAAACAAACAAAAAAAAAAAAACAAAATCAATCGAAAAATAGTCAAGTAGAAGTGGGGGAATTTGGGTTTAAGATAGAGTTTTGTTTCATTTTATATATGTATGTATATATAATATTATTATATTCGTCGTTGTCCTTAAAATTCATAATTTTTCACTTCAATTTCTTTTAAATATACTCCTATGTATATCTAGTATAATGTATGTATATAGCTCATATTTAAACAATCAACTTGTTATCCTTCAGTTGTTGCAATTAATAATTAATTTATATACAAGAATTAAAAAAAAAAACACTGAAGCAATTATCATTCTTCCACATTTCATCGTTTTGAAACTTCAAATTTTTAGTTCAACAGAGCATCCATGGTGTAACGAAATGGTTGCTGTTTTTTAAGTTGTTGTTGTATAGTTGGAAGTTGTTGGCGATAATGCTTATTAATTTGTGGTTGTTCAATCAATGATGATGACGATGAAGTGGTTGATGTTAAAGATGCCGCTGATGACGGTCAGTCTAATATAACAACCTCTGACTTAATAGCTCTGCTGGCTATATGGGGTTTTACAGCTGCTGCTATAGGAATATTACGCCAGGGTTTACGGGCTGCCCTTCTTAGATCTGTTGGTGATAAAAATTTACGCGCTTTTCTGGAACACAAAAAAATTAAGCAAAGATACGGTTTGTCTTGTTTTAGTACTTTTTTAGGCGATAAAAGTGAAATGGATTTCAAAATTCCACTTTATGTAGTTGACAATTCAATTTAGAGGAAACTTGAAACATTTTACACTTACTTGCTGGCATTTGTTGCTCTAAAGTAAACATCATCTGGCGCATCCATCCAACTAATAACCTGTTTGCGACCATTACCTGTACGCGCCATTTGAGCAATTTTCGGTTTTCCATTAAGCTATAAATTAAAATAACGAAAAAACAATTACACAATTAATTTATTTATAAAATATTGTTCAAATGAATAGTACATACATGATGTCTTGACAATGGTTGACCCGAGGCAGCCATCATAGCAGCAAATTGCTCAGGACTCGGACAATGTGAGGGCATAGGATCTTTGTTGGGTCTCTTAGTAGGTGGTCCAGCCGGTACGATAGTCACTATTAATAATAAATAATACAAAACATGTCATACAAATAGTTGTAACTCTTATTATTACAAATACCTTCTGTTCCATTTAGTTGTGTTTCTTCGTGAGGTCTTTTACGCATTACAGAAGGAGCTGGTGTCGGTATAATTGTTATATCTTTTTCCAGATCAATAATCTTATTGGGTATACGATCGTAGAGTAGACTGCCGTCTGGGCCCTTCGGTGGTTTTGGGAAGTAAACCACATCTGGTTTTGGCATTTTATCTTTTGGAGTCAAAACTAACCACTCATGTGGTCCAATACCTGGTGATCCCAAACGATTAGCTATCTTAGTAACACTACCACGATCTTTCTTTTTCAGCAACAAAATATTCTTTATATCTGTAGCTGATTTTCCAGACATGCGAGTTGTAACTGTCGTAAAAGGTGTAAAAGGATAAAATAAATAAATATAAATATATTATCATGTCAAGTAGTATTTTGTGCAAACTCACATTCTTGCTTCACTAGCTGTGTATTAATTGCATATGAACTCTGTCGGGCAGCTTTTTTAGGTTTTATTATATTCCTGCAAATGATGCGCGCCAGTCGGGTCATTGGATTCGTGTGCAAATAGAATGCAGTACGTGTCTTCATTATCGGTCTGGGCGAACTGGAACTAATTGCTATGCCATGAGCTTGGGCATAATGACGAGCAAGATGCGTTTTTAGTTTAAATTCTTTGCCACAATTAACAATTGAACACCTATAAAATTGCCTCCAATTTATTAATAATTGAATATTCGTTCACAATAGCCAAATGCAATACTCACTTATGCAATGAACGATTTGATAAATCACTAACTTTTTCCTCTTCGTCGGCAATCACTTTCTTCTTACTATCTTCTATACTGCCATCATTTTTACTCTTAAGACCACCATACTTTTTCCAATAATCCCAACACGTTTGACACAGACGCGTGAGCACATTGCCACTATTCCAAGGATACCACTATTACACAATAATAAATTACATGATATGTTTGTAAAACAGTTTTAATATCGTCCTTACTTGTGATGATTTAATATTTGAGCAAGATTCACAAGGTTTGCCCATATTTGAGACATCCGGACCACCATTTGTTGTGCCATTGAAAACACCAGCTTTTGTAACTGTTGTTGCTCCAACACCACCACTATTACCCTTTGTTGTAGTAGTAGCATTATACTGCGGAATATATACTTGTTTCAACTTTAGTTCCGCTTCCACAGCCTTAACGCGTTTTTGTTGGACATAACGATCTGTCGTTTTCCACATGTAGTAATATTCAATAATTTGTTTTAATGTCTTCCAGGGCAGCTGCAAGTGTAGGTGAAAAATAAAAAAAACTTTATACGACATTTCATTAAATTGCAAATACTTACGAAATCTTGTCGTATATCATTGAAATCTTTTCCATATTTATCTAAGGCTTCTTCAAATAGATTTGCTTCAGAAGCACTCCAATCTTCGATTTCATCACGACATAAAACTGGACCAGTGGAAGGAACTAAAGAACACATTGCCTCTTCAATGGAATAATTATGTTTGTGCAAAGTGTCCATGGCATGAAACTGGAAATGTAATTAAATTAATTTGTTTATAATTATAAAGATAACAATTGTTTTGTACCAGAGTAATATCGCGACTTGCTGCTGCCGCAGACATATGTAATGAAGGCTGTTTAACCGAACTACTACAATCCAAAGCTCGTGCAAATGTCCCAATGGAACGCGATACAACCAAAAACTGATCAATTTTTCGATCTGTTAATACATGACTTGGAGTCCATACTAAAGTTTCTAATTCTTCTAATTTGCGTTCATCGGTGGTAATGTCTTTAAGCTTAGCGGGAATTTCACTTTGATAACGACTACCAACACGAATTTCACCTTTATCAGCCAAAAGAGTTTTTTGAGTGGGGTCAAAGACCAAACAATAGAAAAACGTATCCTGCAGAAGAAGAAATTAATTTAAGTTATGAACTTTTGTTTTTTTTTTATGAAATAAACAATCAAATAAAATGATGTAGAAATATTGGTAGAAAAATAATTTCTAGTTATAAAAATTAGAATTTCTGAAATTTACGACTCACGTCTTTATTTAAATAACTTTGCAGTGATTCCGTTTCATTAAGCAGTGTCACCGAACATTTGCCTCTTATTTGTGTGGCGGGTAATGATTCAACTTGTCGCGACAAAAACAGTTCACGATGTTTGATTTGATAACGTTGTTTAGCCGTTAAGGGTTCACCTTTTTCCGATGTTCCTGATGAAGCATTATGGCCCGTTGTTACTTTATCACCGGCAGCAGAAACAGGACTTGTACGTTCTTCATCTAGGGCAGCTATAAAGTAAATATTATTTTTAAATAATAATATAGAGGAAATAAAAATATCTACATAATTAGTTACGGTAATTTTTTAATAACTCTAGTTTTTTCTACAATATACACTCAAACTATTGAGTTTACTACGTTTTCTTATACAAAATACCAATAATGAAATAAAAAACATATAAATCGTTTTTTTTTTTCAACTAAAACAAAAAATCTACAGAAATCCAATTGAGGTTTTTAACTAAGCATTGTAAATAGAAGAGTTTGTAATTGATACCTATCGAAGGATCAAGAACAGCTTGTGCCGCTTGTTCTTCTCCTACTGGTGTTCTAAGCCATGTTTTCTTCAGCTTCATTGCCAGTGGTGAGTCTTCAGCTGTGGCCACTACATAATTTAGAAAAATAAATTTCGGAATTATGTTTTAATTTTAACAAACATATATAATCAACAGTGTTTATTGTAAAAAAAATTATAAAAATATGTTTATAAATATACTAACATTAAAACAATATTATATTTAATCCAACTATTAAATGTTTGTTTGCATTTTTTAATTGGCAAACTTCTAGTATTTCGAATAAAAATAAGAAAAAGATTAAAACAATTGACGCAATATTGAATTGAAAATAAAGATTCCAACAAGTTTTTAGTATTGCTATACCCAATGTGCTTTGCTATCCTAAAAACAGTACAAATAAGAAACCTTTTAAGATTTTTCATATAATGCCAAATTTTAAAACTCTCACTATTTTAGATAGCCACGTTCACTATTGATAGTTTGCCCATTAATTACTCCAAATATTCATATTTATGTAAACGTTTCCCAGGGTTCTAGTTAGTTATAGATTCCCAGATTTACTAATTTTAATATTGAATTTATAAGGGAAATACTACGACCAATATTGCTTTTATTCTTCAACCAAATATTCATATTGATACTAAAGACACTTTTACAAAATTTGAGGACTCTTACCTGAATAGTTTCCCTAATATTTCAAGTTTGCCATTTTCTAAATGTTCATATGGATTTCCCAGTACTGTATTTAAATCATGTGGGAGATGCCTCGCTCCTAAAGCTAATCCCCAGATTTATTACGCAAAAATGTTTACATGAATGTAAAAGATGTTCGTGCAAAATTTGAGTATTAAAAATACAATAATTTCCCAGATATACGACTTTTTTGTTTTTAATTCATATGGGAGGTGCCACGCCTGTTATTGCTTGTCCGGCCATTTTATCCCCAAATTGTTTATGTGAATTTCAATATTGACCGTGCAAAATTTCAGGATTCTGACGCTAACAGTTTCCACTGCCCTATTTCTAGTCCGCTCATTTTTGTTTTTAACATTAAGTGAGAAAACACAATCAGTAAAAACAACATAAAATAATCAATTCGGTAGAAGTTTCTGTGTAATTACTTATTTTGTATGTTCCATTTCCTACTTGAAATTTTGAAATTAAACGTGGCCTATTGTTGCTTCCAGACATGGTAATGATGTTGAAAGTATCAATATTTATAACACTTGATATGGGGGCTACCAAAATACTTATAGTACTGGGTAAACGCAGTCTAAGGGTTCCGATAGGGATACTAACGGGGCATTGCTCAGTTAGGGCCTTTGTCAGTAAGTGGGACAATAACATACCGCACTATTGCAGGTAATCTTCACTCTTTGAAGGGAATCACAATGGACCTTATGGTCTCCGAGTTGATATTCAACTTTTAATGGTGCATAACCCTTCTAAATCTAAACATACGTCCAAACATACAGGATTAAATTGTGAAATCTTCATGAAAATCGGTCCAGCCGTCTATAGTTTACAAATGTATAAACAATAATTTGTTTTTTATAATTAAAATCCATGATATTATGATTAAATTCTAAAATTATAAAAAAAAGTATATAAAAATCCCTTAAGAGTAAAAACAAAAATAAGATTATAAAAAAAATAACTGAAAAACTTGTGCATATTTTAATCAAAAATACATGACGAAATGTGCAAAGGAGTATGCATATTGGGTGGGGGATATTTGTGTGGATTTACCATAAAAAACTGTATATTGTAATGATGATAAGAACGCGCTTCCTGAATGTTAACATTACACAAAACAAAGTTTAAGTTAAATTTATGTCTGAGTGTAGTAGTTGTGACTGGATAGTTATATGAAAGGCTAAAAAAAAGAGTACGACCAAAGCAACAAAATAAAATATTCAAGTTACAATCGGTTAGATCTATTACATTATTCCCTTCTGAAATTAACATTGAAGTAAATTTTAAGAAAAAATGTTGCATTTTTGTATTAAACATTTGTCTAGTCTAAATTCAACAAAAAGTTATTATGCATTGTTTGAAATCTGAAATTTGTAACAGTAGTATGATCAATCTATATTTATTTTCATTTAGCATTTTGGAGAATACATATAAAAATTAATGCCAAACAAACAACCAACGATGCTATGTGGCGGATGGCTACTGGGTATAGATAGAGACCGAGTGAATGGAGGTGTTTTGGGTGGTATAAAATGGAGCCATGTGAGTAGGTTACATAAAAACATTGGATGTTGCTTGATGATTGTATTGTGTTGAAAATTTGAAGAGATGGGGGTGTTTGTTTTAAAAAGGGGTGGCGAAAAATGGCTTTCAAGGATGCTTATGTGTACTTCTCCATTTTTCTCGTTTTTGACAAATGTAAAAAAAAACGAAAAAATAGAACATAAAAGAAACTGTACATAAATTAAAAAAAATTGCAAAAAATATACTTAAATATATGTGGCATGTAATTTATTTAATAAACATATATTTAGGGATAATATTAAAAGGCAAACTTATTTGTATATTTTAATATTAATAATATGAATAAATATTAAGCTAATTATGGACATATGTATATTTGTTGTACAATAAAATAATTGGCTTTATTAATTGCATTTAAATTTTTGACTGATATTTTTCCAAAAAAACTTAGCCATCAAATCGAATTGCAATTATGCATACAGTTAAACATCTTTAAAGTGTTTAAAAGATATGTATATTGCAAATACAGAAATACAATTACATAATAAACGTACAAAAATTCTGAAAATATACTGGAAAAACAATAATCCAAAAAAAAAAAAAAAAAAACATACTGACTACCATACTCTCGAGTCTAATCTGCTGATAAATACAGAATTAAACCATGTACATATGTATATTAGGCCATACTAGTAAGGACACATAGCTGATTTTAGAAATCCCTTTCTGATACCATAAATACTGCAATTGCTCTTCTAAATAGGTCAATCCAAATAATATATAAAAAACCTATTAATTTAGCCAAAAACTGCAATTTATTGAAATAACATTTGCTTGTTTTTAAACTCCTATTTCTTTTATATTTCAAGTTCCTTTACGAAATGTAATTTTTATATGCATACATGTTCTTTAGATACGTAATATGTACTTTCAAGCTGATAAATGTATAAGAAGTATGAATATATGTTTATTTGTATGTATGTATTTTGTTGTATACAAAGAGTAAACCTATTTTAGATGTTCGTTAACATTAATATAAACGTGTACCCAAACAGGATATACTATATGATTCCATTCATACACAGACACATAAACATTCATTCCCTATAGAGGTTCAGAAACATTTATTCATTTCTAACAGTTGTTCAAGAAACTCTTTTGACAACAATAACAAATAGTTTTTTTTTTCTAATTTATTGTAGTAATGGATTTTTTTTTAAATTTCTCGATAAGCAAGATTATAAATACAAATATAACGCTCGATTAAATTTATAGTAAAAATCGAAACATTCTGTAAGCTTTTTTTAATTTTTACCCAACTTTAAAAATATACGTACTCTTCTTATTGTCTACAGAGTTTATTGAGAATCTGTATTTTAAACTATATATTTATATGCACACATACATATGGTTGTATATTTTCCAATGTGCTTTGAGTTTCACTCTTTTAACAACAAACACACACTGAAAATAATCCATGCTTAACTTTACGAAAAAAATTGTGTAACTTTATTTATTTCTTTATTCATTACTGTAAAATAAAAGCCTCATTAGACCAATTATCATTTTTCGTAATATTGACGAAAATTTCGACTATAATACGAAATATCATTTAATCAAACTATTTTCTAATTTTATGAAAGTACGAAAACCTTTCGTAATATGTCTTTTCACCACGAAATTGTTTCGTAATATATACGAAATTTTACGAAATATTTTAGTATAATGCAAAATAATTTTAAAAAATTAAATTTCATAAAAACATTTTTGTTAATTTTAAAGTAATTTTTGTAGATTTAGCTAACAAATTATCATCCATACGAAATTTTCTTTTATGTTATTAAAATATTTCGTGAATTATATAAAACTTTTTTTAATTTTTATTAAAAATGTTGTAGTTTTATTTATTTATAATCTAATCAATATTATTATATTTAATTTCGCTTAAATTTACAAAAAAGATATTGCAAAAGGTCCCAGCAGTTCGACAGGACAGTCCCGAATTGACCACTTAACCTACCACTTGTGGTGGCCCCTAGCCACCTGACTACCCAGGTGACCGACCATTTTAACATGGGCTTGTCTTACGAGGAATCGTCACTCTACACCCTACAAAGAGACAGTAAAGAGACGATTGCCTCCGCTCTCGCTTACAAAGGGGACACTAAAGTGACGATTGTCTTTCGGAAGTACAAAAAAAAACAACTTTTAAGAGTATAATCTCTAGGTTACTTGAGGACAGTAAAAAGACGACTGTCTCCGCTCCCGCTTACAAAGAGGACACTAAAGTGACGACTGTCTTCATTCTCGATTACAAAGGGTACATTCGTGACGAATGACCCAAAACATACGAATTACGATCATCCAGGTGGTTAACTATTAGTGGAAATTACTGTCTTTTTCGTATGCATTGACTCTTTGTCGAACTGCTGGGGTTTTCGTAAAATTAGAAAACTTTTTATTAAATAATATTTCGTAATACACACGAAATTTTTGTAAATATTACGAAAAAAAAAATTACGAATTTATATTTCGTAAAGTTAAGCATGAATTCTTTCAGTGTAGCACATATGTATTTAGAGTTAGGTACTTGCTCACTACCACATGCTTAGAGTTAGGTGCTGCAGTCAAAGAATCGGACTACTTATTATACTTTGATTATAATGTAATTCACAAAGTAAATAAATGAAAAAATTCGACCGGATAATAATTTGTTAAATAAAATTATTTTTTTTTAATTAACAAAAATTGTTTGTAATTAAAAAAAAATATTTTCTAAATTTCATAATTTTTTTTTCTAAAATTACAAAAATATTTTTTAAATGAACAAACATTTATTATATAAAATTATTTTGCATTATACTAAAAAATTTCGTAGATATTACGATACAATTTCGTGGTGAGCAAAAAATACACTTGTACATTTTGTCACATTTCATAAGGTTCATCCAGAATAAAATTAGTTTAATACTGGACGTGAGTAAAATCCATTCATATTCTAGTGTCTATGACTATAAAGAATATATTTTGAAAAAAAAAAAAAACTTTCGCGGTAGAAAATTATCAAATTAGAGGGTTTTTGGAAACTGTTGTAAATCACAGGAATTTGGAAAAATAAATTGACGAACTTACAATGTCACGATATTCGCATTACTTCAAAAAAGTCGTTACGTTTTTATTTTTTCATAAATGTTTGATAAATGTGAATATATCCAGCAAAAACTCGGTAATGACTTGTACTTACACAACTACTAACTACATTTCAATGACTACTACATACCGTCTGCATTACTTTTAAGTACTCGTATAATGGTGGTAAGTAATTGCCTCCAATGACATCACCGTCTTACTTTTACTACTTCTTTACTTTACTAAAAAGCGGCTATCTTAGAAATATAAAATCCGGAAAAATATTAGATTTGATTATTACAATCTGAAAAGCATGTTCTAATATAAATTTCATTTTCAAATTTGTCTCTTAGAGAAAAAAGTTAAAATATGTTTAAATATTTTCTCCAAAAAATACCTATGCATATCACTCTACTACATACTCAGGGATGGAGGTTTGAGTACTATTGTATTTTTTTCCAATACTTTTTAGATAATTTTCTTATTTTTAAACTCTATAGAAATATATGTATTTTATTTATTAACAAATAACAGTGCTATATTCGGCTATGCAGAATATTAAATACCCTACACGTATAATAGTATTTTATAAAGAAAGCTAAAATTTCGTTTTCGTAACAACAATTACACAGGACTGAATTCTGTGCGTTAAAGTGATTTTCGGAAGTGGCCGTTGTATGGAAGCTATTCATTTATGGATCGTTTCAGTTGGTAATACGATTTTTATTGATATTAGATTTAAATATATTTTGGAATATATGTATGTATGTACTTGTGATCTAGTCGTCGAATAAGTTCCATCGAAATACATACATATGTAATTTTGGTTGTGTCTTAGAAAATACCTATCATCATATACATATCGTTAAGACTTCAGTTTAAAACTATTTGTAATAATAATTTCCCAGATCTGTACAACCACTGAAAACCATTAAAATGTTTGTTGTATTTGTCGCTGTTACTTCCCATATTTGTTGAATTAAAAAATATGATAGCAAGAGAGTTTTGTACATCATATTAGGGCATTACTTTTATATTTTGAAAGTACATACATGTATATGAAATTTAAAAAATATATAAAATACAGTTGTATAGAACATCCTTTAGTTTTAAATAAAATCAGAGCATTACTGGATATTACATTGTCATTTGTGGTTATGACCCTAATGTACATACATATATATGTACATACATACACACATACAGATGTATATGACAGAATTCGTTTTCTGTTTGATACGGTTTTTACATCTATGCATTTTTTTCGAATTTTTCAACATTATTTTGCTTTAGCATAGTGCAAATCGATATTTATGATTTTTCTTTACATTATACGTACGTACATCTTTTGTTTTATACAATATATATTTACGTGTACATTGTTCATGTTATTGTGTAGTGTTTTCTTTTCGATATGTTTGTATATATTTTATGTCACTTAATAAAATTGGTTCAACTAATTCCAACACACTAAACTTGATCTAATTTTCAAATACAAAATTGAATATTTATTAAGGACAAACAATATTTAAATGAAAATTAGAAATTAAAAATAATTTTTTATTTCCAGTAAGCAGATGAGATTTTTTTTTTTTGATAAATTCATATGCTTAGAATGTGTTGTTTTAAGTAACAGTTTAATTGTAGTATATTTTGTATTATACTAATTTATCTCACATAAATTAAATAGATTGAAAATTAAATATAATGATCAAATCTAATTACAAAATGTTCGACTCAACGAGGATATTTTGAAATTAAAATTAATATTTGAAAACAAATACTTACGTTGATGTTTATCAGCTAATTGAACCAAGGTATTTGGAAGATCTCTTCTTCTATAGAAGCACATTACTTTGGCTTCAACACTACCACTTTGACTTTTATTCAATTCTTCAATGCGACGTATTAGATATGGACTATTCGGAGATGTCTCTACATAGACATAGTCTGAAATTAAAAAAAAAAAGGAAAACATTATTTACAAATTATAAAGAAGATAAACAATTATATTTTTAATATACAATATACTATGAATGCGATTGTATGTGACGTTTGTACGCTTTCTGAATGTTATAGATTTTATAAAAGTAGGAGTATTTGAAAAATTTGTCATTCTATCCCATTAGAAACCTTGTTTTCCAAAATATGAATTAAAATATGTGTATTTTGGCACGTCTTGTATCTTTTTTGTTTTAATTTCTTACACTACTATTAAAATTATACACTTTTATTTTTGAGGTTATAAAACATATACATATTATATAAAGAAGAGGTGTATGAAAGTGCAGTCGGTCGACAGGGCCGACATATTATTTGTTCTAATCAATAAATAATACAGTTCCCATTCAGAAAAGAAATTACACTTAAGTTTTCAAATTAGTATGAAATTTCCAAACTTAAGTAACATTTTTTTTCCTTACCCCTATTATCTCAATGTCTGGTTATATTTTATCGTAAGGTTAAATTGACAGTTTTCATAAAAAAAAAAAACATTTTAACCGGCAGAATATCTACCGGTTAAACGATAACCGGAGTTGGTGTTAACCGGGGTTAGTAAGACTGTAAAACTCAGCCTGAAACATTTTAATGTTAATATGTATTTATAAAAAATGTTATTAATTATTTTGCGTCAGTTGTTTACACTTTTGCATTTCTTGTTCAAGTTTAAACAGCCTCCATTGGGCGCTTAAACTAGCAAACAAAATTAACTGAGTACTCAAAAACAGTTTTTGATTATTATTTTTAATTTAATCGCTAATCGTTCACCTAAAGATGATCCTCAATGTATTAAAATTAAATATGTTTTCAAATTAATATTTACTTCGTTTCAAATGTTGAAATGTATTGTACAGGATGCACTATATACATATGTACATATATATTAAATCATAATATGATATATTTTATTTTTTAATTCAAATTGTTGCATCAACCTTTTCTATATTAATATACACACTTTTTATTACAGTATTTTATATGTAGCATGAATATATGTTGTTTGTGTCATTAGCAGATTCACCGGTATTATTAGAGATACCAACCAATATATCTATCTAACTACCTAAATAGATACACAAATACCAACAGAGTTTTAAACAATCATACACACATGCAAAATGTACATAAGTACAGACAAAACAAAAAGTATACGTTTTTATTTTCAGTCATACATACGTACCCCAATACCTATGAAGTGTTTAGTATAATTAACTAAAAGCGAATCATAAAAATATATTAAAGTCAAACAATTGGTCAAGTAAGAACTTGTTATAAAGTAAAAAGGGCTACTCCATATTGTTGATATTATAAATGCTTTCAATTGTTTTCTTGGAGGTATATTATATGGCGGAAAATAGAAATAAATCATTAAATAATGTAGTTCTGTTCATATTTAGTAAAAGAACTTTTACATCTATATATTATTTACTTTTCTTTTATTTTATTAAACAGCTTTTATGATTTCTAATTTTGATTTTTTATTTAAAATTTGGACTTTGAACAAATCATACATATAAATACACTACAGTGAATCTGTGTGTTTACATGTGCGACGAATGTTTAATTAAAGCTGTTATCAAACAATAACAATATTATTTTTAATTCGTACAAAATTTTAAATAATTAAATATATGATTGTTCGATAGGTAAAGACATTTCTCATAATCTAAAGTTTCCACTAACTATTCCATTAGGTTTACATACAAATGTATGTAGGTACATATAACATAAACATGCACTTAAATTTATTATAGGTTCAATGAATATGTATAGGCAAAAATCACATGAGTTCACTATATGGATTAAAGTCCTATCAATGCAATGTTTTTTCTCAGGCATTAAAATTTAGTGTTTTAAATCCAAAATTCAGTAATATTTTTTTAAAAAATGTTTAAAAAATAAATTAAATAAAACATTCAACAGTGATGTTAATTTTGAAATCAACACTCAAAATATCGTATACATTTATTATTGCAAAAATTGAGGCAACTCCACACAAGGGTACTCCCAAAAGAACTAGTCACAAACTAAACAAAATATACCAAACAAACATGTTCGATTTAACATTGCGATTAATATAGGTAAATTACTACATTTCGTTTATATTCCATATTTATACAGATAGTTAGTTCGAAAGGAAATACACCTGTTTTGTTTATGTTTTAGAAATCTGGCCGGTTCTTCAAGAACCAGTCGAAGAACTTCATTAAATGAAATAATACTAATTAATAGATATAGATTTTGTTATTTAAATGGTGTTACAGCTCCCAAGGAGTTTGAATACTATATAATAGAGTACTCAAATTCCGTACTGAGCCGAAAATATAGTATATATTTGACTCTGTCAAATGTTAAATGCCCTTTTTTACGCTGGTTGAAAAATTAACAAAGCGAAAATTATATAATTTATTCAAAACACAGGAATATGGAAATAAAAAAGTCGTATCAACCCAATTTTCCACATTTTCATCTTCTAGTTTTTCTGACTATATAATAACCCCCTTATTCACAAACAACATTTTTATTTTATAAAAGGTTTATAAAACAAAATTTCCATACAAAATCTAATTTATAAACTGTTTATAAAATAAAAATTTTGTTTGTGAATAAGGGGGTAATAATTTAAAAAATATATTTTTTGTGAATTATTTTATAATTTTAGTTCACGTCTTTTTTTTAAATATTTGATAGGTGTGAACGTTTTAGAATTTCATAAGGACTTGGAAGAAAAATTCTCAATGTTACACACGCATTGACAAACTTCTATATACGCTTTATTGACTCTGATGGAAGTAGAGGGAGAGATAATACAAATATGTATTGACTATTATACTATATAACTTAATTTGTTTTAAACATAACATATTAAAAGTGCATGTAAATGACGTACATATGTACATATAAATATGTACATATGTAGGTATAATAAATATAAATGAAATTTATCATCTGTAACAACTTTCACACACCGTCACCATCTTTCCAACTCTCAACTAGTTGCACTAGTTTTTTTAACCAGATTACAAGTATAAACCATACATACATGTAATATAATAGTACATTCAACAAATTCCAATTAGATAAATTAAAATCGTAAGAGTTTAAACGGCGGTGTGTGGCGATGGAAATACTCGTGTACACAAATACACTGCTCACTTGAAAAAAAAAAACATTAAATACAAATTGCAAACTCATACTGAATCTGATTTTTGGCATCAACAGAGAAAAGGAGTATTAAGTATGTATGAAGATGGTTGGTAATTGTATTTACATGATCGAGGTGGAATGAAATATATAATCAATAGGTACTATAGTTTATTTGTTTTTTTTTAGTTTTAGTTGCAGTTAGTAAATTTTATAAGATACTTTTTATAAAAAGTAATATTATAATAATTAATAAACAAAATTGGAAAACAAAGCAATGAAATGATAAAATCAAATAAATGCACTATATACTGCATATAACAACACCACCATCAATATCATTGTCATCATCAACACATCACATTTTATACCATGGACGTACACATACTAAAATGTAATTGTACTGTATTCAGACACATTTGCACAATGAAACCAACAATATTGGTGTTTTGTCTGGGTCTTTCTTTTTGTCTGATTTACATTCTTCCGTCTTTTTATTTTCCATATTTTTGCATACAAGAAAAACAGGCACAAACAGACCCACTCGCCAACACGGAATTTTAACACAATGCAGCCAGCAGCAGCCATTATAAGAAAAAAGCTGAACTACATCAGAATATAGGCCCCCAATGCTGCTGGTGCCGCCGCTACTTCTGCAGTGGCTACCCAACAATTTTTTTAAGTTCAGTTCAACGTCATTAACTATAGCGTAAAACAGCGACGTTATCGGAAAAGAGTAGCACATAAAAGTGTATAAATGTAGGAGAGGTGTACGAGGCATGAAGAGAAATCATTAATATGAAAAAAAAATAAAAGCAGCAAGCAAACCGACAAACGAAGACGAAACACAGTGCAAAAGATATAAGCGAAAAAATGGAAAATTTTTTTTCTTCATCTCACCTCCGACACGATACATATTTGTAGCCATTTTCACTTTATTTTCATACACAATTTTATATGTATTTTATACACTTCAATGTTAATAATATTATTACACAGTTTTTTTGCAATTTTAAACACATTTATTAATAAAAATCACAATTTGTTATGATTACATTCACACAAGACGCGTTTTTTTCGTCGCCATCTTAGAAAATTACTGTGAATTACAGTCGCCATCAGAGCCCTGCGCCGACAAATATCAACGGCGGCGGCGACTGACACTAAATATGTCGGCGGCGGCTTAAAATCGACTGTAAGCCGGCTAAGTTTTCAACTACGTTTAGTTTTTAAATTTTCAACGATTTTAAATAAAAACGGAATCCGAGAGGGTCCGATCCTCAAAATTTTATTTTTCATAAATGTAGGTTTCGGTTCCTAAAAATGTTTTTTTCTTCGACATCGACATTTGATCGAGATAAATTTTCGTTCAATTAGGATACTGCGTGTTTAATTTTATGTTTATATATTCAATATTTTAGAAAATTCAAAAAGTACCAGTTAAAGAACGAAAAATTACCAGAAATACTCCAGTTTAAATTTTTATTCACTCAAGTCGCTGATTGCTTAGTTTTATGTTTTTAGGCTCATTATAATAGAAAATTCAAATAGTACCAGTTGAAGAACGAAAAAGTACCAAAAAGTCCCGTTTTATATGTTCTAACTTACTCCAGCCCTACAGGTTTAATTTCATGTCTATAGGTTCAATATTATAAAAAATTCAAAAAGTACCAGTCGAAGAACGAAAAAGTACCAAAAAGTCCCCTTTTATATTTTATCACTTAATCCGGGCTGTACATTCTTAATTTCATATTTCTAGGTTCAATATTATAAAAAATTCAAAAAGTACCAGTCGAAGAACGAAAAAGTACTTAAAAGTCCCTTTTTATAGATTACTCCGGGCTCTACATATTTATTTTTATGTTTCGATGTTTAATTTTATGTAAAACTCAAAAAGTACCAGTCGAAGTACGATAAAGTTCCCCTTTTATAGATTCTCATTTACTCCAGGCTCTAAGTGCTTAATTTCATGTTTCGAGGTTCAAATTTTGTAGCAAGCTCAAGAAGTACCAGTCAAAGAACGAAAAAGTAGCAAAAAGTGCCATTTTATAGATTCTCATTTACTCCGGGCTCTACGTGCATAATTTCATGTTTCTATGTTCAATTTAATAGAAAACTCAAAAAGTACCTTTTGAAGAACGAAAAAGTACCAAAAAGTCCCGTTTTATATGTTCTAACTTACTCCATGCCCTACAGGTTTAATTTCATGTCTATAGGCTCAATATTATAAAAAATTCAAAAAGTACCAGTCGAAGAACGAAAAAGTACCAAAAAGTCCCCTTTTATATTTTATCACTTAATCCGGGCTGTACATTCTTAATTTCATATTACTAGGTTCAATATTATAAAAAATTCAAAAAGTACCAGTCGAAGAACGAAAAAGTACTAAAAAGTCCCTTTTTATAGATTACTCCGGGCTCTACACATTTATTTTTATGTTTCTATGTTTAATTTTATGTAAAACTCAAAAAATACCAGTCGAAGTACGATAAAGTTCCCCTTATAGATTCTCATTTACTCCAGGCTCTAAGTGCTTAATTTCATGTTTCGAGGTTCAAATTTTGTAGCAAGCTCAAGAAGTACCAGTCAAAGAACGAAAAAGTAGCAAAAAGTGCCATTTTATAGATTCTCATTTACTCCGGGCTCTACGTGCATAATTTCATGTTTCTATGTTCAATTTAATAGAAAACTCAAAAAGTACCTTTTGAAGAACGAAAAAGTACCAAAAAGTCCCCTTTTATAGAACCTCACTTAATCCGGGCTCTACATGCTTAATTTCACGTTTCTAGGTTCATTATTACACAAAAACTTAAAATGTACCTTTTGAAGAACCAGGCTCTCACTTAATCGGGGCTCTACACGCTTTCATGTTTCTTATTATAGAAAATTCAAAAAGTTCCTTTTGAAGAACGAAAAAGTACCAAAAAGTCCATATTTATAGATTCTCAAGTGCTTAATTACATGTTTCTAAGTTCTAAGTCAAAAAATTACCAGTCGATGTACGATAAAGTACCAATAAGTCCCATTTTATATATTCTCATTTACTCCGGACTCTACTTGTTTAATTTCATGTTTCTAGGTTAAATTTTAGACAAATAATTAATTATTTAACATGTAATGTACTTACATTTTTTAATATTCTTCTAGATCTCACAAACAACAGGCCAAATCTATCAATATTTTTAGTAAAATACTAAAAATACTTTTATACTCTTCAATAAACAATTAATGTTATTTCCAAATTATATATATTTTATATTTTTTTTAAAAGAATTCCAAAAAAATTCCAAATTTAACACGTTCTGTGTTTGTTACAAACTCAAAATGTATGTAAAATGAACAAGATGATAAAAGAAGAATTTGCTAAAAATTGGCGCGAAAACATGCGCGCAGCGCGCAAAAAATTGCAGAATTTTTCCTTCAAACAGATTTTGTTTGATGTCCCATTTAAATACATTGGTTTGACGACTTAGGAAACTTTGGTTTGTCAAACAGCAATGTATTTTTCGTATCTCGTGTTTGCTACAAACACTTTGTGTTTGAAGAAAAAAGCAGCGAAATAAACTTTTCGTTCTTAAGGGAAAAGTTAAAAAACTGTAGTAGATATATAGTATTATAAGTACTATCGATTGCATCACTGTATTTGTTTACGAATATATATAAAAAGAGAATGAAAAATTTTACATGTACTGTATTATCGACAATTATTGTTATTTTTAGCACTACATTATCGAAAAATTGTACCTTCAGTTTTTATAAACTTTTAATTGTAGAAAAGCGATTTATTTTAAAAGATTTTTTCAGAAATTTAATTTATACTCATTTCAGTTTTTCATAATAGAAATTATGTAAATCCAACAATTAAATTGAAATAAAATAAAGTATTTAACATTTTTAGCATAATTAGCTGAATTAATTTTGTTTTCATTCAATCTGTTACAAATTGAATTAAAATAAATTTCAATAATTCCTTTTGATTTTTAAATTCATTTTGTAATAGATTAAATGCTTTATAATTTAAAAACATTATGTAATAAAATTAATTAAACAAATAATAATGAGCATTCAATTGAATTCATTCCTATAATAATGTTAAGCCAAAGAATTCAGATTCAAAGAATGGTACATTAAAAAATTTAAAACCAAATTAAAACTATAAGCGAATTGATTCCAAATTAATTAATGTTTCAATATGATTAACCCGGACTACAATATAATTAACAAACATATTAAAAGTAAATATGTTCACTAATAAAGTTTCTTTCACATATTGAACCGATTTTGAAAACACATCTTAAAATTATTAAAAAGATTATAATTAGCTTATTGCCTGTTTTTAAATTTGAAACATTATATGGAAATACCAAGGTTATTTTGGGAGAATTTTTATATTGTAATACATATAAGAATATTTTTTTATTTCTTTAATTTGTTATTATTATTTAAATCATAATTTTTAATATTAAAAATTCATTAATTTTGTATGTAAACTAAGTATAAATTTATATCCGAATTTGTCTAGGTTATTGGAAAAAAAGAAATTAAATAAACTTGATAAAAACGCCCTGGTTAAAGCAAATTATATTTTGGAAATTACAAGCTTATATGTATGTGAAGGATATGATCAATAAAAAAACTTAAAAGCTACTTACTTTTTTTTCAAAATAAAACTTATCAGAACTATCTTTATATCAAATGTCTACAAAAGAAATATTTCGAAGAACATTCGTTAGATATTCCTATATTCTAAGAATTAACTATATTACCCATCACAATTTTATATTTCAAAATATTTTCTCTCAAAATCCCACTTTTTCAATATCGTTGAAAATTTAAAAAATAAATGTAATAACTTAGCCGGCTTACATAAGATTTTAATCCGTCGTCGCAATATTTAGTGTCAGCAGCGGCCACTGTTTATGTTTATCAGCGCAGGTTTCTTGTCAACTGTCAAACGTAGTGACGTGGCCCGTGCCACAGCAGTTGAAAAATCTTTATTTCTTTCTAATTGGATCATAATTTAATTTTTCTTGATTTTTTGTGAAAAATAATTATAGTATATTTAAATAAAAGAAAAACTAAATATTTTGGTGAAGGTTTAAAAATCTTGTGCTAAAGATGACGACCTATGAAGAGTTTATACAACAAAATGAGGACCGTGATGGTGTAAGATTGACGTGGAATGTTTGGCCATCTAGTCGCATTGATGCCAGTCGTTTGGTTGTACCTTTGGCCTGTTTGTACCAACCACTTAAAGAACGCCCCGATTTGCCACCCATTCAGTATGAGCCAGTGCTATGTACAAGGGGAAATTGCCGTGCTATTTTAAATCCCTTGTGCCAAGTGGACTATAGGGCTAAATTGTGGGTTTGCAATTTCTGTTTCCAAAGAAATCCTGTAAGTTGTTTTCATTGCTGTTAAAAGCTAGGTTTTGCTAATTTATACATTTTTATAGTTCCCTCCCCAATATGCAGCCATTTCGGAGCAACATCAACCTGCTGAATTAATTCCAGGTTTTAGTACCATTGAATATACTATAACTCGTGCCCCCTGCATGCCTCCTGTTTTCATTTTCCTTGTTGATACTTGCATGGACGAAGATGAATTAGATGCTCTTAAAGATTCTTTGCAAATGTCTTTGAGTTTGTTGCCACCTAATGCTTTGGTGGGTCTTATCACTTTCGGTAAAATGATACAAGTTCATGAATTGGGTGCTGAAGGTTGTTCCAAGAGTTATGTATTCCGTGGCACTAAAGATTTAACTGCCAAGCAAGTTCAAGAAATGTTAGGTATTGGACGCCAAGCGGGCGGACCTCAGGGAGGTCCAGTTGGACCTGGGGGTCAGCCAATGCCCGGCCAACAACAACGTATGCCTGGTGCACCCGGTCAACATCCAGCTGTACCACCGGCAAATCGTTTCTTGCAGCCCATCTCCAAGTGTGACATTGCCCTGGGAGATTTGTTAAGTGAGTTGCAACGTGATCCTTGGCCAGTGCCTCAGGGCAAGCGTTATCTCCGTTCAACGGGTGCTGCCTTAGCCATTGCCGTGGGTTTGTTAGAATGCACTTATCCTAATACTGGAGCCCGCATTATGGCTTTTGTTGGCGGACCTTGCTCTCAGGGCCCCGGCCAAGTCGTTGACGATGAGCTTAAACATCCCATTCGTTCCCATCACGACATCCAAAAGGACAATGTCAAATTCATGAAAAAAGCCATCAAGCACTATGATACTCTGGCTCTACGCGCAGCCACAAATGGTCATTGTATTGACATCTACTCTTGTGCCCTCGATCAAACTGGTCTTATGGAAATGAAACAGTGTTGTAATTCTACAGGCGGTCATATGGTAATGGGTGATTCCTTCAATTCGTCCTTATTCAAGCAAACTTTCCAACGGGTATTCTCCCGGGATGCACGCGGCGATTTGAAAATGGCCTTCAATGGTACTTTGGAGGTTAAATGCTCAAGGGAATTGAAAATATCTGGAGGCATTGGGTCGTGTGTGTCGTTGAATGTGAAGAGCCCATCGGTGTCGGATGTTGAAATCGGCATGGGCCAAACGGTGCAATGGAAATTGTGTACCCTCAATCCTAGTTCAACGATGGCATTCTTCTTTGAAGTTGTTAATCAACATGCTGCTCCTATACCTCAAGGTGGTCGTGGTTGTATTCAGTTCATAACACAATATCAACATCCAAGTGGTCAGAGGCGTATTCGTGTTACAACGTTGGCAAGAAAGTGAGTGGGACTTTTTTTTCCTTAAACATTAATTTATATTTTTCCATTGTATTTTTTTACAGTTGGGCAGATGCTACTTCTAATATTCATCACATTAGTGCTGGCTTTGACCAAGAAGCTGCTGCTGTAATAATGGCACGCATGGTTGTTTATCGTGCTGAAACCGATGAAGGGCCAGATATATTAAGATGGGTAGATAGGCAACTTATTCGTTTGGTAAGTATAAAGAATACAAAAAATATATAAATTTTAATAATTAATTGCTAATCTTGATTTAATTTTTTCACTTATACTTTTATAAACAAATTATACTAATTTTATTTTTAAATTCTCCCTATTTTTAATCTAGTGTCAGAAATTCGGCGAATATAGTAAAGATGATCCCAACAGTTTCCGTTTGGCTCAGAATTTCTCCCTATTCCCGCAGTTCATGTATCATTTACGTCGTTCTCAATTCTTGCAAGTTTTCAATAATTCACCCGATGAGACCACATTCTACCGACACATGCTAATGCGTGAAGATCTAACACAATCATTGATAATGATTCAACCAATTTTATATTCATATTCCTTTAATGGTCCACCCGAGCCAGTTCTACTCGATACATCATCCATACAACCTGATCGTATCTTATTGATGGATACATTCTTCCAAATTCTTATTTATCACGGTGAAACTATAGCTCAGTGGCGAGCTCTTAAATATCAAGATATGCCAGAATATGAGAATTTCAAACAATTGCTGCAGGCTCCCGTTGATGATGCCCAAGAAATCTTGTTGACACGTTTCCCTATGCCGCGTTACATTGACACAGAGCATGGTGGTTCACAGGCCCGTTTCTTGCTGTCTAAAGTTAATCCTTCTCAAACTCACAACAATATGTATGCTTACGGACAGGTAAGTTTCGATTGCAATATAACTTTATATGTTGAATTAATCATTTTATGTTTTTAACTAATTTATATTTTTTTGTTTGTTAAAAAATCGTCTTTATTTGTTGTCCCTGTTTGTTTTTTTACCAAATTGTACTCGGTCGAAATATTATGTTTTCTAATAAAAACCAATAAAATGCAGCCACCAATTGGTTCAGCTACGGTATTTATACTTCAAATACTTTACAATCTATAATAGTTGGCTTTTTCCTAAAGGTTTTTTACTTTTAAATGGTGAAGGCTTTCAATAACCTTTTAACATTTTATTTGAAAAAAATGGTGTTGGTGGTTTTTTTATTTAATTAAATTCTTATTCTTTATTTATATATTTTAAAGGATTGTCTCCCGCAAATAACAAAAAAATTATTTTTTTACACACATAATTTGCATTTATAATAATTCCATTTTTTTTATTACTATAATTTCTCTAGGATGGTGGTGCTCCTGTATTGACCGATGATGTTTCACTGCAACTTTTTATGGAACATTTAAAGAAACTGGCCGTTTCTTCTACAACATGAATTCATACGAACACATGGTATTGTCGTTTAATATCAAGTTTATGCAATATTTTAAAAAATACTTGGATAAAATTAAAACGAAATTTATTCCATTGCATCATCTAATGGTAGTTATTTTTAAAACATATTTTTTAGTTCTACTCATCTAATCTATTCTACAGATGAATGTATTTGTTTGTGTGTTTTCTTTTTAATGATGATACTATTATTAGTTAAGGCTGGCGTTTAACGAATTCTTATTGTATTTGTATTTTCTATAAACCTTAGTTTAAAAGCATACATATTCCAAATGTTAAAAAAAACAAACTATTTAAAGGATGATAAAATTTAAATTAACAGAATAAATTTATAATATTAATAACAATTAAGAATCAAGACTAAAAAAGATATACATATAATTAGTTTGAAAAAATAAAACAAGAAAACAAGAGATAAATTAAGTGTTTTATTTTATAAGGAGATGTCCGTTACTCTTTTTGATGAATCGCTGCATTCGTTATCGAAATTAACTGTTTTATATACTTATTTTTGCATGTACCATAAATTGTAAATATCAAATGAAAAGCTTTTCAAAGAATTCCCGGTCATTTTACTAAAAAAATTTTCAACTAAAAATTTTCCACTGAAAGAACTAAAAAAGAGTTTTTTCTTAAACTTGTTTCATTTGTGGGAAAAAAATTAATTTAAAATCTACCAGATCGGTCCAACAATGTCTGATATATGGTTAATCGAACGTTAAAATGTTATTGATTGATCTTTATTTAATAAATTAGTGATATTATATTGTACAATTTTTACTCTTTTACAAAAGGGTTAAAATTGTTGTTGTCTTTGCAATTTAACGAGGACAAATAATAGGCAGACTGACTGACTATATTGACGACAGCATCATTATATTATTAATATATAAATATTTTGATATTGGGCAGGAAATGATACACATGCGTGAAACTTATCACAGACAAACACGCATATAACTACTCATGTATGAAATCTACTATCTATAGAAGTGAAGTAAAATATACATAAAATTTATAGGGTAAATAAAAGGCTATAAAACGACTTATAAACACTAATTTTTGGACTAAACCGAATCATGTATACCTTATAGGTTTAAAGATTGTATGGAAATATTTTTTAAATGGTTAAAAACTCCGTTATCATTAATATAATGATCAGAAATATATATGTATGTACGTATATGTAGTTGACAAAACATATACGCGTAAGAAATTGCTCAAATAAAACAAAAAAAAAAAATTGAATAATTTTAAAAATTAGATATATGTTTTTTAAGTTTACTCATTTAGAAAACAATGGCCAATTATAGATTTTTAATTGAGAAAAAAATTCAAGTTTACCTAAAAATATGCAATATTATGAACAATATTTTATAACTAAAAGTATGCCCTAATTTGATTTCATTTCAAACAAGTCATAAAATTTTAAGTTCATAAAACAATGTTCTTAAAAAATGTATCCTTTCAACTTATTTGCCACCCTTTCAATATGTTGCCATATAAATACATACATACACAAAATATGTATATTTTTGTATGCATGTGTGTATATAGTATGTATATAAAATCACTTTATATTGTTCGAATTGTTAACACGACATGTACAAGCATACTTACACATATATTAAAATACACTGAGAAAAAAAATTCAAGAAAAATATATCCTTTATTAAGGATATGTTAAATAAATGAATTTTTTTAAAGAGACGATCGGATTATTATAGGATCTAGCACCTATACTATACTCTCGTAGTTAGCTGGGGAAGTGTGAAGCTATTCAAAATATTGGACTTGGTACTAATATTTAGTCTCTGTGTACCAACATATATATTTTTATTTAATATTATATATACAAACATATATACTATTAATGTCAGCCTGTTGCCCATTTAGAGCATAAAGTTCTTCTCTGTCAATAGTGCTGAAACAAACAATGAACTTATTTTTGTTTTTTTTTTATAATACAATATAAAATCAGGCATCGACATACTGTAAATCTTCACTACAGCTTTGGGCATCGTGGCGCTAACACCTGTTGAATACAGTTAGGACGGATTATTTGGAATACAATAGAAACAAAATATACCACACACCACTACTACAATAAAATAGTGCATTGTACTGTTAAAAAAAAAAAGAAATCAAAGCATACTTTAAGGAGATGCTTTTTTATTGAATATTGTAAAATTTTTCGTTTAAAACATATGTCAGCAATAATTAAGTTAAAACTAATATTAAAAATGTATTTTAGTTAAAATATTAGTGCAATTGGTGGCTTTGAATAAAAATTGAAATTAATACAACAACATGTCAGAAAAACAACAAAATTTAGAAAGTGATAAAAACCGCGCTTCTGTTCTAAATGAAACTTTTAATGAAAGGCGAACCTCTAATCCTAATTATAATTCACCTAACCGCAGCATGATTGCTGTAATTGTCTATTTGGCCTTATTGTTGGATAATGTACTGTTGACTGTTATTGGTAAGGTATATTTTTTTGTGACACATAAATTGGTAATAGATAGAAATTTATTTGAAAAATTTTACTGCAAAATTAGAAATTACTTTCATATTAAAATTAGTCACTAAATTAGTCATTAAAAGTACATAAATATTTATTTACTAAGAATTTTCCAAAAATCTAAAAACCGTTTCGGTGAAATTTAATGACTTTAAATAAACCTATTTAAAATTAAAAAAAAAATTAAATATTTTTTATTTTGATAATTTGAAAATTTTCAATATTTTTTACCTTTTACATGATATCATAATATCAGATCATTATTTCGCGTAAAACATGAAAAAATTGAAAAACCTTATATAAGGACCTTTTTATCTCTTGAGCCAGCTGGACAAATATTGACCCCAGGACAAAATTTTCGAATTAACCAAGCTTTCATTGTTTGGGAAAACAAAAATGGAGCAATAATTCTAAATATGTAAATGGGTATATTTTTGTTTAAATATGTATCTATGTATGTCTGTACATATTTATAAATTACTCTTAATTCTCATATTTTTTTATTAGTATAGATTTTTAAAAGTATTTTTTTTTTACCATTTCATTCTTCTACTGTGATTTTCTATATATTTTTTAATCAAAATTAATTTGACTACACGCAGTGCCCATTTTGCCAGATTATCTTGCTACCATAAATAACAGAACAAAAACAACAACATTACATTACGCTTCACTGGATGCAGTCGTAGCAGCAACAGGCGTTAAAAATATAAATGACAGCGGTGGCCTTGGTATCCTTGGGGCTGCGGCGACAGCACAGCATTTAGCTTATCGCAATCTGGACGGTACAGCGGCACAGCAGCATAATCAACAACAACAACAGTCGACTCTAATACAACAGTACCAACAACAGCCACACATTATGACAAAACATCCAATACCCGGTAAATCGATGGTTAATTTTTCATTGATTCACTTGGTAAACGATGATAATAATAGCAATAATAAAGTGTTAATGGTGACGCCAATAAATGAACAACAACAACAACAAAACCAACGGAATTGGATATCCACCGAACATACTGAGGAGAGTCAAATCGATAAAAACTCTTTGGGGTTAATAAGTAATAATAGCAAAGAGACGGGAAATAAAATGACAGCCACAAACCAAAAGGATCATAACAGTGAGAATGCTAATCTGGCTAGTGAAAACGGTTCTATTGGAATTTTATTGGCGATGAAGGCATTAGTACAATTAATATTTAATCCCATTGTGGGCAATATGTCTACCAAGTATGGCTATCGTTTACCCATTGTTATGGGAACATTTTGTCTACTAATTTCGTCTTTAGGTAAATATTAAAAAACTTTTAATAATATAAAGCTTTAAGCCTTAAATAATACCCCACCCCTCCTGTTCTATACATTGAATAATATAATTTTTACATTTTTTAAATGTAGTAAGAAAATTGAATCAAAATCTGAAGAATCTGTGACAGCCCTTTAAAAATTCATATTTTCTTACCTATTTTTTTTCACATAAAATTAATTAACTTATTATTTCTTCTCCAGTATTTGCTGTTGGTGAATCATATACGACATTATTAATTGCTCGTTCCGTCCAGGGCATAGGTTCAGCATGTATTGGTGTTTGTGGCATGAGTTTGGTGGCACAAGTAAGTCTAATGCGTTAAAATTCCATTATAATATTACTCTAAAATAAATATTAAATTAACAGCATTATCCGGAAGAAGATCGTCGTTCAAAAGTGATGGGTATAATTTTGGGTAGTATTGCATTGGGTGTTCTACTTGGTTATCCTTTTGGTGGCATACTGTATGATTTATTTGGAAAATCGGCACCTTTTATTATACTCTCTACCATAATTTTTATTAACTTAGGTAAGAATACTAAAAATACCTGTAATGCAAAAAGGCATAACAACCAAAAATTTGAAAATCGACTTTTTGATCGAAAATGGTTCACTAGATCGAAATACATGTTGTCACAAGTTTTTAGAACCGAATTGTCAAAAATACCGACTTTATTGAAATAAAATTCAAAAGGGCGTAACAACAAATTAGTTATTTCCACAAAAGCTTTATAATGGACAATATCTGGTGATTCAGTTATACTCAAACGTGTTTATCGATGTTGGGATACAATACTTGTAAGAAAATTTTGTTTTATAACAAAAAATACATTTTTTCTAATTTAGTTTTTTGTCCTTCCTGTAAAATTTTAATAGTGTTGTTACGCCCTTTTGCATTTCAAGTGACGATATGAACTTTTAAATTCATTATGAGCAAAGTTGGACATTTAGGTTATAAAGGGTTTTTTTGAAATGAGTGTTACTTTTCACCAATGGTCCTAGCAAAAATTGTCCAAAAGACTTTTTTCAACTCTATAACTTCAGCAGTTCTTTACCGATAGAGATAAACATTTGTGTCTGGCCTACAATAGTAATTACCTTGCAAATGTTGTCCAAATCGATTTTTTAAGTTGGTTCACTTGACATGAAATTGCTCCTGTATAGCTAACATCTTGAAATAATCATAAAAAATATTTAAAATTATTTATAAAATTATTTATATCTTTTTATATTGAAACAGAATCTGAATACCTATTAATTTGAATAAATTTAATAATTTCTAGGCATGCAATTAGTCACTATGGACTTATCGGTACAACCTGAGGTAAATGTATGTAAAGGCATACAATACATACATAAATGTTATTTTAAAATTTAAATTTAATTGTATGTAATATAATTTTATATATATTCATAGATTATTGTGAATGTTGATCAGCAACAACCAAAATGGAAACCATTACTGCAAAGCAAAATGATTTTGGCCATTGTAATAGCAATATGGTTTTCAACATCGACAATGGCCATATTGGAACCATGTTTGCCCATATGGTTAATGCAATATTTGAAACCTACCAAATGGCAATTAGGCACAGTATTTATACCCGATTCTATAGGCTATTTTGTTGGCACAAATTTCTTTGGCAGCATAGCCTATAAATACGGACAAATTAAAATATCCTGTATATCATTATTGTTGGTGGGAATATCTTCGGTGTTGGTAAGTAATATTTTTGTACATACCTATAAAAATAAGTTGTTAATTCATATATTTATTAGATACCTAGTGCTACCACTGTTGCACAATTATTACTGCCTCATTTTGGTTTAGGCTTAGGTATTGGCATTATTGATGCAGCTTTAGTACCTCTATTGGCCACATTCGTTGATGCCACTTTGGCACAGGAAGATCAAATTGATATGGATGCAAAAATTTCCAGTAGTTCACATACTATGTCAAGTTATGGTACCGTTTATGCTATACAACAGACATCGGTTAGTTTGGCCTATTGTTTGGCACCTCTAATTGGTGGGGAATTGGCCCAGGCTTTTGGGTTTGCTTGGCTTATGCGTATTGTTGGTTTTTTTAATATAATATATGGTCCAATATTGGTGTGCTTGTATTATAAATATGATCCAAAGGTGTGTTGATAATAATATTTAGTATTTAAGATATGTTTTCAAGCTCTTTACTATTTTATGATTTTTATTTTTAATAGATTTTACGCGACAGACAAAATGAAATGTTACTAAGTTCTACTGGTGCTGGACATGGTAGTAAATATAAACAACTCTATAATTCTGTAGACACAGAATGAAATTGAGTGTCTCTAATAAAACTACAACTATTCTTTAGCAATGTCTATAATTCCTACTATATGTACTTCAAACAATATTTGGTGTTAATATAAAAAATATAATGAGAATATTGAAAACATAAAAAAGCTTGGTTTCAACAAAAAATCCAAAATTCTGCAAAGATTAAATAGAAATTGATAAAACTTAAATATCTCTATAAATTTTCTCCGAACTCTATAACAATATCTAATAAATCTATAAACGCAAATTAAATAATGATAAATAATAAATTGTAGAAAAATATATTATAAATCTAAATACGCAACTTAAATCATGATTAAATTATTGGGTACATAAATTACTCTATATTCGAATCGTTTCCAAAGAAATTATATATAGATCAAATCAAACTACTTTGCTTAACAAAATTAAAGAATTAATAAAAATATAAAAAAATTTCAACATTTCCTTAAATTTCTTTTTGACTTAAAATTTTTCATTAAATCCCCTTTCGGCATCTTTTTTTAGAATAAATTTTTAGTTCCAAATTCTAAATTTAAAAAAATTCCAAAAATTGCAATAAAATAACAATATGGCAAAAACTTTACCAGGTACTATTATTAAAATATAAATGATTTTTAAAAAATTATGTAAATTCTATACAAAGGTCCTGCTGATTTGTATCCTCTGCCACCAACGGTTGGTTATGAAAATCATGATTTACGTAAACATCGTTTGCCAAACTATTCGTTTGGCATTCGAACAACATTAAAAGACAATAGCTGCGGACCTGGTCCTAATAGATACAATGTATCGAAATTAGTGCGATATGGTGTAAGTAAAGCCAATAGATTTACAATGGCACCGAAAACATATTTAGAAGGTAAATCGTTAAATTTAAATATGTGTATATGTATAAGTTTATGAATTTATCTCCATGAATAGAAAAGGGTAAAAGTCCAGGCCCTATGGCTTATCAGCTTAGAGAATCTCCCATTTTTAAGGGTTCAAAATCACCAGAATTTTCCATGGGTAAAGTTAATACATTTTTCTTTAAAAATTGTGCTCCTGGTCCCAACAAGTACGGCATTAATGATACCTTCATCAAGCATAAGGCTCCTGAGTATAGCATGTAAGTTTTTGATAAATTATTTAATAAAAGTCTATAATTTGCTTTTTCTTTAAGTGGTGTTAAAAAATATTTGAAGGAATTAATACGTTCACCTGGTCCTGCGACATATCCGGGCGCGCCAATGTCTTTAATACGTCCCGATAGCCCTAAATATACATTAACGCCTCGCACCGAGTACACTTTTAAATTATATGGACCTGGTTCGAATTACTATAATCGTATGGAATATAAACCTGGTAAACGAGCCCCCACCTACTCTTTCGGAACACGCCATTCTCCACGTTCCGGTACTATGATTGTACCTTGTGATAATATATAATTGCCATATATGTACATTAACAAATTTCAATACATTACACTTTTGGCGCTCTATTTTTAAGAAGAAAAATTCAATAAAACATTTTTCTTAAAGAAATGATTTTTTAGCTGACTTTTAATCACCTTTAAATGATTTTTTTTGCAATAGAGACATAAGAATACAGATATTACTATATGAATATATTTTTTAAATTATAGATTCGAAATGTTAGACTATAATGAACATTTCCTTGCAAAGAATGATTAAGTTTTTATTGTAACTTGCTTATAATAGGTATAACTGATATTTATCGGTCTATAAAAACCTTCAATATGAGTCGATAGATTTACATATTAATATTTTTGTATGTTACAAACATTATCACAGGTGAAAAGTGCCCACTATAGAGGTGTAGGGTATAAAGCTAAGTATACAATGCGAATACATCACATCCATTTTTGGTTTTAGTCATATTTAATAGAATGTATTTACAATTTTATAAACTTTATCATAATTAAGCCTACGAGTATAGCTAATTCAAATATTATTATTAAGATTAAGATAAGTTTATTATATAAAACTTCACGTTGAAGCTTACGTATAATACTGCGTGACTGAGAGATATCATCGTCGGCATTTTCCAGACGACGTGTAGAACGTAAAAGTGATTCACGCTGTTCGCTCAACTCGGAAAGTACCTTTAAACAATAGAAATATTATAGGCACAATTAGGAATAATTGTTAAATAAATTAATAATGTATGTATATTATGCACATCAACTTTGTATACTAGTTTTAGGAGTATATTTTTACATTGTAATATTGTTTTTTTATCATAGAGGCTTTATAAATATTACTGAATATTAAATTAATAGGACTTACTTCAGTTCCAATTTGTTCGGATTCATAGGCTATTTGATTGGAACGCTGCAGACTGGCACCAGTACGTTGCAGAACATCATGGGTATTTGCAGCTAATTGTTCTTGGTTATTAAAGGAACGAGACATTTTTTATAGTATCAATTGTTATAAAAATATAAACAAATATGATTTTACATTTATTATTTGTTCAATTAGTTTCCTTCTTTTTGTTTATCTGATAATCAGGGATGGATAATTAAATATACTATGTAATACTACTAATTTTTATCAGATTTTTATAATTAGCTCTTTCCAAAAAAATCAAATATAAATTAAAATATTTTTCTAATTGAATTTATTTAGTTTTTTAAATTATTTGTTAATATAAACTAGTGAAACTTGCTATTTTAAGTAACGTAAATGACAATGTATAAAACTTTCCATCGCTGCTACATTTTTTAATTTTTTATTTTACAACACTGAAAAACATATGTTTGACACTTACTAAAAAACAGTGGTACCATATATAATAAAAGTTTGTTGGGAAATAACAGTTTAAAATGTATATACTTTTCTCTATTTGACTGGGATAATACATTTTTCATGCTACATTTAAATAAAATTTGGAAACATTACATTCAAGTACCAAGTGTGGAATCTGCATTTTTTAATATTTTTATTTTTTTAACTTTTTAATCAAAGGAAAAGAATTATATTTAATGCCGAAAAATTTGGGTATAGTAAAATTTGTCTTTATTGAAATATGGCAACTCATCATATAAATAACTTTTATCAACGTCAGTAGTTGTAATTTTTTTAGTTGATGATCATAAAAATTAATAAAATTGAAAAAAATATAAATAAATTAAGTGATAGTTTATAAAATAATTTTTACAGTTTATTCGATTACAAGGGATATAACCAACGTCTATACATGAAAATGAAAAAAACCTGGGTAAAGCGGGAAAATATATATTATGTCCCATTTTATAAACAAAAATCGAAAATGTTACTTTTGGGCATATTTCTACTGGGCATTATATTCTTTGTATACCAAGCTGTTTCCATAAACCAACTGCCAAATGCTAGCACACCATGGTCATTGGAAGGTACTGTACAAGGTCTAAAAAGGAAACACAAACAAATACAAGCGTCATTGGGTAAAAAACAAACTGATAATGATTCGGGGGGAGGTGGTGGCGTATACGACGAAGGTGGCGGTAATGGTGATAATGAGGATGCTAACTTATCACCAGATACTATAAAAATTATAAGGTAAAATACCGAGTATGTAAAACTTAAACAGTCGTGCTAGCGTATGGTTTTTAAGATGTTATTCTTTAGATAAACGTAAATAAAATGGAATAAATGTTTCTTAACAAACTGGCAATTTGGACAATATTGGATCAATGAAGTTATGAGCAATTATTTAAGCTAAGTCCTCATATATTATTCACTTTAGAATGTTTTTACTTTTTTAATTTCAAACTGAATTTAATGTTGTAGTTACAATTAACCAATCCTTACACAACTTAAAAGATTGGTTAATGCTGTCACAAAATTTATTCATATAAATGTTTGGGGGCATTTGGTATACACAGAATTTTCATCTTACTTCAAATTATAATTTAATAGAACTAAATTTGAACATGATTGCTTAAAAACTGACTGTATTTACGACTGTTTAAGTGTAATTCCGTCTGAATATTATTTTATATACAGTTAATTTCGGTAATATAACATTCTTTTTACTACTTATTTTAATTTTTTTAGAGGCATTCGACTCTTCGATTACGACTCTTACAAACCGAATTTCGAGGGGAAATTCCGCTGCTTAGACGGAAGCTTAGAAATACCATTTGAACGCGTCAATGATGATTATTGTGATTGTGTACACGATGGCAGCGATGAGCCAAGTACAAATGCCTGCAGTAATGGCCGCTACTATTGTAAATATCAAAAACGTCACATTACAGGACGGGGACGTGATATTTTCGTGCATAGTAGTCGGGTAAATGATGGAATTTGTGATTGCTGTGATGGCAGTGATGAGTGGAAGGGAACCAAATGCAAAAATAATTGTTTATAGAAGTGATAGAACTGAGTTTCTTACAGAAAACAAACTAGTTGTAAGTAGTTATTTATTTGTTTTAATTATCATTTAAAAAAATCCGAAACAAGTTTTAATTCAAGTCATTGAATGACCGTGAAAATATTGTAGCTACTAGGGTAATTAATTTGTAATTTGCATTTTTAAATTGCTAAATTTACTTTTTTAAGAGAATTTTGTTTTCAATATTTTTTTCTAGAATTTATTATAATAATTTTGATTTTAAAAATTCTGTAAGTTTAAAATTAAATTTATTTTTAATAACTATAGTAACGACACCAAATTGTGTAATGTTTTATTTTAGTAAATAAAGGTCTCATTTTGTTAGATGAAAGAAGAATGAATACATAAGAATTGTTTATGAAATGATATGAAAATATTTGTGAAACTTAAAACTTTTCATGTTTTTTTTTTGTTCTTTAGATACAAACCCTTGAGCTAAAGATAAAACAATTTAAAATAAAATACAAAAAATCTTCTCAAAAATCTATAATTAAATGATTAAAACTTTTAATTTCAGGAATATATTTCTATAATATTTATATACATTTTCTAAGAAAGTGTAATTTTGTAATTTCTTGTAAAATTTTATAAAAATAAATCATCACAACGAACAGGTTTTTAGTCTGTCATTGTTTTTTTTTTTTTTTTTAAATGAAGTAATAAGTTTAAGATTCGAATGGTTTTGAACTATTTGTATGAGAATGATATTAAAATTGTTTTTCCTATATTTTTTAGTATAGCGTTTAAAAAGAATTTATATTGTAGGATATTTTTAAGATTTTTTTTTATATAATTTGTAAAATACAAACTAAAAAGTTTTTTTAAATAAAGTTTTTATAATAAAATTCAATTTTTGTCTTATTATTTTAAATATTCCCCCTATTCTGCATTTTGATTAAGTTCCCGTATTTAGTTACGCAACAAACAAAAAGAAGAATTAATTGCATTTTTGAGATATCCTGCCCTAAAAACTGAAAAATTCCTGTTTTGGCTATATTTGAATCGTTATAACTGCACGAGATATATTTATAAATAAATTCTGTTCCCGATTGGCCATATTTGGCACTGCTTTACGCGAAAAGTTTTGGAGTCCAATGGTGTCCATTATAGTATTTTTTGTTGTTATCTATACATTAATGGATAACACAAGCCAACAAATTTTTAACCCTGGGACCTAAGTATACTTTTCTAAAGGGTTGAGCATCTTTAAATCCGAATCTGGTATCCGAATTTTTCTATCACATGAGGTTTTTGAGATATCCTGACCTATAAACTGAAAAATTTCCGTTTTAGGCTATATTTGAGTCATTATAACAGCATGAAGCATGATAAAATCTATTAAGTCATCTGAAACTTCTGTCTGTAGATTTTATAAGGACTTGAACACAACAATTTAATAATAGCTATAAATTATTAGTGAATTGTTACTTATCTTTTTTCGTTATATTTATTTATTATTGAAAAATAAAACACTTTTTATTTTTTATTTTGACATACATATTTAAGTAGAACTTAATGAATATGGAGTTGGTTTTCTTTATTATTATTTTTACTCTTCAAATAATTTTGTTTGTTTTTTAGCTTTAGTTTTTAATTTTAAATCTTAAAGACTAACATGTATGTTTCAATGTGTGTATGTATATTAAGTTAATGTTTATGTATAATTTTTATTTAAATTCTTATAGATTGTGTGAAATAATTTTTATATATATACTATATTGTATATACTCTTACCAATGTATGCAGTAGTTAAGTATATAAAATTATAAACAATTTAAATTTAATGCCAAATGCTAATATTTTTAATAAATAATAAAAAAAAATTTGGGACTTAAACTGTATGAATAATTATTTTTGAAGTGGGTGAAAATTATAAAAAGCAGATTTTAAATTTATACATATTTTTTATGTTGTTTGCCAAAAAATACTGTTAAAAAGTTTTGGTATTTGAATTTTATTTGATTTTTTACTTTTCTTTATAAGTATGCATATACAATTTTATTTCTTTGTTTAAATATTTCTTTCAAGTGAAACGCATTAATGCAATTTTGAACTGCTAATTCGAAAAAGGTACTTTTTTAAAGTTATTTTATTATTATTTTTTCATTTTAATTTGTTTTCTTTTTTATTTAAAATAAATGATAAACATATTATTCTTTTTTGCAAATGTTCAAAACTTAATTGTGAACGTTTGTTTACCTTTCATATAACGTTAGCTTAGTATGCAAATGTATCAAATCCTTTTTAGAAAAATTTAAAGTTGTTTAATAACTGGTATGTATTGAAAAATAAAACATAAAAGAAGTAAACTGTGTTTACAAATATGTAAAGCAAGAAAAGTTTTATGCTTCTCATGTAAAAATTTATTTAAGAGGCCTTATTGGCACTTTTGCGTACTTAACTAACGATATCAAAATTAATTAAATTTTCCTTTTTATTTAAATTGCAAAATCTTACAATACTACTAAAAATTTATTTCTTTTAGTTTATTATTTATATCAGTTTAGAGAGCCATACATGTGTTTATTGTAATTATATGTCAAAAATTACAATTACATATTATTTTATATAATGTGTGGTTGTTTAACTTGTTTCTTAGGTTTTCTATTAATTTTTTTTAATTATTTATATTTATGTAAATATATCACCTAAAAGCTATTTAATACTTAATTTATTATGTGTTTTCTTTTCCTTCTTTTTTAATTTCTTTCTTCATTATGTTCTTTTTTATATATGTAACCTTTTAAAAACTTATAAAAAATTTAAGTAAAGTTGTAAAACAAAAAGCATCACTAAAACAAAATGGTTTTATTGAAAAATAAAATAATTATAAATTTTTCTACAAATTCTAGTGTGCTGTAAATAATAGGGACAACTTCGATATTTTTACTTAGATGATTAAAATGCTCAATCAAAATAAAAACACTGTGTTATAAATGTGTTTAGCAATGATAAGAGTTTATGTTTTATGGGTCCATTTTCTTTCTATTCACTGAATATGGATATTATGTATTGACAACACAATTGTATCTGAAATAACTATTTAATATAAAAACATATTCCAAAAAGGTGTTTGTACAAATGTTTAGTGAAAGCGTTAGATGCCTTAAAAGTTGTAGCAATACCTCTCAAACGTTTCGTATTTAATCCTACTAAAATCAGTCTATAAGTGACCAATAAATTGTTTAGATATGTTAATTTAAACAATAAGAATCTTCTTCCAAAATTTACTGTAATGTTTAAAGAACTTGTATTAATCGATATTTTTATAAAATTCTATTTAAACAAGTTTTAATAAATATAAACAATTGGAACGAAATCTGTAAGAATTCGCTTGTTGAACTTATTGAACGTAACGTTAGAAATGTAATATTTAATTTAACTTTGAAATTATGGAATTTGTTTATCAGTGTGGACAAAATTGCAGTAATTTATAAAAGTAAATTGTAAATAATTTAAGATTTTTGAATACAATTCATTAGAAATCATTGTAACATTTAAATACAGTTGATGAATTGACCAATTATTAGCTACGAAATCAAATACATACAAATCGTTAGAGGAAACCTTCCGAGAAAATATATAAATAGGTAGTAAAAAATCAGTTTTAATGTAATTATACACATAAATGTTTAGAAAAACAAAAATGTTGTAAATTTTTATTGCACTGGAACAAAAAAACATCTATAAAAGGAAATCAATTTATATTTAACGAAATAAATGAAAATGAAATAATTAAAAATTATATTATATACTCTAGTATATAAGTATATGAAAATAAAAATATGCTTATAACGCACATTTTTTAAAGACAATTCGCAATTTAATATGTAAATATTTAATTGTTTACCTAAATAAATGAAGAACAACAAACAAGAGATTCAACGACACAGCGTGTAATACAACTTTTGTAACTTACGTTTGGACTTACACTGGTGAGTATGATTATGATGATTAGTATTATTGTTGTTGTGCGCATGATGATTAATATTTGAAGAAGTTGTAGTCGTACCAGCAGTATTTGAATTAGCATTAATTCCTATAATTGCATTAGAGGATAATTGCTGTTGTACCTGCTGCTGCTGTTGTTGATGGTGATGTTGATGAACTGTAGTAGTTGTAGCAAGATGTTGTTGCGTTTGATGCTGTTGTTGTTGTTGTGTATTATTCAATAGTGTTGCTGTTGTTGTATTATAATTATGGCGAAAACGTTGGGGTGTTTGATAGGATTGATAATTAAAAAAATTTGTATGATTTTGATGATTGATATTTACAATTGAATTGGTAACAGATGATGCTGTGGCCGATGCAAGTGACGTAGGTGAAGTAACATTTAAGTTAACTGAGGAAGCAGCCGTAGCAGCGGCAACCGCAGCCACTGTCGATTGTGATATTAAAGCTGCTGCTGCGGCAGCTAAACCGCTAGTGGTGGTCGAAGATGATGAAGCTGCTGCAACAGCAGCTGAAGCAATACAATGTAAAATATGATTCTGTTGTTGCTGTTGCTGCTGCTGTTGTTGCTTGTGTTGTTTTTGTTTGTGAGAAGAAGAAGCTGAAGCTGATGAAGACACTTTGCCATGGTGATGATGATTATGGTAATTATGATGATGATGGTGATTAGAACGTCTTCGGTGGTGGTGATGATGATGATGGTGGCGATGTCACTTTTCTTCAGACGTCTGCGATTGTGGCTGTGGATGCTGTTGATCATTGTTTTGTGCATTATTAGGTGTTTGTTGTTGTGTCAATTGTCCTCCTTGCTGCTGCAACTGTTGCGAGTGTAATTGCTGTTGTTGATTTTGATTGTGTATATGCTGGCAAAATGCTTGTAATACTTCAAAATGTGTCATTAAATTGGCTGTCTGACTATCGTAATGTAAATGGCGTGTAACTTGAGCGCCCAAACGTCTTAAAAGATCGGTAAATGTTTTCTCCTCTTTTCTTATCCAAGGTCGTCGATCGTCTTGCACTTGATATGGTGTTAAATGAACATGTATATTAATGGCTAAAGGAAATTAAAAAGATAACCCATTAAGTAATACGTTTCAATTTGTTTTCATATGATTTGTTTTTACCCATTCTTGTTAAGGTTTCTAATAAGCTTCGGGAAGTAATCCATGTATTCTTTTGACCCCCGTGCCCACCATCTAACCAATACATGTCTTTAATACGAGACAATAAACGTCCCATAGTACTATCATCGGGTGTAAGAGTTTTTAAGTAATGAAATTCGTATATGAACTGAAAAAAAGTAAATAAATTTTAATTATTATATACATATGTACATACATAAATATAGCTCTATTTTTAGTAGATTGTTCAAAATTTAAATTTCTTAAGGTTAATAGAGAACATATTTGGTGTTAAAGAAAAGTTTTTGGATATTATATTTATGCAAAGAATTGGTGTACAGAATTTATATAAAATCGGAAAGGGTCATGTTGAAAATTTTACTTTCTGTTCAAACATTTTGAAGATTTTTAATCGTTTGCGCTTTAGAAATAATTAATTATTTATTAAAAACCAATTTTTTTCCTACTGATTAATATATTAAGGTACATGTTTATTTCTTATTTTTAATTTTGTTAAAAAGCATTCAATCACGTTTGGACGTTTTGATAGAAAATATTTAAAATTGTTACCTTTATGTGATACATTGAAAATGTCGTTTGTATTTTGAATATGTATTGATTATTTTTCTATAAATTTTAATTTTTATTTAAATATATTTCCTTTCATATTTATGTAAGTAAAAGTGACTCTTTTAGATTTAAATCATTGTAATTAGTTTAAAACCTTAAGTCAATTTATATTTTTAACATTTTTGTAATTGTTTTAGCAAATCTTTTCGAAATTCTTCATATTCTTTTTGTGTTTCAATTTTTCTACAAAGTTGTTCGAGTATTAGACGTCCACAAGTACCACCATCGCCCTTATTGATCATTTCAAATTTTCCATGTTCTATATCATATGGTAATCCCATTTCACATAATTCTTCAAATTGTTCTTTCGAAATTTTTGATGTGTAATTTAAATATTCACTACACTTTTCGAAAATTTCCACATATTGTTTGGTTAAAGACTTGTCGCCGCTTGAAAGTTTTTGTAGAAATGATTTAAATAATTCGACTCCTTTTTTATCCGTAAGTATATCACAAACGCTTAAAGCAATTAAACGGCTTATTTCCTGGTTAGCATTCATTATTATATCTAAGCGAATATTTTTCCCTTTGGTTGATGTTTCCTCTATAACAATTTGTAAGATACTAAATAATAGTGCTCAAATTTTTTGCGATGATGCAATTATAATTTAGCAAAATGTTTATTTTGTTTTTCTTTTTTTTTTTTTGAATGAATTTTGTTTTTGCTTTTTTAATTTGTTGTGAGAGGGAGAGAGAAATAACTCTATTATTGAGAGATCAATTTTTGTAAGTGTTGATATGCTAGTATATACTCTGTTGACAGTACTTTAGTACTTTTTGATATCGAAAAATACTACGGTACCCCCACGACAATTTTGGTACTTTTTTAACTTCACTTTTAATAAATATGCAGTTGACTTAAGCTATGTATACACGGTTGTTAGATCTTACAAAGTTGACAACATTGCAAAAGAAAAATTTTAAGTTCAACCGATTGTTAGATATTTTCTGCACATTTTACGGACAACGTTGTAAGATTTGACAACCATGCATCACAGCTTTTAGTAGGATATAGAACAGTTTGTAGTCAATTCTAGTCTATAGTATATTCTATTATTTAGACTATAGCCCAATCTATATATAATTTAGTCTATAGTCTATTTTATAATCTATATATAATTTAGTCTATAGTCTACTCTATAGTAAAGTATATAATCTAGTCTATTCTATAGTCTAGTCTTTAGTCTACTCTATTATCTAGTCTATAGTCAAGTCTATAGTCTATTCTATAGTCTAGTCTATAATCTAGTCTTTAGTCTAGTTTATAGTCAAGTCTATAGTCTAGTCTATAGTCTAGTATATAGTATAGTCTAGTCTATAGTCTAGCCTACAGTCTAGTCTATAGTCTAGTCTAAGTCTATAGTCTAGTCTATAGTCTAGTCTATAGTCTAGTCTATAGTATAGTCTATAGCCTAGTCTATAGTCTAGTCTATAGTCTAGTCTATAGTCTAGTCTATAGTCTAGTCTATAGTCTAGTCTATAGTCTAGTCTATAGTCTAGTATATAGTCAAGTCATAGTATACTTTATAGTATAGTCTATTGACTAGTCTTGGTAACATATGTAGTTACAAATAACACTCCATTAGCAAGACTAGTCTATAGTTTAGTCTTTAGTCTAGTCTATTCTATAGTCTAGTTTATAGTCTCTCTAGTATATAATCTAGTCTATAGTCTAGTTCATAGTCTAGTCTATAGTCCAGTCTACAGTTTAGTCTATTGACTAGTCTTGGTACCATTGCTACAAATAACACTCCATTGGGATATTTAATTTTACAAATTTTAAAGTTAATTATTTAGTCTAGTCTATTGCCTAGTCTTGGTACTAGAGTTACAAATAACAATCCGTTAGCATATTTAATTTTTAAAATAGTTAATTTTTTCCCACCCTGTTTAATTTACGACATACAACTTCCCATCTCTGATTTTGGCAATAACAAAACAAGAACAACAAACAACTTCATGCATAACGTGTTGTTCTACGAAATTTTCAGAGATTGTATCGGATTTCTGCTTATATCTCTGTTATTTATGGACCAATTTTGCTGATTTTAAACAGCGATCTTCTTGAAAGCATTTCTGATAGAATTATTTACGGTAATCTGAAAATTTTTTGCAACATACATACAGATAGGTACAAAAAGAACCCCTCCCTCATAATAACAATTAACTTAAACTTTTCGATACCCATCTTTTAGCGTTGGTTTTGAAGACCAAGTACATTAGAACATTCGAATTGGTCTATGGACCAACTTGAAGCCAACTACATCAAAAAATTTATTTCTAAATTATATATACAAATCTATGCTAATGTTTATAGGAAATTGGCATAATGTTTGGAATTAGAAATGTGTTAAAAGCTAAATGTACACACACGGTTTTAATTTTACAATTTCGAATGTTTCCAGTAAATTTAAAAAATTATTTTCAGGCCTACACTTAAATCGAAAATTAAAAAAAATTTACTTTAAAAAATGTAACGATTTTTACACCGTTGTTTGTATGTGATTAGCAGACTCACTTGATTGAGAACGACACAACCCTTGCTAAAGCCGATTATAATCAATTTTGATTTGTCTAAGTTGAGATTTTCACGCCACCACAAAGGATTCTGTTGCTGTTGATTAGATGATTGCTGTTGTTGTTGCTGCTGTAAGGAACAATCGTTGCTATTGTTTAAATTGTTAAAATGTTGTAAATTTTCATTATTTTGTTGAGACTGTGTTGTTACATCACTTTGCTGTAGTGTTGTATTTGTTGCTGCTGCAGCAGTCGAGGAAGAAGAACCTGTTGAAGCTAATGTTGTAGTAGATGAAACACTTGTTAGCGGTGCTACTGCTGCCACTGAAGTATCATTATCAGTGCCAGCAACTGATGAACCACTATTATTTGAAGATGTATTATTTAAATCACTAGAATTGGAAAAGATAACAGCACCATCTGCATCAACAGTGACATTTTCTTGAACCTATAAAGCAAAAACCATATTTTTAATATAATTATTCATCTTATGAAAGTACAAAGTGTGTTTACCTGCAAAATATCAATGTCCATTTCCTGACTACTATCACTGGCATTAGAAGATGACGAAGAAGAATCTGACGAAGCATTTGATAGGGTGGATGATACCAGTGCAGCAGCAGCGGCTGCAGCAGCTACAGCGGCAGCAGCTGCTGCTGCCTGCGCCGCTTGATCTAATATTTCATTTTCTGGTATAGAAATCAAACGCTGCGATAAATTTTGTAACAATCTATTGGCGTTGGAAATAAAATTGGTATTTATAATAAATTTTTAAAATTACAAAATAAATTTAAAATACATACTTTTCCAAATGTTGCAAGGCATGGTTCATGGGGGTGTGATCCGGCACACCAGCGTTATTTCCACGTACAAAATTATCAAAACAACTAAATGTCTTGAATTCCATTCTATTGTGGGAAAAGTAAATTTAAAATGAAAAAATAAATTAGAATATTATAAACAAAATGGTTATTTATTTTCTTAGCTATTGCAAGTTCAAGAAAATATAAAAGCATAAATATTTATTTAATTATTGTGCAGGACATAAAAGGAATTAATTCATAATAATCAAAACTATTTTATATGAATGTATATTTTAGTGACAATATTAGAAACTTTAAAAATACAAATAAAATATGGAAGTAAAATATTTTAACCTTAAAGACTTTTAGTATTATTAAAAATAAGAAATGTTTCTACTTAAAGATTAAATTCATTTTTATATCTGATACACATTATAAAATCAGATAAAAATACCAACCTCACTGGACGCACGACTATTATATGCGAACGTGGAAATGCTTCTCTTAGCAAAATAGCAGAATTTTCTAAATTATATTTCATGTAACCCCGACTGTCACGATTTGTTTCCATGCTCTCAGGAAAATCCTACATAATTGAAAACAAATAAAAAATAATTAATATCACAGATGTTGTTATTTACGTATATTTAAATTTATATTTCATTTTAATAAAGATTATATTTAGAAATTTGAAAACAATTAAATTTAAAGATTTTCAATAAATCAAAAATGTATGTATGTGCAATTTTCTGTACAATTGTAGATTTAGAATTTTGAAAATGTTCATTTAATTATGAATATGTGTGTACTTCTGTGCATACCTGGACATCACCGCCAAAGTAAACAACTGCCGTAGAGTCTTCAACATTTTGATTTTGTTGTCTTATAATCGGAGGACAATACACAATATCATTTGTCCGATTTTGGAAACCGGCCACTGAAAATATTCGAAATGGACCAGCTGATGTGCTTGGTGTGCATAAACGATCCGCACTGCCACCAAGCATTACCTCAGAGTTAGTAACACGTTTTTGTAATTGAAAAAATTTATCAATGGTTACCTAAAACAAAGAATATACAATTATATAAAAATACATATTTAATTAGTAAATTATTAGTTTAATAAGTTAAAATGTTAAATTGAGTAGAATACATATAATGAAAAATCGTGAATTATGGTGATCTACTTACAAATGTAAGTATATATAATTTATATACATAGCCCATTTGCAATTTAAGGTTCATAACTCAAAAAACCTAGTTTCGAGATTTATGCCAATTTACAAATAACTTTTACGAAGTAAGAATAATTGGATATTTTGTAGAACTCAACTTCAAACACCAGGACTTTAAGTAAAGACCTTTTGTTGCAAATGTGCGACATAGTTTGTTGTTTTTAAAAAATATTGTTCCAATATATTATATTAAAAAGTAAAATTAAATAAATACTTTTTATACTTGATTTTTTTGAAATTTTACACTATTTTGTATTATTTGTTGGAATTTAAAAGCTATTTTAGATCAGAAGTATCAGATAGATGTTATTTCTTACATTTCTAAATTTCAAAATTAATTAATTTCGAACAAAAGTCACTGTATCAATGCCAAAGTATAATGTGAGTATATGCTATAATCCTTTATAGAACTATTATTTAATTATTCCTGGGTTATAAATATATAAGTTTACTAGTAGTGCAAACCATAAAATATATTTTATATAGAAAAGAACTACATTATAATATTATTTTTCTAAAAAATAGGATAACATTTACTACTTTTTTGATATTGAAAGCTATAGTAATTTGATATCGTAATACGAATGAACGCACTGTGGTTCCAATTCAAAATTCAGGTGGACAATATTATAAAAGTCTGTATCTTCTGAATTTGGGGAAATAAAGGGGTTTTCAAATAGACTTTTTTTTCATAAGAGAATCGGGTGAAATTCAACAAATGTTGGATCATGTTTTCGTTGTAAAATGTTAAATATAATAACTAAATACCATATAGAAATTCATACTTCAAAACTTATATAACTTTTAATAAATATAAATTTTATATTTATGTGATTCAAATTTGTATACCTTGGTATATGTATACATATAGTTATTTTATAAAAATAATAATTTTATTAAATATAAAACTATTTATTAATCCAGTCAACATCTGCTGTACAATGATTGGAAAACTGTATACAGTCTCTACTTAACATATTTTCTCAAGGGCTCATCGTTTTACATTCAGTATTAATTTAAAAACTTGGGATACAGTGATGGTGAAGAAATTGCTTAAAGTTTCTCCGTTTACTAAATGGTATCACTTCCTTCCGTCTGTATATAGTGTTAATGGTATAAATGGACATTAGGTTGATGCAAACACATACTATTTACTAATTTTTATGTTCACAAATTTTTTCTAACAAATTAGCACACACTTATTGACACAAACTTACCTTCATCATACTTTTTTCATCCATCACCGTATCATGGAATTTTCCAATCATTTGTACAGTTTTGACCAGTTGCAACAGCAGATTGCTCCAAGCAAGGTCAGTAGGCACTTTCAGAATATTACTGAAACCAGTAGAAATCGTTCAGATATCGTTTGTGTTGAGTGACTTTATTAATATTATTTAATTATCTATTTAAATACATTGCCTAAATATCACTTCTTTTTAATAAATAATAGTATTAATAAATATATATTTTTTCTACACTTGTTTGTTTCATAGAAAGCCAAACATAAAAACATATAATGATCTGTCATTTTGACAGATAATTGGTGCGAGATCTAATAGTTGCCAGAAATTTTTAAAATATTAGTGGCAGGTTATATGTTGCCATACTTTATGTGTAAATATGTAAATTCATAATTTTAATGAATAATGAAAAATAATCACTCCGATATATTCAAACTAATGAATGGCTATCTTTTAATTTGTATTATAAAGTGTAATTTAGAAAATAGTCTAGACGTAAATTTACAGAAATTATTCTATAATTTCCTAAAACTATTTAAACTTAAATTAAAGGCCAATTAAAAAACAACATTGCTTAATTTATTGAATTATTATTTGAATCCCCATATATATAAATCTAAAATATATTTTAGAAATATGCAAACATGACAATATAATGCATGTACTACGTAATAACTATAACAACAACAACATACCTTTTTAAATAAAAGAACTTTTCTCTGTTAATGACAAGTGATGAAAATTAATTTCTTAAGGAGATAAAATAATGACGAGTAACAGCAACAACACGCTGTCAATGGCCAATGATCTTTGAGTATATATAGTAAACATTAATAAACAAACAGCATTAAACGCGAGATCATCAATGTCAGATAAAATAGATGAATAATCCATATGAACGGATATAATTTACACAAACAAACATAAATGTTTTTAAAACTAAAACTTTTGAAATTTTTTATTTCAAACACAACAGAAATAATATTTTAAATTAAAAAATGTATTGCGATATCTGGCTTTACATTTTATTGGTCTTAATTTATCAGTATTTAAACGTTATTTTTCTAATAGTAATCATCTTCATAGAAGTCACGTTGACCATTGGCACCACTATTACAGCAGCCCATAAAGCGTAGTCGAGTGTCTTCTAAACATAATTTTGTATCCTCTTTCATTTCCTTAAGTTTAACACGCACTTCCTCACGCATTAAATTATAACACATGGCTACCAGGCCCATGCCTATCAACATGTATATGAAATTAATAGCCAATTTGGAGTGTTGATCTGTTATGGATTGCTGTAAGTCTGATACAAGATTTGGATCTATGGTAGCATCCTCCTTCACTTTTTTACGTGCCTCCGCTATATGGGAGGGCGTTACCAGCGAAGCACCCGGCACAAAGTCACCAAAACCAATTTTACACAGAGAAGTCATACAAAAATAGAATGAATTAAGGAATGACCACTTTTCCCAATTAGCAAACATTATGGTGCCGGTGAGTATATAGAAAATAATCACCCACAAACATGCTGTGGAGGGTACAATAATCTTTTTGCGTTGTAGTATAGCCAAACTGCCAGTTTCTAAGGCCTCTAAACGGCGATCCATATTGCTGTCACGATCCTGCGTGCATTCATGTAGACTGCGATATAGAAACTTGAATGATCTAGCCAATACTTTGCCCATATTGAGAAAATACAGTATGTAAAGAGGTATGCCAAATGTGGCATAAATTACAGTGAAACCTTTTCCCCATGGAGTTCTTGGCACCATATTACCATAACCAATCATTGTGATGACAGAGAGGCAAAACATTAAGGCCGCCGGAAATGACCAAATATCACTGGGCTTACGAAAATCATACCCAGATTTAATTATTGCCGCTATACGTACTTGATACTGCTGTAAAGCAATTTCAGTGAAACCTTGCCACTCTGATCTATTGAAAGTGTTGTATTTTTCTGTTATATTCCATAATTCTTGGGCACAATTGCTGCGCAGTTCTTCTACTTCCATTGGTGTATTGTCTTCATATTGCAGTTCTATATGCATAAAGGAAAAAGCACCACATATGGCGTATATAACAATTAGAGCTCCCACACCCACTTGTGTGCACATAAAGGTGACAAAATTGCGACAGCATCGTTTAAAACGTTTGCGTGGTAAATTACTAGGCGATGACGAAGACCCTGAAGAGCCTGCTCTACTTGGATGATGTGAATTTCTTTGAGATTTTGACATGTTTAGTTCGATATTATATAATTTTTATAATTTATTGGTAATTTTTTCTAATACATTAATTAGGGTTTCACTATAATCTCCATATTATTTTATTTATATTAAACTCAAAACTTAATTATCTATATTTCATTTTAATGTATTTTTTCAGTACGATACGAATTTTTGGTTTCTTTTCTTGTGTTATATTATAAAGTCTAAAAATAAAATTTCTTAGGCGGCTTGTACTACTACACAATATTTTCTTTCTTTATGCTTTCGTTGTTTGGTGCTTTCCTTTTTAAACTTTAATAAACGCGCGCTATAACTGAACATATTCAAGTTCCAAATACTACTAGCATGAGTTTTTCTTCCAATAATCCATAATGAAAGCAAAAAAAGCATACTCATTTGTACATTTTCTTTTTATCAAGAGAGCAAGATTGTTTGTTTATGTTTTCCGATCAACGGAAAATGTAAATATTCTCAAAAAAAAAAAAATTCTCAGCATTAATGGCACAATTTTGACCAATATTATAAGGTTTGGAAGGAAAAAGATTGCATATAAAATTTATTTATGTATTATTAAGTTCAATTCAATTTTGTTTAATATTTTTTAGACATTATTTTAAGTATTGTGTTCAGTTATTAGGTGTGCTAAATGTGAACCGATCATTGAAAACATTTTACGCTATGTACTTTATGGACTAAAAAGAGAATGAGAGGCAAAAAATTAATTTACAAATTGAAAGTATGCCATTAGTGTATTCAAGCCCGAGCATCCGAGAAAAAATATCAATATATTTATGTATTATGTTCAAATAAAGTCTATGGTAATCTTGAATTCCACACTAAATATAGATATTGTCGATCATAGTAAGGAATTTTCAAAATTTCATTTGGCAAAAAATTGTCTGATCATTATTTTTTCGTGCTACTTTTTGCATAGGGAGCACTTACTATAGTGGTGTAAGCAGGATTGGTAAATTCCTTAAAAGTACAATGGTGGATCAATAACCAATTTTAAATTTGTTTGCTCATTGAAATTAAAATCTAAAATTGTCAACTTTTTCATTATCTTCAGAAGAGGAAAAATACAATTCTACTCTTATATTGTTCTACTCTTTCTATTGTTTAAAAACCTGGAAGAGATTACAACCAGACATGTAGTAATAACTTTTACCAAAGCGGTTGCCTACTTTATAGGATTACTAAATCGCTAAAATTTAATATAATTTTAAAAGTTATTCAGTGCAATTTTTAATGGACGTTTAAAATATCTTTCTGATAAACATTGGACTATTCTGAGGTCTATTAATTAGTATAGTGACTAGACTATGAATTAGTCTTATAGTAGTCTAGTGTATAGACTAGACAATACACATCTAAAATATGGAATCTATTGACTAGTCTCTTGTCTAGCTTATAAGTAGTTTACTCTATTTGCTAGCCCATAGAGAGTCGATAGACTGTCTAGTCGATTGATCAATCTATTGACTAAATGGACTTACTTATTGACTAGTATAATAACTATTCTATATGATAATACAAATAACTGTTATTTTTATGGAATAATTTAATATTCAAATATGTATAATTAATTTCCAAATCAGAACAAAGGGAATCAATAAAATAAAATGGCTGTAAGGTATAGCCGGACTATTATAAACAAATTTGAAGCGACCCGTTTTATGGAACTTTGAGATGTTTTTGCATATAAAAATTTCAATTAGAAAATTTATTGATAAATCATACAATCAATTATGTACGTATGACGGTGATGATGCGTACATGAAAGAAATGGATACAAGAAAGCAAAAACTTAAAGAATATATAATGCAAAAAAAAAAAAAAAAAAATAGAAAAAGTTTATTGAGTGCATATTTAGCGCAAAAAGGTAAAAAGCGCAATACATACATATATGTACATATGCATGTATGTATCTTTTTCATCTTGTTGTGTGACACACAACAAACAAACACTTCTTCATATCTACTTTACTTTTTTTCTTCTTCCATTCTTATGTTCTTCATTCATCTATCTTTATCTTCTTTCTATACATCATCATTTATGCTCAATGTATACTTACAAATTTTCTTTGATCAAGTCTGCAACGAAGAAAAAATATTCTTTTATGCACACAGCGTTTTTACGCGCTAAAAATTTGTAACACAAAATAAACTAATTAAAAAACAATATATCAACTTTTTTAAGTCGTCTTTTTTCTATTATGAAATTATAATTATTTGTTTTTGTATTGTATTTCCTTCAATTTTTTTTATTACCGAATTCACAAGCCAATGGAAAAATGCTAATACGGGATAATGCAAACAGCCCCCGCGAGACACTTTATAAAATAATGAGCAAACACAATTTTTTCGTTTTTCCTTGCAAATTTTTTTCGTCTGCTTTTAGATGAATAGTTAATTAATTTTTCATTGATTTGTGTGCGTCGTTTGATTGATTTACATGTTTTTTATATTTTTACACACTTTTTGCACAATAAATAACAGGTTTTTGCGTATATTTTTAATATTGTTTAACAATGAATTTTTGCTCACAACTCTACTTTTTTCCAATTGGTTTTTTGTTGCTTTCTTCGTTTGTTCGCTTTTTTTTTGTTGGTTGATTGCGATTGTCAAAATATCTACAATAATTGTTGAAAAATGGCGTCATTTGTGCAACTCTACAATCAGTGTTGTATTTATAAACTACTCACTGATAGAGGGCGCTTTTATACAAACGATAACACAGTTTCGTGATAAGGCGGTGTAAAATTATGCATTGGTAAAGAGGTGTTCAGCAGTTATTTTCGATTACATTTTTTTTCATTTAGAAAAAGAAAAAAATTAAAACATTGCAGTCTATTGACTAAATGGACTTGTTTATTAACTAATATATGGACTTTTAATGCTCGTAATTTCAATAAATAGATATTTATTGTGTAAAATATGTAGTATGTAACACAACCCACAAGGTAAGTAAACATGTATTTCACATTAGCACCTATGGCACCACTGGTAAATATTTGCTGAAAGTACGGGCATAAATACATTCTTTAATTAGTCTACTAAGGGCGGGTTTCTTACTAAGTGCATTGTAACTTTACTTTTTGTTACATTAAACTCAACAAATATTTATTCGGACTTTAACTGATAATTGTGTTTTTCAGGATTTAAGATCAGTTAACTTAGTTAGTATTGCCAACATTTCAGTCAAAACCATAAACAATGAACAGCTGTTTTTGCAAATAATACTTTTGTAAAATGAAAAAATTTTAAAAAATAACAAGTAAGAAAGTATAGTCGGGCGTGGCCGACCATATGATACCCTACACCAGTTATGAATATTAAATGTGATTTATTTTTCATAATATCGCATTTATCTTCAATATTCCCTTGTTCCGATACATTTAAGCAATTTATGGATGAAAAACTAATTTTCTGAAAGAAGCTTTATATGGGGGCTAGGGGCAAATATGGACCAAGCCCGATAAAATTTTGTGAATATATTTATATTTACATAATATCTTATTGTGCTGAATTTCATCACGATATTTGTGTTTATAAGTTAATTTGGGACATTCAAGTAATTTTCTGAAGGGGACTTTGTATGGGAGCTAGGGTCAAATGGGGCCCGATCTTTATGAAATTTGGCAGGGTTATCAAGACTTCTATAAAACTTAGTTGTGCCGTATTTTATCGATATATCTGTATATTTAACATAATTATGAGCTCAGAAGCCCTTTTCGGGGGGTTCTGTTGTATGGGGGCTAGGTGAAATAATGGACCGATTTTAACCATTTTCAATAGGCTTCGTCCTTGGGTCAAATAAAACGTGCGTGCCAATCCAATTATCTTGAAAATTGCGACCTGTAGCTTGCGCACAAGGTTTATATGGACAGCCAGCCAGCCAGACGGACGGACGGACATGGCTTAATCGACTCAGAAAACGATTCTAAGCCGATTGGTATACTTTAAGGTGGGTCTAGGACGAATATTTTTATATGTTACAAACATCAGCACAAATCCAATATACCCTCCCCACTAAAGTGGTGTAGGGTATAAATATTAAAAAACAATAATAATATTGATAAAACAATTCAAAAAATTACTATTTACCTAATATATTAAGTGTTTCTTCTTCCGAATTGGTTATTTTATTGTTTTTGTTGATTGTGTGTTCTCACTTCTAATTTAAGTTTAATTTGCCAATAATACTCGGTTAAACCACGATAATGAACGAAATAACCGTGTACTGGAAATCACAAAATTTAAATTAAACTAGATTTAAACAAAGACTGTAGATCATATTAAACAGTAAAACCCGCCTTAAACCGCAAACCAGTTTAATGAAACCGACTTGAAATGGTTTTGTTTTATAGGGATATAAATTTATAGAAAATATTGATTTGGTTCAATCGGAATCAAAAAAATTAAAATTTTTAATGCGACTTTATATAAATTGAAAAGCATATTTGCCATCCCTGATATGTAGATAATCTTAAACAGTAAAACCCGCCTTAAACCGTAAACCAGTTAAATGAAACCGACTTGAAATGGTTTTGTTTTATAGGGATATAAATTTATAGAAAATATTGATTTGGTTCAATCGGAATTAAAAAAATTAAAATTTTTAATGCGACTTTATATAAATTGAAAAGCATATTTGCCATCCCTGATATGTATGTATTGTAAAATACATGTCCCTGCAGGAGTAACTGCGTATTTGCATATTTTTGCACAGTGTATTGGTGCGTATGATGTACATAAGTTCGCCTGTTAATTTAAAAATACTCATACGCCATGTTATATAAAAATTTAGCGCTTTCTGTTTATTTTTGGAATTCAATATACTTATTGCATAAGAGAGAATAAGCAAAGAGTGCATAGAGAAATTGTAACTAACATTTGAACTACTCAACCGATCTGTTTGAAATTCGGAACATTTATTTATATGGAAGGTGTGTCACCCACTATTGTTAATCGGCCTATATTTTTTATATATAGTGATTTAAGTTACTAAATAGTACGAGTACTTGAGAACTCTAGTTGTTATATTTAATGCATATAGAAGGTGCCACGCCCATTCCTAGTTCGCCCATTTTTCTCTCAAATGTTTACATGGATGTCAAAGTTGCTCGTGTATGTCCGTCTATATGTCAATTTTCTGAAGATCACAGATATCTTCGGGACCCGAATCTTCAATAATTCTGTCTGACATTCACTCTCAGCAAAATTGGTTCGTAAATAACGTAGATATTAGAAAATTAAGCAGGGATGAGGAAGAAAAAAGTAAAAAAATTATAAAGTTTTCAAAATATGCTAATGGGGTGTTATTTGGAACTATTTGGTGTTATTGTACTTTTTCGTACTTTAACTTCTACTTTTTGATTTGTTTTTTTATAATATTGAACCTAGAAACACGAAATTAAGCATATTAAGCAGTAAACGAGAACCTATAAAAGGGGATATTTTGGTACTTCAAAAGGTACTTTTTGAATTGTCTATAATATTGAACCTAGAAACATGAAATTGAACATGTAAGGTCTGGAGTAAGCGAAAACCTATAAAAGGGGATTTTTTCGGCACTTTTCGTTCTTCAAAAGGTACATTTTTTTGGAATTTTTGGTACTTTTTCGTTTTTCAAAAGGTACTTTTTGAATTTTCTATAATATTAAACCAAGAAACATAAATTGAAGCATGTAGAGCCCAGGGTAAATGAGAACCTATAAATGAGGACTTTTTGGTACATTTTCCGGTATAAATGAGAACCTGTAAAAGTGGACTTTTTGGTACTTTTTCTTTCTTCAACTGGTACTTTTTGAATTTTCTATAATAGAAACTTAAAAGTAAGCATGTAGAGCACGTAGTAAATGAAAACCTATAAAAGGGGACTCTTTGGTACTTTTTCGTTTTTAAAAGGTACTTTTTGAATTTTTTATAATATTGAACATAGAAACTTAAAATCAAGTATGTAGCAGGGAGTAAAGAAAAATCTATAAAAGGGGACTTTTTGGTATTTTTCGTTCTTGAAGTGGTACTTTTTGAATTTACTATATTATTGAACTTAGAAACATTAAAAAACCTATAAAAGGGAACTTTTTGGTACTTTTTCGTTCTTCAAGTGGTACTTTTTGAATTTTCTATAAATTGAGCACGAAGTAAATGAAAACCTATAAGAGGTGACTTTTTGATACATTTTCGATTTTCAAAGGGTACTTTTAGAATTTTCTATAATATTAAATCTAGAAACATAAAATGAAGCATGTAGAGCCCGGTTTAAATGAGAACCTTTAAAAGTGGACTTCTTGGTACTTTTTCATTCTTCAACTGGTACTTTTTGAATTTTTTTTTATAATATTGAACATAGAAACTTAAAATTAAGCATGTAGCATGGAGTAAATCAAAATCTATAAAAGGGGACTTTTTGGTACTTTTTCGTTCTTGAAGTGTTACTTTTTGAATTTTATATAATATTGAACTAAGAAACATAAAATTGAACATGTAGTGCACGAAGTAAATGAAAACCTATAAAAGGGGACTTTCTGGTACTTTTTCGTTTTTTAAAAGGTACTTTTTGAATTTTCAATAATATTAAACCAAGAAACATAAATTGAAGCATGTAGAGCCTAGGGTAAATGAGAACTTTTTGGTACATTTTCGTTCTTCAAAAGGTACTTTTTGAGTTTTCTATAACGTTGAACGTAGAATCATTAAATTAAGCATGTAGGGCCCGGAGTAAGTGAGAACCTATAAAAGTGGATTTTTGGTACTTTTTCGTTTTTCAAGTGGCACTTTTTGAATTTTCTATAAATTGAGCACGAAGTAAATGAAAACCTATAAAAGGGGACTTTTTGGAACATTTTCGTTTTTCAAATGGTACTTTTTGAATTTTCTATAATATTAAATCTAGAAACATTAAATGAAGCATGTAAAGCCCGGTGTAAATGAGAACCTATAAAAATGTACTTTTTGGTACTTTTTCGTTCTTCAACTGGTACTTTTTGAATTTTTTTATAATATTGAACATAGAAACTTAAAATTAAGCATGTAGAGCACGTAGTAAATGAAAATCTATAAAAGGGAACTTTTTGGTACTTTTTCGTTTTTTAAAAGGTACTTTTTGAACATGTAGCACACGAAGTAAATGAAAACCTATAAAAGGGGACTTTTTGGTACTTTTTCGTTTTTCAAAAGGTACTTTTTGAATTTCCTATAATATTGAACATGAAATTAATAATGTTGAGCCAGCCCACAGTAAATGAGAACCTATAAAAGGGGAGTTTTTTGGTACGTTTTCGTTCTTCAAAAAGGTACTTTTTGATTTTTCTATAATATTGAACATAGAAACATGAAATTAATCATGAAGAGCCTGGATTATGTGAGAACTCATAAAAGGGGACTTTTTAGTACTTTTCGATTTTCTAAATGCGCTTTTTGAATTTTCTGTAATATTAAACATAGAAACACAAAATTACGCATGTAGAGCACGGACTAAATGAGAACCTATGAAAGGGAACTTTTTGGTACTTTTTCGTTTCTTAACAGGTACTTTTTGAATTATGTATAATATTGAACCTAGAAACATAAAATAAAGTATGAAGCCC